TGCACTCGGCGGGGCTCGAACCTGCGGTCTTCGGATTGCTAAGCACAAGCTTAACCGCCTACACCACCCCTGGCCACGCGGCTCAATCACCCATGGGGCGTATATATAATGGCGACGGGCGCCGTTGGACGCTGTGGTGTCGGTGATATCTCGAGAACGGATGGAGCTATCGAGAAGCATCCAAGAGCAAAAAAATGATCAGAAAAAAATGTGCTCCGTTCATCTAAATATATAAACGAAAAAAAGATTCAGAAGTCATTTGAGGATTCAGATGACACCGAAAAAAATTATCCAAAAATATGACTTGATGTATATCAAATGAATGAGAAAAAAACAGGAAGATTGTATGTCGTCGCAAGGAGCTGCCTGTTATCATTGAACATACATACAATATTTGCAAAAAAAGGGGTGACTCAGGTATTACGGTGTGAAGACCACAGGATCGAGCTTTCTTTCTCTCAAACTCACTCTAGAATTCTTTCTTCAACCTTCCGAAGTCAATCCTTCTTCCTGTCGTCCGTTTTTTCTTTGGGTTTGAACCGTTTACACACTTCCGGAGTCGCCACGTCCTTCAGTCAGGTCTGAAAGTCGTCACGATCAGTGTCTCAGCCGAGGCAAATTTCTTTGCACTCGGCGGGGCTCGAAACCTGCGGTCTTCGGATTGCTAAGCACAAGCTTAACCGCCTACACCACCCTGGCCACGCGGCTCAATCACCCATGGGGCGTATATATAATGGCGACGGGCGCCGTTGGACGCTGTGGTGTCGGTGATATCTCGAGAACGGATGGAGCTATCGAGAAGCATCCAAGAGCAAAAATGATCAGAAAAATGTGCTCCGTTCATCTAAATATATAAACGAAAAAGATTCAGAAGTCATTTGAGGATTCAGATGACACCGAAAAAAAATTATCCAAAATATGACTTGATGTATATCAAATGAATGAGAAAAACAGGAAGATTGTATGTCGTCGCAAGGAGCTGCCTGTTATCATTGAACATACATACAATATTTGCAAAAAGGGGTGACTCAGGTATTACGGTGTGAAGACCACAGGATCGAGCTTTCTTTCTCTCAAACTCACTCTAGAATTCTTTCTTCAACCTTCCGAAGTCAATCCTTCTTCCTGTCGTCCGTTTTTTCTTTGGGTTTGAACCGTTTACACACTTCCGGAGTCGCCACGTCCTTCAGTCAGGTCTGAAAGTCGTCACGATCAGTGTCTAGCCGAGGCAAATTTCTTTGCACTCGGCGGGGCTCGAACCTGCGGTCTTCGGATTGCTAAGCACAAGCTTAACCGCCTACACCACCCTGGCCACGCGGCTCAATCACCCATGGGGCGTATATATAATGGCGACGGGCGCCGTTGGACGCTGTGGTGTCGGTGATATCTCGAGAACGGATGGAGCTATCGAGAAGCATCCAAGAGCAAAAATGATCAGAAAAATGTGCTCCGTTCATCTAAATATATAAACGAAAAAAAGATTCAGAAGTCATTTGAGGATTCAGATGACACCGAAAAAAATTATCCAAAAATATGACTTGATGTATATCAAATGAATGAGAAAAAAACAGGAAGATTGTATGTCGTCGCAAGGAGCTGCCTGTTATCATTGAACATACATACAATATTTGCAAAAAAAGGGGTGACTCAGGTATTACGGTGTGAAGACCACAGGATCGAGCTTTCTTTTCTCTCAAACTCACTCTAGAATTCTTTCTTCAACCTTCCGAAGTCAATCCTTCTTCCTGTCGTCCGTTTTTTCTTTGGGTTTGAACCGTTTACACACTTCCGGAGTCGCCACGTCCTTCAGTCAGGTCTGAAAGTCGTCACGATCAGTGTCTAGCCGAGGCAAATTTCTTTGCACTCGGCGGGGCTCGAACCTGCGGTCTTCGGATTGCTAAGCACAAGCTTAACCGCCTACACCACCCTGGCCACGCGGCTCAATCACCCATGGGTCGTATATAAAATGACGACGGGCGCCGTTGGACGCTGTGGTGTCGGTGATATCTCGAGAACGGATGGAGCTATCGAGAAGCATCCAAGAGCAAAAATGATCAGAAAAATGTGCTCCGTTCATCTAAATATATAAACGAAAAAGATTCAAAAGTCATTTGAGAATTCAGATGACACCGAAAAATAAAAATGACGAAAATATGACATGATGTAGATCAAATGAATGAGAAAAACAGGAAGATTGTATGTCGTCGCAAGGAGCTGCCTGTTATCATTGAACATACATACAATATTTGCAAAAAGGGGTGACTCAGGTATTACGGTGTGAAGACCACAGGATCGAGCTTTCTTTCTCTCAAACTCACTCTAGAATTCTTTCTTCAACCTTCCGAAGTCAATCCTTCTTCCTGTCGTCCGTTTTTTCTTTGGGTTTGAACCGTTTACACACTTCCGGAGTCGCCACGTCCTTCAGTCAGGTCTGAAAGTCGTCACGATCAGTGTCTAACCGAGGCAAATTTCTTTGCACTCGGCGGGGCTCGAACCTGCGGTCTTCGGATTGCTAAGCACAAGCTTAACCGCCTACACCACCCTGGCCACGCGGCTCAATCGCCCATGGGTCGTATATAAAATGACGACGGGCGCCGTTGGACGCTGTGGTGTCGGTGATATCTCGAGAACGGATGGAGCTATCGAGAAGCGTCCAAGAGATCTAAATACATATCAAAAAGGTTCAAAAGTCATTTGAGAATTCAGATGACACCGAAAAATAAAAATGACGAAAATATGACATGATGTAGATCAAATGAATGAGAAAAACGGGAAGATTGTATGTCGTCGCAGAGAGCTGCCTGTTATCATTGAACATACATACAATATTTGCAAAAAGGGGTGACTCAGGTATTACGGTGTGAAGACCACAGGATCGAGCTTTCTTTCTCTCAAACTCACTCTAGAATTCTTTCTTCAACCTTCCGAGCACAATCATTCTTCCTGTCGTCCGTTCTGGATTTTGGTTTGAACCGTTTACACACTTCCGGAGTCGTCACGTCCTTCAGTCAGGTCTGAAAGTCGTCACGATCAGTGTCTAGCCGAGGCAAATTTCTTTGCACTCGGCGGGGCTCGAACCTGCGGTCTTCGGATTGCTAAGCACAAGCTTAACCGCCTACACCACCCTGGCCACGCGGCTCAATCACCCATGGGGCGTATATATAATGGCGACGGGCGCCGTTGGACGCTGTGGTGTCGGTGATATCTCGAGAACGGATGGAGCTATCGAGAAGCATCCAAGAGCAAAAATGATCAGAAAAATGTGCTCCGTTCATCTGAGTACATATCAAAAAAATTCAGAAGTCATTTGAGGATTCAGGTGACACCGAAAAAAAAATTGTCCAAAATATGATTTGATGTATATCGATTTCCGACAAGCCTCTCGGTTCCCTGATTTTTTGAACCAACTTTCATTGAGTTTTGGGTCAATCATAACTCTTCGACTTAAAATCGAACCCAACTTCGGTTTTTTGGCCGCACGACAACAGGATCATTCTGGAATGAATATTTAGTGAGGTTTTGTGAAGTTTCATTGAGAAATCTCTGAGAGACTTGACAACAACATGAAGGACCCAACTAACAATGCACTTGCCAAGTTTGGTACGAATCCGATCATTCTGACCAAGCTTCGGAGACGGTTGTCAGTTTCGATCCTTAAAAAAATGCAGAAAAATTTCATGCTCCGGATTTGCTCGGAACTAGGGGGGAATGAAAGGTCCTATGAAGGGTAAAAAGCGGTAAAAAGCGCGAAAAAAGTTTCATCTCTGTTTTGGTGTTTTGCCGAGATCAAAAGTATGAAAAAACGGTACATCTTTTTCGAAAAGTCGCATCTCCGTCAATTTTTGAGTAAAACACTCTGTAAAAAAAGGAAAATGTAGCTAATGAGATGATCTTCAAACGTGCAATTGATTATCATCGGCAAAACAAATTCTCAAAAGAGATACAGTGCGTTGCAAGTTTATAAGGCCACCCCCATTCGGCGCTGCAACGTGGCGCTCGAGAATATTTCCAACCCGGCGACTTCAAAATCGGATTCAGGGCACAAAGTTACGTATGTTTGGTGATTTTCGCAATGATACCTTGAAAACTGTCCGAACTACCTCGATAAAACTAAAAATCGGCTTTTTGCAACCGTTGCAAGTTTATAAGGCCACCCCAGGGGATCGGGATTTTCGCTAGTCCGGTTGATACCTATGAGCACAAACGAAGTCATACACCTCTAAAAAAAAGTTTTAAAGCTGTTTTTGTCATTGTGGTGGTTCACGTCTTCTCGGAAGACATGCCACGGGGCACTTTCCCTACGGATTCCAAAAAAGTCCAACGTTCTTCAACAGTTTCCCAAACCATACACTTTCTAAATCCACGGTCCAGCTCCTGTTCCATGCCGTTGCAGGACTGCTTCGCAGTTGAAACGGCACGGATGAGGAACCTTTTGGCATGAGAAATCCGTTTCCGGTTTTTCTAAGATGTTCTTTTAGGCTGGACTGATCACAAAATGTATTTGAAGCAATTTAGATGTCAACTGATCACTTGGTTCGATCGATTTGCCGTTTTGAATGGCTGTGTTAAGAGTTTTTCGGAATCCTCGGGAAAGTTCCATGTGGCATGTCTTACGAAAAAACCTAAACCGTCTGAACGACAGAAACAGCTTTAAAACGTCTTTTTAGATATGTATAACTTATTTTGCGCTCATAAGGGTTGACCAGATAAGCGAAAACCCCTATCCCCTGGGGTGGCCTTATAAACTTGCAACGGTTGCAAAAGCCGATTTTTAGTTTTATCGAGGTAGTTCGGACAGTTTTCAAGGTATCATCGCGAAAATCACCAAACATACGTAACTTTGTGTCCTGAATCCGATTTTGAAGTCGCCGGGTCGGAAATATTTTCGAGCGCCCCGTTGCAGCGCCGAATGGGGGTGACCTTATAAACTTGCAACGCACTGTATAATTATGACCGGCAGTGTATAAGTAGTGATGCTGACATTTCGTGAGCTACATGCACTACGACTCTAGTACCAGTGAGAACCGCTGAAACTGGCATGTTTATTAATTTCTGACATGCTCCAGGGAAAACGTACGTGATAAAGAAAGTTGTTCTTAAATTTGGCGACGTCTCTATAATCTACGTTCAACTGCTCGGCCAAACTGCAAAGTTCACGGTGCTCTTGGTGTTCTCTCTGAAAAGTAAGACTATTAGCGCTCCAGGGCCAAAGACTCACCACAGCCCACTCCAGCTGCAGCATTTTGAACGCAGAACGAGCGTATCCAGCAATCGTTTTTAGTGTCGGCTCGTGCTTCTCGCAAAATTTATTTTCGAAGTTTTTCTGCAATCCTATGGGTCTCCTCTACTCGAGTGGTCCCTGATCACTCACCAAAACTTCCTCGTAGACAACAAATTGGCGACTCTGCAAGTCCATTAATTGACATCCGCTCACAAACGACGAGTTCATCCTCCACTCTATCTGAGAAAAACGTGCAAAATTAACAGAAAAAAGAGACAAGATAATGCGGTGTGAAACAACAGCCGATGATTGAGAAAACAGAACGTTTCAATCACATGACGACCGAATATTTTATGCATAACCTGAAGAAAAATGTTGGAGAAAAATGGAAGAAGCTGCGAAAAAAAACAAAGAGGTTCGGCTGTCAACGAGGGAATCTTGAGGGAAAAAGAAAAGCGGGGGGATAGCTAATTGCACTGGCAGACTGAGAAGAGAGCAGAACCGTTACTTTTTTGGAGACAAAAGAGTCAGAGTGCGTGTCGCGAGTAGATTCGAGAGAGAAAAAGAAAGAGTGAAAGATAGGATTAGGAAGATCAGATGGTGTGATTGTTCGGAGCACGATGGTGGTACATGATCAGATTCGGAGGAAGGGTAACTTCGTTCTCTGGAAAAGCTTCCACTGAGTTTTTGTCGACCGCCCGGTTCAGACGACGGACGCAGCGTCTTCCGAGAAGAATGTACTTCTAAAAATGATTTTCAATACGTGCAAATCATGCGTTTTTCAACCTTGACGCGGCGAAGGAACTGATCTCTGTTATCGAAAAAGTGCCATTCCATCTTCAGCGCGGTTTCGCAAACCTGAAACAATGTCTCCCTCAACGCTCGGTTAAATTTTGACAGTTCCGGCTCACCAGTGGCCACAGTCGCATCATCTTTGTCAGAGTGTGGCGTACTTTCTGGACACGCCGTTCTGCACCGACCAATTGTGGTCTGATGTGCGCGTTGAAATGCGTCTGAAAAGCAGTTGTGACGTATCGATTGTGGATTGAAACTCACCGCGAACGCGCGGACCTGATTTCCAATGTCTTCGGCATGGTGAACGGCGCAACACTGGCGCGTTGTTTGCTCGTTGAGCTCGTATTGTGGAGACGACATCTCACTGAAATAATTGTTTCGAATATTAGGTGTGAAAAGGGTTAAAGCAGAACAAAACACGGCACACTCAAAAAAAGGAAGGCACACAGTACGACGAGAAAAGACGATACGATACGATTCGCGCTGCAATTGATGCAAAAAAAGGAAGCAACGAAACGAGCACGTATGTAACTTTCCACGCTTCATCTGAAACGTCTCTGCACAACGATCCATTCTGCGAAATAGACTACTGATCGAGTCACGACACTCTGAAAGCCTTATTTTGATAACTGTTCATTACCGGACACTGTTACTCATAATGTAGAAACCTTGAAATTAGTTAAATATCAGCGAGTACAAATCAAATGAATGAAGGTCTTTTGCAATCCTTCGTCCTTCATCTCTCCAAAGTTGCCAAATTTACAATCGGGATATTGGAAAAAGGAGGGAATGAGGCGCGCTCTCTGCCTTCTCGCACAGAAAGTCCGTCTGGTTGGATAGCACAACATACGCACAGAGTAGCGTTGTCGTGTGACTCAAGGTGAAAGTAGAAGAGAGTGACGAAAGAGCAGAAAAAGAGTGGAATACCGGTGAGGCCATTAGCCACTCTGTTCTTTCTCTCTCTCTTCCGAATGAGAGAGCGATGAAGCCAATGTTTACCAACTTTCATCAGTGGGAATTTAAGGGTAAAAAAGCCATTATTCATACTGTAATTGTTATTGTTTGAGTTTTAATGTGATACACATGGGACAGGGGTGTGAATAACAAGGGAAGTGGGAAAGAATGAACCGGGCACAAATGAAACTCATCGAGAATTCGTGCAATAATCTTTCAGGATGTCGTCATCACGGTGACCATCTTCCCAAACCAAGCTGAACGACGTGCGATTGTTTCTATTCTCGTACGACATTCCATGTGACTCTTTGTCTACAGATTCCAAACAAAAATCTCAACCCAGTCGTTCAAAACGGCTGGATGGTCGAACCGAGTGATCAATTGTCATTTGAAGTACTTCAAATTTGTTTCGTGATCAGTCGTAGAAAACATTCTAGAAAGACCGGGCAGACAGTGAACCTGAACGTTCATGTCAATGTACTCTCTCAACGCAATATCCAGAAATTTTTCTGTTAAAAAATTTAAACACAATGGCAACGCAGAACACTTTTATTTCAATTTCCAATTAATACAATCTGTTCAACATCACTACATTTTCTCAGAAGAATAAATTCAGATCAATGTCCGGAATTGATGTGCAGGTGACTTGGTTGCTATTCCTGAAAACCATCTTTTATGATCAGGAGAATCGTTTGGACAACTTACAGGTCGAATATGTTCGAATTTATGCTAGTGATGATATCTGTATTCTCGCAAAAGATTTTGGCAAGTTTCACGCGACGAATAGCATCGATTTGAGTGGGAGTGAATCCGACCGTGTTCGTCACCTGGTTTTCATAGTAGAATCGGTCGCCAGTCTTCAGAGCTCTGAACTGCTCCGCAATAATCCATGAAGCAGTTGGACCGAGTTGTCCGCCAGAAAGTGGGGTTTCCATTACAATGCCAGAGTACAAATCGATGTCGGCCGGATCTGCGTAAACCGTTTTCAAAGCAGCCAAATTAGCAGCAGAGAAGGTGGAAGACAGATCAGTCCAGGCGTTTACTGCAGTCAATCCGACAAGAGTACGGTACTTGACGTACGGAAGAAGTCCGACGTCACGTCCTCGCATAATGTTCACAGAAATGAGATCGACTCCAGAAGCATTTTGCCCGCGGATTTCGAATAGTTGGTTTCGAATCGGGAAGGAGAAGTATCTGTCGACCTGCATTGCTGCAGTTTTGATAAGTCCCATTAGCACTGTCTGCCAGCCTCCCGCATTCGTATTGTACATCTGATCGGAATAGAAGATGTTATAGCCAAGGTCATAAGCTCCAAGCGACTTGTTGGTAGCATCTTGTCGGGCAAAATCTTGTCTCGATTGGCTGTGTCCAAACCTGAATGCGGAAGCGGCAAACTCTCCACTCAAAGAGGCATCCATAGATGTGTTATATCCTGTGAATGGTCCACTTCCAGGTTGCAACGGTTTCAAATTGAAATCAGTCAAATATTTGTCGGTGAGCAACTTTGGAAGATACTCGTTGTACACGATGTGCTGCCATTGAGCAACCATGATTCTTCGGACGAACTGGTAGATTTGCTCGTCATTCCAAGAGGGCTGAGCTGTCTTCACTTTAGCGGCAAGACGGTTGTGCTCCTTGATGAAAACAGAGTGAACTGGAATTTGAAAAAGTATGCATCATAAACAAACAAAACATCTTACGTGGCAAAAGTCCCGGATGAAGACAGTTTCTAAAATCTCCAGCCGTGAAGCAATAGTATGGATTCTTCGACTGACAGTTAGTGTCATTCGGGTTCTGTGGTGGCAGAACGTACCCGATTCCAATATAAGTTTTGAGCAGACCATTCTGGAAGCTTCTGACAGTCTCGGCTTCACAATCGGCAGATCCGTAAACAGTAGACATATCCAGATAATGAGTGTTCTGATCAATTTGAGTACGAACTCCAAATCCGGATTGTCCGTTCAGAGCACGAGTAAGACGAATGCATCTCGGCTCGGTTTTAGAGATGGGAAAGAAGTACTTGTCATCGGATGGAGCAGGAATTGGAGCACAGTTGGAAGAGATATTAGTTGGCGAAGAGCATGAAGTGCAATTCAGACTCGAACCGTCCTTTGCTGAAAATTTATTAACTTGGAAGCGCTTGTAGAGTACAGTCTAAATTATGAAATTGAATCATCCAAAAAGTACCACTTACCGACCGAAGACGGCATGAAGATGATATCATGTGCAATAAACTGGCCGATTTGCATATGGAGATGGTTAACCGACGGAGAGAAGTTTGGCGTTGAGCCCTCGTCATGAAGCTTATTAGAAACAAGGCGAGTAGATGGAAGCTCCGAACCGGTGACCGACGAATTGCGGATCACTTGAAGACCATCGGAGTAGCTGGTTGTTCCAAGCAGTCTTCTGATTGCAGTCACCGAGTTTGCTTGCGTTGGCTTTGCACGATTGTTGCAGTAACCTGTGATTGATCGAATACGATCGTGAGTTGGGTCAGAGCAGCTTGTTGGTGGTCCTTTGCACGTTTGATTAGTAGTTGGGTTACTGTAGTCCGACGATGTGGCCTCTCTCTTGACCCGCAGTCTTGAAATAAAGCTGTTTACATTTGCATCCTCATTAACATTTCTTTTCTTCCTGCCCTCAGCGTCTCCCGAGTTGAGCTCCTCGAGTACTTCGTTGGCATCCCCCAAAATTCCGACTCCGTACTTGGAAACAAGAATTTGAGTGGCCACTTCTAACACATCACCAGTGAACTGCAACTTCTTTGAAGCATCGTTGGCGATTTGCGAAGAAACAATTGAACCATCGGCCACGGACGGTTCAGTCGTAGCTGCCGAGTCCACACTATTCAGAGCCTCGAAAAGCGCATCAGCCACAATTTGTCTGGTCGTATCATTGAGAGCCGCGTAAATTCCACAAGAGGAGAGTATGGCAGCCAGGAAGTAGAAAGTAACAAGTGTTGTCCGCATGCTTGTGGCGGAAAGAATGAAGACCACCCTGCTCTGAGCATGCTTTATACAGATCCTGTCTGGGCGGGAACGGAGGCATCCTAACATCAGTTTTCTTGATGTTGGATCAGCTGCAACTTGTGCTCTTGTGCCCCCACGCAAAATGAGGAAGGAACAAAGTTTTTGGTTTGACGCACGCCGCCAGGATGGAATGTCAACGACTGTTTTCAAAATCTTATTGCCGATTTAATCGGGAAGAGAAGAAACCATGAAGAAATGATGAATGAATTTGTTTATTAATTGAAGGGCCTGGACCACTGTTATTTTGAGATTATACAAAATATTACAAAAAAGACTATAATTTTTTATTGCGTTGTGTATTTCTCTTGCACTCTGCAAAACTACTCGTTTCAAAAGAGAGATTAAAACAAAATGTTTCTCAAATATTGCAGAGTTTCTTTTGAACCAAAACTTTCGACAAATTCGTCGTACCCGATGAACAAAATGACCTTCAATCTATTAAACAAAACAGTGGTTTGTCTAACGCTGACATTCATTCAATCAGGTAATTATTCTGATGGTCCGTTCTTTACGTGGTTGTTAAATGTCGATGTTGCATAACATCATAGACAAAATTAGTGTGTAACTGATCTTCGCATTCTACATAGTCTGATTCTGTAATATTTGATTTGGGAAACATGTTGTGTGCACAGACCCGTCCTACGGGAAACATTGTCTTTTTCGACACCACGCGTTTAACAAATTTTTTGAAACTAGAGTTTTGCCAATCCCTCACAGATCGCAGAAGTTTCTCTCCCTAAACGTGGATAAATTCCGATCTGGATTTGATCGCGGGCACTTTGCAGCCGCCGAAAACAACCGCACGCGCCACACTCAAAACCTCTATTCGTTTAGTAAAAAGAAGGATATTCGATAACAACACTTGATTACGAAAACCAGAGGTAAGATTAATTCGATGATAGCGGCGATAGTGCCGAGAATGCTGGACATGTGCTCGCCAAGTCCGAAAGCTTCCAAAAATTTGCCAAGTTCCATTGAGTCGACCAGTTTGTTGAGCCAATCTGTGTGGAGAGCTTCTTCGTTGCTTCATCTTTCACTTTGAGAACGTTCTGTGATAATAAAGGTGTTCTTCTCGTTTCCGAGCTATTCCTTTTTTACCAGGTTCGCATTGGTTATCAGTGTCTTCGATACTTTTTCCATTGCAAAATGAGTTTCTGTGTTGTTTAAATTGAACTGTTCTTATTTTATTTCTAAGGTTACCTCTTTTACGTGGGGTGCGCATTCAACATTTTGAAATTTAGTTTGAGAGCCAGAAATTTCATGTTCGCCGCTTTGTCTTCATTGTCTTTGATGTGGCGAAAAAGTGAATGAATCGTGATGACAAATACGACAGTCACCGCAATAACACGTTTCGTTTTTTTCAGATTTTGCAAACTGCGTTTCATCGAGATGGCCGACTGAATTTTTTCTTTATTCCTTTTAAAATTATTCAAATTCTTAGGCTTGTCACACAGTTCGTGTTCTTCGTCTCGTCCATCGAACGCAGCAAATTGCTCGACTCTCTACAAGCAGAATGACTTTTCATCTTCTATTAACATGATATACTTTATGCTTTTCTTCTTTATCACACTTTATCTTAATTATTATTCTAGACTTGATGTATTTTCTTCCCCCGCAGAACTGTCTCCAATCAGCTCATTCAGTAGAGAATCCCACAAGACTAAATGTGTTTTTCCCTGATTTACCGACGTCCACCAGACGCAAGACTATATGAAAGTCTTTGGGGGTCGTTGTTCTAGCCAAATCGAGTCAGCATCTCTTCGAAAAATGCCTAAAGTGCTTCCGAAACAACTGAATGTTTTGTCTGGTTACCCTATGGACCTGTTTTAATGAAAACACTATTAGTTAAAAAATAATAGCAAGAAGTAAGGTTTGCAAAGTGATTTTTGATCACTAGAAATGAAGAAGCACAAAGTTTCCTGCTTTACTTTTTTTTCATTTGTGGTGACCGAAACGAATGATGGAAGAATGGAAAAATGATGGAATCGGCGTCGGGGGAGAAAAAAGGGAATCTATCTCATTAAACTTTGTGAAATTAGGGTAGAGAGTTTGCAGTTTTAAAGTTGATGTCATTGGGTTTTCTTGTCTGAATTTTTAAGAAAAACGTCCTAACAAAGGCGTATTTTATTCGTTCGAACGAATATCATCAACTTGTTGCAGATTACAACATAAAGTCTTCATTTGTAATGTGTTCACTCTTTCTCCCTCTTCTTGCCTCTTCAATCTCATTCCCAATGTAATAATTGAATACATAGAGCTTATCAACAAATGATGTATCCCTTTGTCTTAGAATGTGAGTTTAATTGAAATCATTGACTTGGAACCCTTGAAACTTGAACACTTTAACACTTGTGTCATTGATGAATGAATTTTCAAATGTTCGATTGGATGAGAAGATATTCTGAGCTCCTTTTTCTGTTGAACAATTTCCGAAAAGAATGGCAATTTTGATCTTTGCTTTTTTGTCCGCTATGTAGATATTTTCATGTCAACTTGTTTGATGTAAGGAGAATGTCACAATTTTCAAGTCCCTCACACATCATTGAATCACCAAAGCTTTGGAAACAATTATTTCAGTTCAATGTCTTTATACCCTGCCTTGAATTGCATTTTTTTAATCAATCACTTCAAATTTTTAGTCTTTGCACGAATTTGGACAACTAAAACTTTCAAAGAAAAGGAGGGAATAACATCAAAAACCAATTGTCGCTAAAGCTCAGGAGAATAGAATTTTGAAGTGATTTGTCGTCAGAAATAGATGGCATGGTGTCCGAAACACCCCCTTTTTTGGGCCTGAGGTCCGTAAAAGTCTTTGTTCTCCTTTCACCCACACAGTGTGAATCTCATCAGCCTGAAAGCTTTCAGTTCTACAGAACAAGTCATTCGGCCCCGTCATTTTATTACCTTGCCATTTTGAGGGCAAAAACCTTGCTCCGTTTCGGGTCCATTTACGTAACGAAGGTCAATAAAGTTTTTAGAAGGTTTGGTGCTCCGAGAAAAGTTGATTTGTAGTTAGCACCAGTCCTGAGCAATGACCGGCGCGGGCATTTCGACGGCCTCCGCACCCCTGGTCTTTTGGACCACTTGCAATATTCCAATCGGTCTCAAACTTTGCAGCTTTTTTGTACTTTGCTAGAAATATTTTGGGTCTATATTTCTAATCGATTCAATTATCAACTTTGGAGATAAACTGATCTTTGTAGAGCACTTTTTATGTGAAAAGTCTAGGATTTTTAGTCCAAAATGTAAATAGCAATATTATAAGTCTAGGCTCGGGCAATATCTCAAAAACACTTTCGATTGCTCTCGGTTTCGAAACACAGTGAACATTTCTACAAGACTATAATTTTTCTAGAATTATTGCTCCCTCAGGTGCTATGCTGTTCTGTTCGTAGCTCTAAGGAATTTCTGAACACGCATCCTGGTTACTTTTGCCCTTAACTTTCATACAATACTTTCATACGATAAAACATGACTTAAAAGATCAGTGCTCAATAGTTTCCTTCTAACAATATAAGTGAAAGTTTGAAGTCAGAAGTCAGTGTCTAGCTGCATAAATTTAAAAGCCGGTGGTCAAGTGCATTGAATGCACACAGATCAGATGTGAAGATAAGAGCACCAGAATAAAGTTCGCATTTTCGAGGGATTGGTGGGGTGAACGCAACAAGGCGTATGTCATTCGATTACGTCTTCTTCTCTTCGTTTCTTCTTTTGATATCTGGCGGCTTCATCTTGAGACAAAAGAGTAACTTTTTCCTGGACTCGTAGAGGATGTACTTCTCTCACTTTTATCAGATTTTCTGTGAATTCTTCCACAAATTTTCCGGATACTTTTGATCTTTCGTCGAGAAAAAAGATAAAAAAAATTACTCGGCAAATGGAAACTAATTTCCATCCCAATTTTAATCAATTTCCATCGTCCATTTCGTACATGTCATGTCCACCCCAGATGATTTTCCTCATTTCTCATTCCAAACTTGTCACAAAAAGTTCGAACTTTACGGAACTTTTATTGTTGCTTTTTCACTTATTTGGACCCTTCTATTCTAGGAAAGTTCGTCCTTTGGGTTTTGACGACCCATTTCTTTCCCAGAATGCTAATTTCATTGTCCTCTTTGACCCCATCCCAACTGTGTGATGTTTTCTGCAATTTCACTCATTTCAGACTGCCCGTGATGCCATTTGGCGTCAAAATGGGTCGAAAAAACCTTATACACCGCATTTTAACGCCAAGAATGTTGCGGAAGAACGAAGAAAGATATCGGGAAACGGAAGCACTTGTCAAGAAGTTCAAAACACAGGAACAGGTTAGTTTACTTATGATTTTCTTTTTGTGAATAACCGTATCTTCCCCAACTTCAAAAAAGTGAAAGAACGCTAAAGTAAAGCAAAATTTTGTAGGAATATTGTCCTTTTTCTTGATTGGGCTACAAAGGGCATGTACTCACTGTTCTATGCATGCATGAATTCATGTAACTCTTTGCGCTACAGAGATACTTTTTATGTAACAAAAACCTATCCACGTTTCAAAATAACGTTTCCTCCTGACAAAGTGTAATTAATCCCTCTAGACCACTTATATTAATCTTTTTCTCTCTCTCCTTTTCCGCTGTCCCTAAGAAAGCCTCCTCTTTGCATTTTGTTGAATTCCGGCACACGGAAAGATTGAAGGCTGATATCTCTTTGAGCCTTTTTGGAGCCGCGTAGCCTCCTACCCTTAGAGAATTCCTGCCGGACATCCCATCAAATTTAGGAAGAAGAAAAAGAAGGAAGAGAGAAAGGGTAAGGGGGTTAAAGCAGTTCATAGTGCAAAAATGTTAGGTAGGGATAGTGGGGACCAGACATTTCCCCAAGGATTCTGAAAAAACGGACAACCAATTCATTTAACTGACCACTGAATTCCCCTTTTGCTTATACTGCCCAGAAATCGGACGTAGATCACTAAAACCAAAGGGTGTGGTGATAAAAGTGATTTCGAAAAAGAAATGAAGACTGATTTGGGACTAGTCAAAGAATGAGAAACGGTAACATCATCTTCTAACTTTCATTTTGTAACTAAACAGTTGGTTTCGCGCTATTTCCACCGACCCGGATGTGATGGACAAAATTTTGAGAAGAACTTTACGAAATTGTAACTCACTAACGATTAGCAACTTCACCGCTTTTTAAAAGCTCTGCCGTATGTATTTACTTTCATGATACCTCGCAATGAGTTCGTTCAAAGAGTAACTTCCACGGAATCTTGCAAGGCTGTCATAATGTTCAAATTTTCTGCTGTCGCGAACATTCTGACCAACGTGTGGCAACCTTTTTTGTAGACTTTTTCTGCTAGAAAGGTTCACACACGTCAACGCCCACGCCAAAAAGTGATGTGTGAAGTGAGAAGAAGCGAAAAAACACATGGCTCCAAAAGGAAAGGGGGCAAAGTTTGAAATGTCTCCCGAAGGAGGGAAGTGATGAGATAAAGTGTTGAGAACTAACTTTTCCCTGTTTGAGTCCCCCGCTCTTCTCTTTTTTGCTGAAATTTAAACAAAATTCAGATGAGATGAGGATGAGGGCAGTTGAAGATTGATGTTGATGAAGAGAGTTGGGTTGAAAAATAGAAAGGAAATCTCTCTTTTTTCGGTGGAAAATGACGGGGAGTCAGATTGAAATTTGAAGAAAAAGAGGAGAGGGTTGCAAGAGAAACTGACGTAAACGAGTCCCCAGTGAGCCACAATTCTCATGGACCTTTCGACGCCTTCTACCTAAACAGCGGCGGCGGCCAACACATTTATCCATGTCATTTTGAAAGCACCACTGGGTGGTGAGCCTGATATTGGGTCTGAGACGAGTTGCACTTCCATTTCCAAGCACTTTTTGTTCCATTTTCAACTCAGAATGCTAACTTTTTCGGCGTTGAAGCAACGCATTTCTAGATCTCCATACTCTATATTCAGTTTCACATCGGTAAGCACTTTGTTTTCTTGTCAAACTTTGAAGAAAGAAAAATTGTTTTAAATCTGAGAGGCTTTTCGAAGGTCTTCCGAAGCCTAATCTTTTGACCCATTTGCACAGAAAAGATTTCCAATTTTTCATGTTTTCAACAAACATGCCACCTTAAATTTACTTGGATATTTGTTCAAAAAATCTAAAAAGTTGAGAGGACAACCCCGTGAATCGGAAACCAGGAAGCTTTCCAAAGAATTAGGCGATTTCTATGTGAGAGCGAGGTAAATAAGGCTAGGTGACCCGTGACCCACTAAAAGTCACTGCGCCCTCTCGGCGGACCCCCCCCCCATTCCTTCTTTTGCGTCACCCCAAGAATTGATAGATTCGGCCGAGAAGCTGTGAAGCCGTCGACAGACTCAGAAGGCCCCGCCCACCCATCATCTGACACCAGGGCCCAAGTGTGTGCCTCCAGAACCTCCAGGCACCCCTGTGTTTTTCGGGTCGGAACTCTTTAGCATCGCTCGAAAACGGAACATTTTCTATTTGTCTAATTCGTTCCATTCGTCTAGCTGGCTCAAAACGTCTCAATTCCAACAAATATTATGTACTAGCTAAATGGTATTGAGCATAAATCCTTCATGTGCTCCGCCAAACTATGAGCAGGCTAGCTTGGCTCCACTGAACATTCCCAACGGTTCCTGTTCTTCGGAAAGACGGAAAAGTTCCGTTTTGGCAGATGTTTCCAGAACTTTTGCTAAAATGTCAAAGGTAACTAACTACATGACTTTAGGGCACGTAGTAGATTAAAAATCGAGAACTTACTCTTCGAAAAGTTATATGTCCGATAAACTAAATTCCAAAAAAGATGGGAGTTCGTCATAAAGAATTTTATTCCCTAGAGACTAGTTTCTCAAAGAGAAGCTATGCCGATTTCAACAAGTTCACACTTGAACTTTTTCTTTTTCTTCTAAACACTTTTTTTAGGATGTCGGCAAAACATTTGATGAGGAAACGCCGCGTAAAGAGGAAGAGGATGGAGGAGCAAAAGCACAAATTCAACATTCCGTTCGAGATTTCTGCGAACAAACCACTTTTCATGGAGTTAACATGGTAAGCGTCCATCTTATCAGAAATCTTTGAGAAAAAAATATTCAGATTTTCACAACAAACTTTTATTGGGTCCGACTTCTCTGGGTGTTCGTCAGTTTGATTTGCATTTGTTTATGTATGTACTCGTTTTCGCATGTCAAAGCGAAATACGACAGACAGGAGAAAATTGTGAATGTTGAGGTGAGTAGGTCAAGATTTTATTGAAATCATAGGGTTTCGTTGTTCCAACATTGTCATTAAGTCATCAGTCAGACACATGTAGGCTGAAAAATTCTAGCATTGACTTGAGAGAGAGAGCGTTAAGCCTAGTCATGCAAAAGTGCCCATTATCGCGTAATATGAGTCCTTCTATCGTAATTTCATCAAAAACATTCCCCACTAGGACAGCCTAAAAAAGTGCATTCCAACATTCAAACATGATCAATTACAGTTGGAATTCGAGTCAGCACCATTCCCAGCGATCACAGTGTGCAACCTGAATCCATTCAAGAACCATCTGGCCAGAAGTGTTCCAGAAATTAGTGAAACGGTAACCTTTAGTGAATCAGAGTTCAATTTTTTTTTGCTCTTTTCGACTCTTTTTGAGAGAAAAAAACGACCAGTTCCATGAATGTCCGTTGAGAAATGGGCAAATGAATAAGAAATGAGAAAAGGTGGACACGAGAAACAATAAAATTGAACTGCGTCACCGGTTTTTGGGTCAATGAAATTGACAAATCATGATTTTATTCGCATGTGATAGTTTCTTTGCAGCTCGACGCCTTCCATCAAGCAGTCGTTTATAGTAATGACGCGGCAATTGACGAGTTCACCGGACGCGGAAAACGAAGCCTAAATGATGGCCGTGAGTCGCTTTTTTTTTCGCTTTTTTTCGTTCCTCTTTTTCACTGAGCCAAGAAAAAGGGGTCAATTGGCTGGGCTTGAGTTCGAGTTCCAGTTTAAAATGTGACAAATTGTGACGGCTCTCAGGGATTAGTTCTGAAGAGGTGAGGGGTTAAGAAATGGAACTATTTGGGTGAAGGACCGAAAAGGGGTTGAGTTATGATCTTTAGACGTGGTTTCTGAGCGTTGGAGATGTTCTTTTTTTGAAGAAAGACTATTTATTGGGCTATTGTAATATTCTGAGAAGCTGTTCAACTCCACTTTTACAGCATCATTCAAATTTCTGCAATACGAACCAGTCTACTCGGATTGCACCTGTGTTGGCGGAAAGCAAGAGTGTATAGGTATGATCAGTTTTGTACTTTGCAAAATAAGAAATCGTTTTGAATTCCAGCCCAAACTTCAATTCCACATAGTCTTGACAAAGCGTGCATTTGTAACTACGATCGACACGATGGAAGTGTTTGGCCTTGTTATAGTGCTCAGTACGTCTCTGTCGCTCTAATTTTTGATGTAGTTAGCAGCTCCCGCTAACAACAACAACAACATGTTGGCTAATTCGATAATTCGAATCTTCTCGAAAGGCGTCAAATGTCCCCCCAATTACAGAACATGGGAGAAGGCGATATGTCCGGAATGCAATGATATTGGGTTCTGCAACGTGCCAAATACCACGGGAAACGGCAAAATTCCGTGTTATTGTCAATTGGTAAGTGGATGGAGAAAAGGGGGGGGGGGTACTAAAGTAAGCGATTGAGAAAAAAGGGGAAAGTTGGCTGAACTGTAAAAGACAAAAAGACCGTGTTTTCTAAGCACTACCTTATTGCATTCCACCAACCTAAACCAAAAAATTAAAGAATCAAAATCTGATCCATTTCAGAACATGGGATACTGTGTGTTTATGCCAGAATCGAGACTCCGAAGAATTTGGGAGTTCCAAGGCAACAAGATCCCTGAGAAAGGCAGTCCTCTCCGCAAAGAGTACATGGAACAGCTGACACAATTGGGTTACGGTAACATGACCGATCAAGTGGCAATCACCACCCAAGCCAAGGAGAAGTAAGAAATCGGAGTTGTTTTTGACTTTCACTGTTTCTATTTCTGTTCAGGATGATTCTGAAAATGTCTGGACTTCACCCACAACGCCGAGCAGCCTTGGGCTACGGTAAATCGGAGCTCATCAAGATGTGCTCGTTCAATGGGCAGCAGTGCAATATCGACACGGAATTCAAGTGGGGAATCTTATTTCTCCCACAAAAATGTATCGCTAATTTAAATTAAGACTCCACATAGACCCATCTTTTGGTAACTGTTACACATTCAACGCGAATCCTAAAACGATTCTGGCTAGCAGTCGAGCTGGCCCAAGTTACGGTACTTTTGTCGGCAGTTGGTTCGCAAAGCGGAAAATGTAATATTGTAGGTCTACGTCTGATGCTCTTCGTGAACTCCTCTGACTATCTCCCAACCACTGAGGCGACCGGAGTTCGAATCGCCATTCACGGAAAACAAGAGTGCCCGTTTCCTGACACATTTGGCTACTCGGCGCCTACAGGAGCCATTTCTTCTTTCGGAATCTCTCTGAGACGAGTAAATCGGTTGCCCTTGCCCTATGGAAATTGTTATGAAAGTCAATATCCACCAGCAAACAGTATCTATAAGGAGTACAAGTATGAACCTGAGGTTGTCATTGAAATTTTGGAACATTTTTAAAGTATTGTGAAATTCAGGGTTGCTTCCGATCATGTTATCAACGTCGGATTATTGCACGGTGCGGATGCGCGGACCCGAGATTTCCAAACCCTTGGGAGAGAAGTTCCTGGTGTGACAGTAGAAACGTCACAGTTTGTGAGTCTCTTAAAACTTGATTCCATAATACTCTTTTTTTCAGTAAACTGCTTATCCATAGAAGGCGCCAAACTTTCCACAAAGAAGAATCACTGCAAGTGCATCCATCCATGCCAACAAGACCAGTACACAACCACATATTCGGCTGCTAAGTGGCCAAGTGGAAGTATACAAACTCAGTGCGATAATCAAGCAAAAAACTGCAATGACTATTATCGGTAATTGATTTTGAATCACATTGAGGTAACTTGAAATGATAAATTTTCAGAGAACATGCAGCCATGATTGAAATCTATTACGAGCAAATGAGTTATGAGATTCTCAGAGAGTCAGAATCGTATTCTTGGTTCAACCTGATGGCTGACATGGGCGGACAAGCTGGTCTGTTTTTAGGTGAGTTTGATAGAAAAATCAAAAAGAAACTTCTTTTCCTATGTCACTTTAAATTTATTGCAGGAGCGAGCATAATGAGTGTCATTGAATTCTTGTTCTTCGCCGTCCGAACTCTCGGAATTGCCTGCAAAGCAAGAAAGTGGCGGCAGAAAGAAAAGTTGCTGCGAGCTGAAGATGAAGCTGAAAAAGGAGCATCCACAAATTGTAATTGAATGCAAAGATCTCGGTTTTCTTCCGGAAATAAACTGGTTCATATAATTTAACACATTCAAGGAGAGTACATGATACTGCAAGTACATAATTCCATAGGATCAGACATTGAAAACGACAAGAGAAATCAAAAGAAACTAGGAAATTGTGTTGCCAGTACATCATCATTGTTTTCAAAGTGCTCCAGCCAGAAAATGTTCCGGAAAATGTGGGACATGTGAACCCAGCTTAAAAAAGTTCCACTGAAACAGCGGTGAATGAAATGAACGTCTTTTGACTACATCCGGGTAGAACAACTCAATTGGACGGAGTGAGGCCAATTCAAAAAATGAGGACAGGAAAATTAGCCTGCCCGGGCTTTTCAAGTACTTCTCGATGCCTTGACTATTGAATCACTTAATCCTATTGGACCCACACTTTGCCGGTCTCTTGGACTTGGATTGGAGTTCATTGGATACAAGTTTCTGACCAATCGAATTATCTGATCGGAAATATATTGATTCCGGACAAAAACTAGAGTTTTTAGGCTTTAGATGAATATATTGGATCCGATCGGATTAGTGAAAGTGGTCCAAAAATCAAGGCCACGACAGTTCTTCAAAAGCTGGGCCGGACATTCTAAACCCTGGATCAGACATCGAAAACATCAAGGGGAATCAAAAGGAACCAGAAAATTATATTGGGGTTGCAGTCAACAGGCACTGAATGAAATGAATGTCTTTTGACCAGATCAGGGCGGAATAAATTAATGGGACCGGGTGAGGCCAATTCAAAAACGAATTACACTTGAACAGAATAAACACGAGATAAGAAATCACGATTACAGTCGAAAAATGCAATTTCTAAGAAGTCTTAAAGAAACGTTTGTTTCAGAGTAACATTGAAAAACAGGGAGAAGTTGAACGGGGACGGGTAGCTTGTGCTTTTCTGTTTTCCCAGCGGATAATGCGTATGCAGTCCAAAAAATTCCCCTACTGGGTTCGAGATAACTGGGAAAAAGCGTTTGTAATAAATTAGAAAGTACTCTCCGCATCAGAGTTCTACTCGGGAAGAACATTTCGAAATAATCAAAGAAACCTAAAGGAATACAATGGAATTCAATATGAATATTGCTGCATTAAAACAGAACCCAAATTTACAAAGGAATACGGTCAATGGGTACTACAACGACGTTGGGATACGCGGGATGAAGAATGCGTGAAAATGGAATCGGAACAAACATAGTACAGAAGAAATAGAAATGAGAAGAACATTGAAGTAATGAGACAAGCAATCATACAATATAATTTGAAGGGATGAGAGAAAATGGGATGATTCAGCTTAATCATAGAAAAGACGTTGTTTTTTTCTGGGGTAAGGTTGTAACTAGTAGTATTTTGAGAAATTTTCCGAGTCAAAATCTGTAGTTTTCTCATTTGGAGAACATAACATGATGAATTGGAATTTAAAAATTGATCCTTTTAAGAAGACGTTGAGCACCTCTGCAAAGCTGCCTAATCGAAATGGAAGTTAGTGAGACCAAGAATTCTGAAAACAGTGTTTGTGTTTGGCCCTTTCGAAAAGTGCAGACTAACTGTTCCTTGTTGCGTTTCTCCGATTTTTTCTTCGGACGAAGCTTGTATTTGGGCGGAGACGGGCTCCGCGCGAAGTGAATATTCATTTTTGGTCTGGAAAGAGTTCAATTATTTCTACTCCCCGCTTGTGGTCTGATAGAATCCGTCCTAATATGTTTTTAGGTAAGCAAACTGGGTTTTTATAGTACAAACTTACGGCTCATATTCTCCCACATGATTCCAGGTGCGAGAAGTCGGACGGGAGATGTTTGAGCCAGACTCGGAACTGATGGAACAGGCGACAATGGGTTTCTGAAGCTCTGGGTCTTTCGGCTGAGTCGGGCTGGTAGGAGCAGAGCTAAACAGAGAAGTTGGTGATTGGGAAAACTCGCACTAGACATACCAAACCAACTGTCCAGAAAAACCTGAATATGCGTCCTCGTCCTGTTGAGAAGATCCTGGTGTCTCAAGTTCAATCTTCTTCTGAGCCCAAGCCAATTCTTTCTCAGCCCTAGCCAAATCAAGTTCTCTAAGAGCATTGGTAAGCGCACTTCTCAATTCTTCAATCTCTTCTTCCCCTACACAAGTTTTGAACCTTTCAGCAGCTAAGCGCTCCTTCTCTTCCAGATCAAGATTCTTCAGACGGATTTCCGCAAGTTCGCTTTGCGAGCTTTTGTATTGTTGCTCTAGTTTCTCACGCTCGATCGTCAAAGCGTTCAGCGATTCGAGAAGTTTTTTATCTTGTTGGCGCCACTTGTTCAGCTGGTTCTTAAGAGTAGAGGTTTCTTCTCCGTGCTTCTTCCACTTATTTTGCTCTTTTTCGTTCACGCGATCTTCCAAATTCGTAATTCGTTCGTCTGAAAATAGAATCTCACGTTCTCATCATACCCTTCCCCTTTTTCATCCCCTCCAACACTATCACAATAACTAACCCGACACTGTCCCGGGTGGGATGAGCGGATGAGGCCAACGCTCACCAGTGCGCGCATTCCAGCGGTTGAACGTTGGGAGAGTTTGGAACAAAGCCCACTTGGCTTCTTGCGGGAAAGCTAAAAATAATTTGTTTTGTGCAATATTCGCTTCGAATTCACCTTTGTTGTATTGAGGCTGCAAGAAATAGCCCGGAAGTGTGGGATGCGGCACCGGCTCATCATTTTTACCATCGGCAGGCGGGATGGCTCCAGTGTCTGGGCACAAAATTCCCTCGACTTTGAAGACATCATTGCCGAAGTGGATAAAAATATTCAACGCCTCGTGATTGCCGCATTTGCAAAGTGCCTTTTCCGTTCCATGACCGTGCAGGCAAAATGATTGCATGGTTTTATCACGTTGATCCTTGTTCACTTGTCTGTAGGAGTGCATTGGTGGTCCTAAACACGACTTTTGAAATATGCACACGCAAACTAAAAGCAACTTGGGTCGTTAAACCTTTAAATTTATTGAGGAACTGTTTCATGAGAGCCGAACAAGCTTAAGGAACACAGACAGACAGACAGAAGGTGTTTGGACGTAGTTATTTTACCCTACAGTGTAACTCACCGCAACTCAGAGCCAGAGCAACATCTCCGTCCGTCTCTTTCTCCAGGAACGATATCAAGCGGAAGTTTTCGATTATCGTACAAATTTGGCAGCTTCCCCTGAGATGATGCAAGAGATCCTCGTTTCTTGCCCAGCACAGCTGCGATCTACTGGACGCAATATCATTCACTTCCACGAGGACCAACTCGCCCGATTCGCATTTTGCGGACTGTTCCAGAAATTCAGATAAGGCATCGGAAGAAGAATTTGACTGTCCGGTAGCCTCCGAAGAGCTGGAGGAGGATGGCACCTGCTCAAGCGAGCGCTGAAAGCTCAGGTTCGGATAAGAAATGGGAAACTAAAAAAATTTTCTCACAACGATCGGAGCTCCTTCAAAGTGATTAGTCAACTGCATGTGATACTGCGGCGCTGGCACTTGGTACTGGATCCGGACATAGGGATTTGGAAGAAGTCCGTCGTTCTGTCTGACTTGCAAACCTTGAACTTGTCCCAGATGATTGGCTGGCTGAATACACAACATTTCTAGATACTTTTATTTTGGAACTACAATAAAAAAAACAAGCGCGAACTGATCGAAACATATGTTTACCTGAAGCAGTACTCTTTGATGACGGAAATCAATAGGCAAGACCGGTTGATTGTTCGAGGGAAAAGCACGAGCAAAGTTTGGATGAAGCGGCCATTGATTTGCTGCATTGTTGTTGAGTTGTCCTTTTCTTTGATTTTGACTTGCGAAGTGCTGACCATTCGACGATCCTTGCTTGTTCCATTTTTTTGGAGGCATTTTCAACCCAACTTTTCTGAAATCACAGTTTACATTGACGTTTCAAAGATAAAGTAATAAAGAGAAGAGGCTCGGAAAAAATTTGAGAACAGAAGAGAGAGAGAGAGATGATGTGATTACTTCTGCATCAAAGTTTAACCTGCAGTTTGGGTCCGATCGGGTTATTGCAAGTGGGACAAAAGTTTAGGCCTCAAAAAATCATTTTTGAGAGCGTAAAGACATAGAAGGGGAATCGAATAAAATCGGAGGAATGTCTATGTGCATGTACATATGTCGAAAAACGGTTCCCACGGCTTATGCAACGTGTACCATTGTGTGCCGAGGCGCGCGCGCCAATCGATATAAACGATTTCATGATGGGAGCAATGATATTTTGGCCCGAGAAAAAAACAAGCAAGAAAAAGGAAAAAAGATGGAAGGACGGTCGGAGGATACAGGTACTGTTTTTACTTTTTTAACCGATCGTGCTCTACAACGAACATCGAATATCAACTATTATAAAAAAAACATGAGAACAATCTGAGGACTTACTTTCGCCACATCACAACTAATCTAATTATCTTACTACTCCTCGAAGGCTGTGCAAGATCTTTGTTAGCGCCGCCGCTTGTTGCAACTGAACAGTTCAAAACAGACGAAAAAAGTAGAACACATGTCTCCGCAAAAAAGCGTTCGACCCCTCTCTCCACGTGTTTTTCTATCTCTCCACATTTCTTTTTCCAAACTGTTGAATACAGGGAGACACTTCTATCTTTTTCTCTCTCTCTCTCTCTCTTTTTAGCGTCGAAAGGGCAGCATTAACGATTGGTCGTTATCGGAGGGCTCCAGGCACGGAGGCAGCCCGGCGCAGCGAAGACAGAAGAAAAAAAAGATGATTTTTTCATATCGAACGGGCGGCTGAACAGGAAGAGAAGAGAGGGGATCAAAATGATTTGAATTTTGGAGCCTCTTTTCTGCTTTTGCGAAGACTAACTGAGCGGCGAGAAACTACACAATAGTATCCGAATCTAGAATGACACGATTTGCAGGCATTTATGCAACAGATTGGGATTCTACATATGTACAATGGTGTGAGAACAGTAACAGAAACTTTATCAAATACTGGTTTGTGCCCGCAGATCCAACACCAGGTGCTCTATTCGCCCCATGTTTCATTTTTTGTAATCAGCAAAAAAGTTTCGGAGTGCCAGGTGGCCTAACAGGTGTCGAATACCGCGATGCGCTGGAGTATGGTAATTTTTAGTGATTGGCTGTGCAACGAAAATCCAGCAAATATTTTCTGGGGCAAAAACGTACTGGCATTCGAATTGGGAAACAAAAGGCGGTCATGGGCCGAGGGTTCTGCAAGTGAATAAGCGGCTCAGCAACATTTTTCTTCTTTTCGCTTCTAATTTCCGGCGGCTCTCACTGTGCGTGCAGAAAACGGGCCTCGCTCTCATATATTCCTTGAATTTCAGCTATTTTTCGATTGTACAGAGCTGACTGCACCAAAAGGAAAGATTTAATGATGATTGGCTGTACTTTTACGTGCGAGATAAAGAAAATTGGTTCTAATAGAGAAAAAAACGGATAGACGTTCTCCCCAGTTTTTTTTTGTATTTCTTGAAGATTTTGTAGTCTGATCCTTATGAGACAAAACCAAAAGTGAGCAAGTACAAAAGTACAGCCGTTTCGAAGTTAGAGAAACTTTTCTGATGCCATACCCCTAATCACAGTAAGATCACCTTGCTCTCAACGTTTTCCCATCGTTTCGCAACTACTTTTCTTCTGTTCGTCGCAAAAATTTATAGAAATTCCTGTAAATTTCAATTTGTTCGACTTCTCCCACCTTAATCTCCACTTGCTCCGAGCTGTTCGTTCCGAACTGTCTCCTCCTCGCCTGTCCCCTTCTCCTCCTTAGTTCCTCGCCACTGTTGTCGCAAACTATTCCTGGAATCCATAAATTATTGTGACGGTATTTCGCCACCCCGGATTAGAATTATATTAAACTTTTACCCGTTTGTTATCTGTCCTCATAGCGCACATGTAGCGAATAAATAGAGAATAATAGGGAATAGGCAATAAATAGGTTTTAAAAAATTTCGGCAAAATAGGAAAAAGGGTGAAAAATAGGGAAGAAAGTAAGGAAGAAAGCGATAAAGTGTAAAAATGATGTGATTTGTCAGAGTTCAGAGTTTTTCTTTTACTTTTGAGGACAACAACAACGTTCAGTGCTTACATTACTATTGTTTATTTGAATAAATTAACAAATAAGTACAACTAAAGAGGTTACATGAAAGTGAGGGAGGGAAAACGGCGATACAAAGTAACGGAAACAAAAGGGTGATGGTCGGTGATGTCCGTTTCTGTCACAGAACCGAGACGAGTCACCGGGGGACTGAATGGCCCTTTCGCGAATGGCCGCGGCGCGTTACGTCTTTTTTTTCGCGCGTCTGGTAGATCAAAACATTGGGTGGCAGGGTCAACTCGTTTTTTCCGCTTTCAGGGCCATAATCTTTTGTTTTTTTCGATAAAATAAATGTCACGGTGTAAACAAACGTTGAAGATATTAGTCAACATTAACAAGAATTATCAGCGAGCGATAACAAAAGTGGCATGCTCTGATATAGCTTTGCGAGCTGATCATCTTCATCTAATTTTCGATGTGAGATTGACTGCTTCATGGGCTTGTACAATTGAAGAATAGTTCCGAGAAACTAGCATAGTTCTGTAATGTACATATGAATGTGATTACTATGTCGGTTCCGAGGTGTCTCAGACTTCACAAATTACCTGTATTACATTTTGTACATTATTGCAAGTTTCCCGAGTATTAGAGCTGTTCTAGGTCCAGATAAACTGTAGTCAAAGACTCATCAATTTTCGGCTCCCGGATCGTGAACTTCCATCTTGCTCCAAGATCAGTACAACAAGAAGGAGTGTCAGCAGATGCTTCTACTCAATTCTATACTTTTCCTCATATTCTATGTCTTCTCTAGTACCTCCGGAATTCTGGAATTTACCATTGGCGAACAATTCGCCGATTATTGTTGAAACCAGTCAATGTTTCGTCTGCCACGTTATCGACCCGAAAAATAGGTCTGTTTGCCAACTACACAACCAACATTGAAAAAAAAACATGTATTCAAATAATTAGACAATAATAATCCGGGAATTGAGAAGACACATGAGAGAATGGGAGAGGTTGGGTGGGTCCAGCAAAAAATTTGCAAAAAAAAAGAAACGAAACGAAAGAGGTAGGCGGACACATGTTCGATCAAGCATCTAAAGGAGAGTAATTTTTTTAAAAATTATTTCGAAAAATATTAGCAAAATCGAGTGGGGGGGAGGGAATACTGTAATTTTTTTGTCATCAAAATGGTACTATATTAGTAAATTTCAAGTTTTAAGAAAATGAGACCCGCGAGTGAAGAAAAGGACACAGTAAGTGGTCACATTGTGTCTGGAAATTAGCGTGGGTTGGGGGGGGGGTCATTTATGAGCACAAAAAAGAAACAGAAAAAACTAATCAGCGAGAAAAAACATCACAAGTCCGAACATTTTCGGGTGGAACTGCACTGGGAACATCTTTCAGAGAAATCAAACGGATGATAGTAAACGGCGAAGGGGACAGAGGTAATGGTTCTTTTCATCAGTCTCGTACAGGTGAGCACATCTGTGGGTTTTGTAAAGGAGACGGCTTTCTGGAAAAAAAGTGGTTATTGAAGTTCATGTCATCTATTTACTATTGTTCGAAAATTGCAATGCCGAGTTTGCATACACAAATGCACAGACGGTCTGCATTTGTGCGCGACAGTGTTTGAACACTGGGCACTACATGTAGGACATTTTATTCTGAAATGTATGTCGAAAAGGAACTCACTTTAAATCAGGACCGAGTCGGTGGAAGAATCGATGTTCGAGGGCCTCATTCAAATCCATGCGGGAGATGGGCTCGTACATGAGCATGTTCTCAATCAACTCGAACAACTCGACGTGCATTGGATCGGAGCAAGTCATCGCTCGCTGAAATTTCAAATTAATTGATTGATTCATGTTCTGTGGAGAAAACTCACCCGTAAAGGCTTGCAGTTGTCACGCACGTAGGCGGCGTCGGCCGACGTGCTCACCCAGTCGAGTCGTCCGTTGATGAAGAACTTGGTTCTGAAAGCTCTTCAACAATGCAATATCATCTGGTACACAGCACTCGGGGGGCTTGGTTAGGGGTTGAAAGATGGAAAAATAACCAACTTTGTCTTTTTAGCCATTCGTTGTGGAATATCTCCGAGCACTCGTTCCATCATCGCTAAATGCTCCCGGTTCTCATGAGTTTGGAACAGGGTGACTCCGGTGTACAGTTCGTAGAGGATGCATCCGATAGACCAGACGTCGCACGGCTGGGACCAGCCCAGTTCTGAAAACGGAACAATAATTTCGGAACAAAAACAGAGATGCATACCTAAAATTACTTCCGGTGCTCGGTAGTGACGTGTCGAGACTATCGCTGAGTGGTGCTCGTTGTCGAAAGTGGCCGATCCGAAATCGATTAGACGGACATGAGTGGCAATCAATACTCGCATTGGCTGAAAAAATATGTTGGAATGGGCAAAATATGGCTTATGTTCCGCAAAAAACAATTTCGTAAAGTATATTTACAAAACGTTTGGATAAGAATTTTACGCACCGCCCTTTGGCCATCAAGTGATACGAGGATTGCTCAAGAACGCTACAAAATGATCAAAAGATCTAAGAAGCCTGAAAATTCTTAGAGAGCAGGCAACGGGCTCTTGTTAATTCTCATAAAATCCCTTTTTGGTACTCGACAACACTAGAATCTCATCGAAATTGATGCAATGTTTCAAAAACTTTTTTCAAAACGATATCTCACCTTCTTATCGACCACTTTTGTTGTAAACCGACTATCACAGAACAGAATGTTCTCTGGCTTCAGATCCGTGTGCGTAAGCTTGTTGTCATGCAGAAATTTGACGGCGTTGCACACTTGCCACGCAATGTGCAGAACGTGCTCCATCGGATACGGCTTGTAGTGATTCTGCTTCTGGAATTGAAATTCTATTAGATACAGCGTTTTGAAGTGAATATGGGAAGGTCGTACCAGAAAGTCGAAGATGCTTGGTCCCATCAGATCGAACAAAATGCAAATGTGGCCGTGGTAATCGAAGAAAGCGCCCATGTGTATGACAAAGCTGAAAGACTTGGGTTTTAGTACAACTTTTTACATCAGATTTTAGTCAGGGAAATGTAGTCAGAAAATTTTGATGTTTTCTTTTCCCGAGTCACAAAATGGTTTTTTCTTTCATTTTTGTTCAGTTTTTTCAGCTGTGCCAAAATTAACACAAAAATCAACCCTCCAGACCAATTTTTGCTCCCTCTAAGTTAATGTTTTCAGTGTATGTAGGTGTGTGTGTGTGCAAGTGTCGAGCTCCAAAAAGTGTAAAGCGAGCGCAACTAATCGATCTCCACACTTCCGACAAACGAAAGCGGCGAGCGAGCGAGCGCTACAACTCGTTTCATGTTTTTAGTGGATGATGATACGCTTTCGAGGAGTGGAACATGACATTCCTGATCTCTTCTTTCACTCTCCCTTTCTTTTTTTTTGCCGTGTGTCCTCAGTGGCCCACAAGAGAAAATGAGAGAAAGAGAGGAAGAGGGAGCGTATCAAAATTCAGGCAAAAAGCAGCAGCCGGGAGCAGCATTTCCGAGGATTCCCCCCCACTCTTCGCGTCAAAATTCTCTCAGATTCACATGATATTTCATCGGGGCAACGAAAGAGGAACAGTTGTCTTTGGAAGAAACGAGAGCAAACCGCAGGAGCAGAGAAGAGAAAGAGAGAGAGAGAGAGAGAGAGTCAATTTCTATCTCTCATCATCGATCCGATGATCCATCACACACACGCACACCGAAGAAGATTCTAGAGCCCGCCGACCACCGACAAAAGTTCTCATGAGAAAGAGTGATGATCGGCTATGCATCCTCACACCCATGCACTTTAACACCAGCTGGTCCAGCGAACTTTACACCAAACGTATTTTTTGTGAAGACTTCAGAAAACTCACTTGTCCTTGTTCGGATCCCGTTCAGCCAACTTTTGCAAAACTTTAATCTCCAATCGAGCAGCGTCACGGTACTTGCTCACGTTCTTGATGATCTTGAGAGCCATATAGTGGTTGGTGGTGCCGTCGCGAACTCGAGCTACTTTGCCAAAAGTGCCTTCGCCAAGAGTCTCGAAGATGGTGACTGAAATCAGGAAAATTAGTTGGACAGGGAAAATAGAGATAAATATCGAAGAAAAACTGATAACTTACATCTCTCAAGAATGTAATCTCCTTTCGAGTATATCAAATGACCGTCCTTGTCGTCTTGAAATTGCGCTTTCTTGTTGGCCACAATCTCTTGAACAACTCTCGGTCGAGATGTATTCGCCTGAACAATGCACATTTGAAATTATATATTTTTCAGGTTAGCACCTATTACTGTACAAGACCAGAAATTGTTTTTATCTATTTGTTTATTTTGGAATAGAATTACAAACCTGTAAACCAGCTCTAGATGGTTTTCTCGCTTTATCCCCGCACGCGATAATCTTGTCAACTTTCGCCGAAACCGAAGCGGGCAGTTGGAGTTGTGAGATCAAGTTCTGAACTGCCGCCGACTTGGGTTTTTGGGGTTGAGTAGAGGAAGGTGGTGGCGGCCGTTCTTCTCGACTTGTGGACGACGTCGCATCTTCCGCATTTGGCCCTTGGAGTGTTGAAAATGCAGCGGCCACAGCGTTCACCGTCTTCTTTGCCCTCTGCTCGTCCGTCTGCTCTTTCGTGTGATTATTGTTGATTCCAATATCAATTCCCGACTTTGAACCCGTGAGAATACCACCTGGAGCCACTTCTCCAGTAATCTTCTTTTTTCGCAATGACAATTTCTTTTCAATCAACCGTTTGTCATCATCCGGAGCTGTAGGAGGCGGTGCATACGCGTTGCTCGTGGATGGAACATTGGGACTTCCGATGGCACATATTGTCGTTCCACTTTTAGATCCATACGCCCTCCTGAGCGCTTTTGGACCCGCTGAGGTAGTGGGGACCTGTCCATCGTCTTGTTCTTTGGGCAAGAACTCAATCCCATCAATTTTATGCACCGCGTCTTGAGTCGCAGCCATTTTTGCGACCGGTTTGGAAACAGGAGCGACGACACCTCCGATTAATCGTTTCGGTTCGGGCGGTGGCTTTTGAAGAGAGTTCTGCTTCGCGACAGGTGGCTTGAGAGGCGCAGGCGCCGGTCCTACAGGAGTAATAGCAGGTGCAAATGGGGATGGTTTCGTGGCGTTGGCAGCAGAAACAGCAGCCGGGACAGTCGTGACAGGTTCATTGGCAGCTGTTGGCACTGCTCCTTTTTTGGAAGATCCGAGCTCATCAGGTGGAGCAGCTGTCGAAGTGGAGGTGGACGTCGAATTGGCCGCCGCTTTTAATCGACTCGACGCAGCCGAAGGGATTCTCAGGGCAGTTTTCTCAGTTGGCGGAGGACCATTCTTGCTTTTCAGCTCTGTCAACTTTCCCGAAACTTGCTTAGAAACTGGCTGAGCCGCAGTCACAGCGGAGGCCCCAGCCTGAGAGGGGTCATCTGACACTTTCGGTGGGTGGTTCGGCTTCTCCGAGATAGCATGCGGAGACGGGAGTTTGACGGGATTTTGAGTCGGCAACGGGTTCGGCGTGAGCTTTTGGTGGCCAGTCGAGGCGGGAACAGGCAAAGGTGTCACCGTCTTAGGGGTCGGCGCGCCTGATTTGAGAGGCGTCATCGGACGCGAGAGACCTTTCCAGTGATTATAGCTCTTGTACAAATTAGGATCGGAGACACATCGACGAAGACTGGCTAATAGTTGAGTGTTCCGCCGTCGCGACACGTAATTCTTGTACTTTCGCTTTCGCGGTATCACAACAAGCGGCAGTCGGCGGAGCGCCAGCGAGTTGGTTTGAAGCGCCGATTGCTTGTGAACAGGCATCTCGGGAACGACTAGGATCGGCGGCTGGAGCTGAGGCTGAGGTCGAGGCTCTGTCGAGTTGAAGACAATAGCAGCTGACTGGATTGGTGGCGCGTTCGAAAGTACAGCTCGCTGCGGAAGGCGGTGCGAGATGTAATGACGGCGTGAGGCGAGCGGCGACAGAAAATGATGATGATGATGATGTTGAGATGGCTCGCGCGAAAATGGTGATGAGCGGGTTGTAAGACAGTTGGGCGATCGTGATGGTGACGTGGATGGGTCCACCGTCGTCGTCGGCACGGCCACGGAAGGTGGCCCTTAGGGAACTATAGGGACGGAGTTACTGTAGAGAAGGATATATTGTTTGGTTTGCAGAGCTGAGCTGAGAATTTGGAGAATTGAGATTCGGAAAAGGCAAGGAAATTGAATTGCAAACCAAAAATTGCCGTGCGAGCAAAAACGAAGAAGAAAAGAGGAAGAAGAGGAAGAAGATTAATGTTCTTCTTGGTGGGCCGTTCAGTAGAGAAACGAAAAAGAGGCACAGATTCTCCCTCTCAAGCATACACACACAGATACATACACAAAATAATAGGTATATATCTGTGAAGGGGCCGGCAGGGACCCGCGAAGCTTGGCGGGAGGCACACGAGAGAGGGATAGAAGAGAAGAGCCGCCCACTGTCGATCTATGTGTGTGTGTGTGCTTCGACTCTTCTTTATTTCACTTTACAACCTTCTACTTCTTCTTCTTATTCTTCTTCGTGCACCATTGAGAGTGGAGAGAGAGAGAAAGACAGGGGTAGAACTGATCGGAAGGAAGGGGAAGGATAAGACACGAGAGCGAGAAGGAGCAATTTTAAACTATCTACTTGGGGTGTCTCCCGTTTCTTTTCCTTCTCCCTCCCGCCTATCCAACACCACCACCAGCCGGATCAGTAGCAGCAGGAGCAGCAACGGGAGAGCACGTCAAACGTGTACGTGTATCAATCGATCTTTCTCTCTCTCTCTTTCTCTTTCAAGCTCATGTTGGGATGAGGGATATGATGACTTGTGTATCGGGGATGATAAATAATCACACGCAAGTATGTAAATCAAAATCCGGTCTTGTACAGTAGTATTGTGCTGAAGAAAACGATTTTTAAAAAACTTACAGGCATTGGAGTCCGATCATGAACTGGATTACAACCCGGTTTTGATAAAGCAGCCGGCAATTTGTCACTCTTGAAAATTCCAATGCTGAAAAGAAGATAAATTATTGTCTGTGTTGGAAGAAAGTATTTGGGTCGTTCTTATTTATCTCTCAAGCAATTGGTTATGAGGACAGTTACTCATGTTGGAGTACTGTATTCAACCGCAGAACTGCATTCTTTTATCAAAACTTTAATGACTGTAACATTTGTGTAAGCTCACAGTTTCCAGCTGATGCCTAAACGATGGAAAGCAGATGATTCACTTTTCGTTTTCAGTCGAAAAACTCTCCGAACTCCCTAATTACTTTTCAGAAATTCTAGAAGCGCGCTCGTGTCAACAACTGAAATTGGAACCTGACGTCGAAAAAAAGAAATGTTTCAACACTTCTTCGAAAAGAGTTGTACTGTTTGAAAGTCACAACAAAAGAAACTGTGAATTTAGATAAGCCATTTTCCTCTTTGTGCACTTTTCCAGATTGAAAATGTATACATCCCCTCGTATACTTACATGGGGCGAGTTTTGCGGACCAGCCATTTAGCCGGCCGATTTTGGAGCATTCTGATAGCTGTGAATTGAGCTAAAGTGACAAAAACAAAAATTATAGGGGAGGAGTGAAAAGCACGTCAGCTAATCAACTAATAACTGGCTGCTTTTCGGACCAAACTGAACAACACTCAAGGGAAATGGTTTGATGGTTTTCTTTTCAGCTGGAAATGAGAAAAAACGTGTGCTCGCTCCATTATGTTCCCCTTCTCTGCCCACACATTGGTGACGGAATGCAGAGGGGAAATGGAGAGAGAGAGAGAGAAGCGAGAAAAGCGGAACGTTTTTGTCAAATGAGAATGACAGAAATGTTTTGGAAATCAGTCAGGTGGAAGGAAAAGCGAACATGTGATTTTGGAAAGTAATTCTCGAAAAAGTGTAGCCTGAACAGCGGTTTTGGAAAGTTAATTGCCAGTAGGTTAGCGGAAAACTGGACAATTTTTGTTTAGGTTACAATAAGAATATACAGTTTTTGTCAAAAGCCTCATACTAGGAAGGCCACACCTAATCATCAACTCACAATTTGATCGAATCACTTGAATCTTCCTTTTGCTTTGGCAGCAATGGAGTTGGTTCCCTCGGCGGCGTGTCCTCTATCGTTATCGTGTCCAAAACTATTGGACGATTTGGTGATGGACGTGGAATGGCTGTTGTTGTCACTCTCACTTCTTCTTGTTCTTGAACGCCAGAAACTGGAACGACAGCTTCTGGGACGGCAGCTTGTGGAGCTTCGGCTTCTCCACCGTCATCTTCGGAAGCATCGCCTTCGGCTTCAACATCCGCTTCCAGAGTGTCATCGCCTGGAGCATATGAACTGTTGCCCGGATTTGTCTCGCGCACCGCATGAGCCACCACGTTTGGATTCGGATCCTCGGGGACATACTCGTCGTCCTCTTCCGTTTCGTCATCAGAGTCGTCGATCATGATGCCTCCCTCTTGCCGAATAATTTCATCAATAATGTCATCATCATCAGCTGGTGAAAAAACAATTCTTCTTGGATCATGAACTTCTTCTTCATCATCTCCGAGATCCTCCTCATCTTCGAGATCTGCCTCTTCTTGGACATCTTCATCTTCTCCGAAACTATAAGAGTTTGCAACACTGTCGTCATCAGCAACATCGTTTTCAACAGTGTCGTCGTTAACATCGGCCACTCCCACATGTTCATCTTCATTTTCTTCATCCTCCTCAGCTTCTTCATCGCTTGCAGCTTCAGCTTCAAGATTGTCCATTGCTTCAAATTGTCTCACACGCATGGCTAGTGCAGCAAACCCGGAACGCCGACAATATGGAACCGCTTCGAAGCCTTCTTCTCCATGATTTACAGCAACTGCATTGTGGTTCACTTCCAAGCCTTCTTCTACTTCTTCTTCTTCTTCATCATCATCATCATCTATGAACACTCGACGCATGCCCACGATTGAGTTCTCATCAAAATCTTCTTCTCCATGATTTACAGCAACTGCATTGTGGCTCACTTCCAAGCCTTCTTCTACTTCTTCTTCTTCTTCATCATCATCGTCGTCATCTATGAACACTCGACGCATGCCCACGATTGAGTTTTCATCGAAATCTTCTTCTCCATGATTCACAGCAACTGCATTGTCGTTCACTTCCGTGACGTCTTCTACTTCTTCTTCTTCTTCATCATCATCATCGTCATCTATGAACACTCGACGCATGCCCACGATTGAGTTTTCATCAAAATCTTCTTCTCCATGATTTACAGCAACTGCATTGTGGTTCACTTCCAAGCCTTCTTCTACTTCTTCTTCTTCTTCATCATCATCATCATCATCTATGAACACTCGACGCATGCCCACGATTGAGTTCTCATCGAAATCTTCTTCTCCATGATTTACAGCAACCGCATTGTGGTTCACTTCCAAGCCTTCTTCTACTTCTTCTTCTTCTTCATCATCATCATCATCATCTATGAACACTCGACGCATGCCCACGATTGAGTTCTCATCGAAATCTTCTTCTCCATGATTTACAGCAACTGCATTGTGGTTCACTTCCAAGCCTTCTTCTACTTCTTCTTCTTCTTCATCATCATCATCATCATCTATGAACACTCGACGCATGCCCACGATTGAGTTCTCATCGAAATCTTCTTCTCCATGATTTACAGCAACCGCATTGTGGTTCACTTCCGTGACGTCTTCTACTTCTTCTTCTTCTTCATCATCAATGAACACTCGACGCGTGTTCATTTCCATGGCTACTTCTTCATACACGACTGCCACTCTGATTGTGTCCCCTTCGAAGGCTTCTTCTCTATGTTCGACAGCCTCCGCATGATGGTTCATCTCCATGAGTTTTTCTCCACCGACAACCACTTCACGCGAGGCCACTTCGAGACGTGCATCCTCGTATATCGACTTTTCAGCGCAACCTTCATTCTGAGCATGATCGACTTGCTCATTCTGATTCTCGGCGGCAACTGGTTGACTGGAACCTTCTCCATTACTATCTTGAATTTCGTCGTCGTCGCTGATGCCGTAGATGTCAAGGGGTTCGTTTTCGGCACACTTTTCTGCATACTGCTCGGCGAGAAATTTTGCGATTTCATTCGTCTCATAATCAGACGTGTTAGAAGCGTGAGGCGATGATTCACCGGAAAACGAGCCATTGTCAGCAGGCGGTACTTCGATATCGGGCAGCCCGATATCATTGTATTCGTCGTCCTCCGAACATTCGACTGTGATGACGGGCGCAGTATAAAACGGCGACGGTGTATCGTTGTGTCGAATGGTTCCGTTGCAGACAGTCGTTGTTGTCCTAGTGTAAGACCTTTCATATGATGAGCCAGGCACTCGTCTGAATCTGGATTGAAACGCGATCGCTTCGCCGTTGCTGATGGGGCCATGTTCTTCTCTGAAAAAATAGTACGATTAAAACTAAGAAAGGAAAAAATGGTGATCTGGGTAGTCGTTGTCAAAATTATTGGAGGAATGCCGTTTGAAGAAAAGTCAAAATTTTCAGGCCGACAGCTAGTTTAAAACGTTATGCTATGGGAAAACCGTAAGTATTAATTAACATTCTCATTCGCAGTTCCGTACACTTGACTTTCACTCGGACAGATGTTTTCTCTCTTTCTCACTGATAACTCACTGATTACGAGGCCTTTTCGTTTCCAACGGGTCCGCTATTCGAGATCCTTCTCTTTTTAGTGAGTTTGTTTCTGCGCCGTTTAGGTTTTCCCGTGTTGTGCCTGGACTGACCATCCTGAAAGAAGCAAAAATCAATAGACGAACCAGTTAAATGAAAAGAAGAAGTCAAAGCATTAAAACATTCCAGATTGCTGTTCGGGAGTTTTGGTGGAGTTTTTTGCGGTTTTGACAGCGGCAAATGCATAAAGATTTTTTAAAAAAAGTGGTAAATGCGTCCTTAAGGCAAATCTTAAACTTCTACGAAAAGAGAACAGTTCTAGAAGCTTAGAAATTTGCCAGTGGGAATGGGCCTAAACCTCAAACACTCGCTTTAGAATAGTGTGCCGGAATAAGGTTAAGAAGAGAGTCACCCCAGAAAAGGTTGATCAAAACAAGAAAAAAAGACAAAAAATAACTATCAACAGGCGTAGGTAGATAACCTGATTAAATTTGAGATTCCTAGAAGGATATGTATATCAGAAAAGAGGAACAGATGGTGGAGGTGCAGCACTGCTCGCCGCTCGGCCCAAGTCGTTTGTGTGTCTGTGAGTGCGGGCCAGAAATCGATATCGAATGCGACTCATCGGTGCAGTGCAGCAACCAGCGGAGAGCGGCCGGTCGGGGAGGTCGAATCTCAATGGGGAGAGAGAGAAGAAGAGGGAGTGTGCGCTGCGCGAGAGACAACGCGTTGCGGACGCCACCCACAGAGAGAAAGAGAAAAAGAGAGTAGGACCTTGATCGTCGCCGTCTTTTCTCCTTCTCACCCACACAGCATCTCCCCATCTCCGTCCCGCTCGACCATTGTGTCCCCCTAGGGCTAGAGATAATGCGCCCAAACTTTTTGGGAGCGTTTGGTGACAGACGGTTGCCTCGCGCGGAGTGACGACAGAAAACGTGTGCGTTTAATGAGTCTTTGTTTGTAAACGAATGGGAAAACAAGAAAAGTACAGGTGAATAGACACGACACGCGTCAAATGTTTCATTTTTCGACTTGGATTTATGTGAAACGTGACTTGCATGCAGACATTTTGACCCTTTTTCACTTTTTCAATGATTGTTAGGAACCTAGGAACATTTTCGGAACTGTCTGTGAAATATCTGGTGATTTCTGCTGAGGATCGCGTGTTTTTTGTTTGGTTTGAGCGTTCTATTGACGAGAGCTTCTTATCGATCCTACCATTATTTTTGGATTCCGCTGTGAAACCCATAGTTTTATTTGTTGAATTAGTATATGTTAAAACAATAGTCGAAAATTGCAAGTATTTGACAAATATTGTTATAGACGTTCTTTTAATAATAGTTTTAGTTTAAAAAGTTGCAAGTTTGTCAACATCGGTTCAAAAATCAGAGTACAGCAATCAGAATGAATTCCTCTGTTTTCCTACTGTTCAAAACAGTTTGACTTTCAGTTTTAGTACAATTTAGGCCACGGAAGTTTAATTTTCAAGAGAAATTGCGGAGCACACACATTCAACCAAGCACATTCAAATACTGCCTATTCAAAAAAAGGGGTTTCGGATAAAACTGAAGAGAAAAGTAAGCGAAGAAAAGAGAATTGAGTTAGAGAAGCACTGCATGCCATCCCCCAAACAAGAACTTTTTATGGGCAAAAAGAAGAGCCAAAGCTGTATAGAAGCGAAAAAACTCGCGGCGGCGCTGGCCTTTCATTTGCGAAGGCAAACGTGCATGCCAGGCCAATTTTTCTGTTTCTCTCTTTCTCTCTCTTTTTCTCGCTCTTTCACTCGCGTTCTCCTCTCCCTCGACGACCGAAACAAAACTAACTCTTCGTTTCTCCGTACCTCTGTCAGTCGTTTTTGCCTCGTTCTCCTCGTCTTCCACCTCTGGACATGCTCGTGTCGAGATAGAGAGACTTTGACTTCCCGTTGATTGGACGTGATAACTCAAATAGAGAGTATGGGACTGGGTGAGCGGAGAAAGATATGATGGGCGCTGCAAACAATCTATTGAAATTTTATGGTAATTCAGAATGAAGAGAAGAGGAACTGACGGTGATAACAAGATGTAAAAATGGGAGAGAGAGAGAGAATGGGAAATCAATGAGATTTTGAAAAGAAACAGTCGCCCGACCTGTACACAGCAACAAAAAAAGAAGAAATACGGCGCGACGGAACGAAAAGAAACAGAGAAAGCTGTAAAGTTATGAAATATGTATGTGGATTCAGATTGAAATATCCGGGGTTTAATTTTCAGATAGATCGGTTTACCAGGTCCGGAGATATACTAGGTTGAAGCCGAAAAGGCATGGTTTTTGCAAAAGTTACTGTTTCTTCGGTTTCTGATCCACATATCTCCGGACCAAATAATCCAATTGATCTGAAATTTGGACCCATAATACTTCAATCCAAGTCCAAGCAGCCTGCAAAGTTTGAGTTCGATCGAAATATTGAAACTGGGAAACAAAAGTCCAGGCATCGACAGGCTTCCGAAAAACCGGGGCCGGCCCTTTGCCAACCCGGGCTATAAATCAAACTTTTGAAGTGCACATCTTATTTCAGGTTCTGACACGTTTTAGTGTAAAGTTAAAAACTGGAAAAAAAACTTTAAAGGGAACAATTCAGGAAATGAAATGCGAACAAAACAGATAGTCTTGACTCAAAGATCACATTATAGACAGCTGCCGCCATCTAATATGTACACAAGTAAGACAAACACCAGAAAAACTCAAAGACAAATTGTACTTTTAAGAAAATTGTCAGTGACGTGACAATAGGAAGCAGACGGGAAGAAGTTTCAGGAATACTTCATGCGAATCTTGATTTTGACAAGGATTTTTCAGTTTTCGTCACTCTGTCAAACAAAGAAAATGTTATCTGAAAGTTGTACAAATTCAAAGATCAGTCTTCAAGCAGCTGCTGCCAAAGGCAAAGAACGTCAAGAATAGAGAAGTATGTCCAGCTTTTAGAAAATAGAGATGGGACTACAACGACTAGTTCAAAATCAGAATCACACCAGCCAGACGAAATACCGAAAATTCAAAGAACCTTACTTCCGCTCTAATTTTCGCCGTCGAATCTCCTCCCCCGTCTAAGAAAGGATTCATCGTGTAGTGAGCGTGACACGGGAAAAGTGCGAAAAAGATTGCTATCATACACCGTTTCTTGTGGGCGTAATCCGGGAGAAGATTGCAAAACATAAAGTGCAAGTGTATAAAAGAGTTGAGAAACAAAAAAACGAGTGACCAGGTGTTGAGTGCATTGCACACACGCCGACACACTCTTATCAATCAGTGACGACATGCGACTATTCTATTTGCTAACCTACACATTTATACTGACTTTTCAAGTGAAATCACATGATAATGCGACTAGTGTTGGAAATTCACGAAAAGTTCCTACCACCAGATTACCAGTGACCTATTCTACAAAGACTCATGCACATCAGTGGACTAGAGCTCATACAAAGAAGCCGAGTTGCCATTCTTTTAATGTTTTCTGTCTTCCTTGCAAATTGGTGGTCAATACGATACGGACAACTATGGATAGAATTGTTTTTGTTCACAAGGTGATTGTGGTGAAGCTCAAAACTTTGTTCAGAAGAGTTATGGTTAGGCAACGTTCCCAACATTTTGAAATCAAAAGTTGTCCTAAAAATCTCGACATTTTTTGCAATTATGTACTCCTCTGTCTTTTTTGACCCAAAGCAAGTGAATATTGTCTGTTAAAGAAGCTCATGTCCAATGAACTTGCACAAAAAATCTCCAAGCGCTTCAAATTCCTATTCTAGGCTGTGGAGAACATGTGTACAAGTATTCTAGGACGTCATGTGATTTGTGATGCTATCATCAGAGTCACAATGTTTTACCTGGACCACACGCCTACGGAAAGTGTGAGAACCTTTTTCATCTCAACGGCAGTTGTGAGAAAACGTTGTTTACAGGTGTGTAAGAGGTTTTTCTTCTGTTCGAACCACGGCTTTTTCGATTGGTGGCATACGAAGGTTGATTTCCCCGAAGGATCACAAAATTCAACTATTTGGAAGGTATTTCGGGAGTATGGTGTTCAGGGACTGTAGAAAATTTCAGATTTTGAACTCGAGAGACAAAGTACTGGATTCTAACAAAGCTTGGGAAACATCTGTTAAATCACTGTTGGTGAGCCAAAGTTCTGCTATAGAATTGGAAGATTTACCTGAAGGAGCAGTATATGAAATTGTCCAGTTTGTACTGAAAATCGAGAAGGCTGTCAATGAATTGACAAAGAAATGAGATAAAATCAGAAAATTCAAATAAATATTATTCATTTATTGCACCTCATTCGTTAGCAGTTCATCAAGAGAGGATGTCATGTATACGGGTTAACAGGAAAGAAGATTATTAATGTTCATCAAGAAAATCACCTTATTATCATAATTTTTTCTCAAGAAATTTGGATGTTGTGAGCAGAATGAAAGAAACATAAAAGTTGGGAAGGGAAAACGGGGGAGAAACATTAGAATTACTCGTCTTCGGACTCCAAAACGAACAATGGCGAGATGCGTTTCTCTTGTTGCGAGAAGCACAAGTCTTGGCAATTTTGTTCGAAAAGGATGGGCAACTCTTCCATTTCTTCCATTGACGAGCAGCGCGGATAGTGGTACGGCACGCAAACCGATGAGCCCTTCTAAAATAAAATAAAAACAGTTCATTTACGGGGAACTTGAACTGACCGGACGATACCATCTTTTCACAAATTTTGGGTCAACACCGTCGGAGCATGTGTTCTTGATGATTTTGCAGCACCGCTTGTTCACTTCGCCTGAAAAGTGCATGTTTAAGAAAGCAGTTAGTACGCGAATTTTGCATAAATCAATGCAGGGCCTGACTGTGTTTACTAAAGTTTGGTCTACAAATGTCTTCTAAGCCGGGGTAAACGGGTTTCATGAAAGTATACCTTTTTTCAAATCAACAGTGGAGTCCCCAGAAACTGTTTTTCAGAATATAATCTACAATCTCCAAAATGAACTCACAATCCGGATTAGAGTCGAGTGGAAGTGGATCATCAGCAAGCGTTTGAATTATTTCATTGGTCATATAAAGCTGAGCCGTGATTTCCGACGCGTGTTTTCTCGTGTTCGGTACGTAACCTCCAGTTTTTGGCCAATAGAGCATTGGTCTAGTCGTCGGTTGCTGCATGTCCACTAATTCCTCCGGATATGTTGTCATTGTGATAGGTGTTTCCGTTATGGTAGTAGTGAATTTCGGAGTTGTTGTGGTTGTAGTTGTGGTGGTACTTGGTTCCTCTGTCACAAAACCTGGGGGCTCCGTGAAGTGAAACCTTTGGGATGGAATTGGGGGCGGAGAAGTTGTGGTAGAAGTTGTAGAAGTTGTAGTTGTCCGTGGAGCAAACGTGGAAGGTGGGTAGGGAGTTACATAAGCCGGACGAAAAGTGGATGGAAATGTTGGGAAGTATATTGGAGCTTCGGTAGTGGTTCCTATGTTCAAAAGGCCTTGCCGTTGTCTGTAAGCATCTACAAGCAACTTGGAAAGCTTTCTGTTTCTTCTCAGAGCGCTTTTGATGTATTTCTCATCAAGCGGCTGGTTGGAGTCCAAAGCTTGCTCAATTCGTCGGAGCAAGGAGGTCACCGAGTGCTCAGAAGACGGTCGGAATCTTCTCGAACTATGGTAGAGATCGTAAGGTGGCACTGAAGTAGTGCTTATGGCACTTGGAGTACTAGAAACCCCAGAATATCCAAAAGCTTGTTGATGTTCTCGGTAGGAAAGAGTCGGAGAAGTCCATTTGTTCTCCTTGACCAATGCTGACATCCCTGCAAAGAAAAGACAATAACCAGTTTAGTAGCGCACTAATCAGCTGAAGTTAGCTATGATTAGCACTACTTACTGTCGTCTCGCCACTGTCTGCTGGACATTTGTTGCGTGGAAATGTCGATTATCGAAGTGTTGTTGTTGCTACTGACAAGATTGTCGGAAGGTTGAGGGCCGTACCGACGGTTGATTGCGTCGTCGAGTTTGAACAACTGTTCGGTTTCACTGATGAACTTGCGCTTGAGCTCGGCTTGCTGTAAATTGAGAGCGTAGTCGGAAAACTTTCTGAATTTTTTTTTTGTTATCCACTCAAATATTTTAATTTGCACAATCAAAAGACTGTTATTAAGAAATTACGGCATTATCCGCTCTAACAAGTATCAGAAGAAAAACTAATGTTGAAGTATGTGCACTTGATTTTGGAAATGGCCAAACAGAAAAGCTGTAGACTTTTGTGGATATTAGACCAGTAGGTATCAGAAATTTCAAATGTCTATGTAAAGTCCGCATCTGCGTTTGCTATTATCAACTTTTCCAGACATACCGTAGGATCATCATCCCGACCAAATCCAACTTTCTTCATTTGCCTCTCGACAAGATTTCTTGCCGAAGACGGCGACTCATCGCCAGCATTCTGTTGTCCATTAGCCACACTTTGAAGGAGGTTCTCGACACGAACGGATGGCTGGAAATTGACCTGCAACAGTGTCGTTTCCGTAAAAGTGACATGACATTTCAATTATACTCCTCGCTCCCCCCCAATATTAAGCGCTTTGGCCAAAGAACTTTTTGGGAAAACCTGCACTTTCCTTCTCTGTTTTATTTCAAAAAGTGACCTACAAACAGGAAAAGGATAGGGGGAGGTAGGGACAGTAAGTTGCGTGGAAGAACGTTAGATAGAGGGGTATGGAGGCTATAAATCAAGTGAGTCAAATTGCTTCGCACAGACGGTTCACCGACTGTTTTGGATGTGGATAATAGCAAAAAGATTGAATCTTAACGAGCTTTAAGGTGTTAGAAAAGCGTCCGTTAAGCACCTCATTAAAATTTTTCTACAGATACGCTCTCACACTTCCCTTTTCTCTTCAAACGCCTTTTAGGGCTACGGCGCCGCGGTAAGATGAGCTGAGATAAGCGTTTTAAGGGGTGGGGTAGGGGCAGGCGCCCTTTAACGGATCACAAATCATCCAGGCGGAATGGGAAAATAACAAACGCTTACCTGATGTTCGGAATCACAAGTAGTCTGATCACAATAGCGAGTTTCGTAAAGATGAGGGCACAATCTCTGCATCATCTTGCCTTCCGGTGTCAGTTCGGGTAAAGGTGGTTGCAAAACGTCTCGGTTGCGGACAATAAGACCTTTCTGGCAACCACCATGGCATTTCGACCACGTTCCCCATTCAGAGACGATGCATTCTGGAAATGAGCAAGGGTTTAGTTTGCAGACAATGTTAGGGACTGAATTTGCTTTTAAAGGCGACAAGAATGCTTTTTCAGGAACGGGGTTTCAAAAAGTTACTATTCAATCCCAGTGAAATTCCCTTTTAAGATAGAAGAGCACAGCAAAGTTAAACTAAATCGAGCAAACATGCATAAACTTACGTGATTGAACCGTTGGTTTGAAGAGAACCAGTGGTAAGAGTATGACAAGTTCCAGAAGCCTCATCACACCTCAAGTTATACCTGAAACTTACAAATTACGCATTTACACAAACATATCAACGATAAAAGGTAAAGTGATAATTCTAACTCGGAAGTTTCCAGCTAAAACCGCGAAAGGCTGAGGGTGTCAAAGGAATGTGTCGAGGAAGAAATGAATAGTGCGGACGCCCCGCCTATCTGGTATCCACATCTTTGCTTCATCGGAAAGGCGACGGCGGCGGCGGCGGCGTCCACCGCTTTTTGTGGTTACTGTAGGGAGTATGGGGACGTTCCTCCGTTCTCCCCTTCCTCCGCTCGCTCTTATCCTCATCACGGACAACGATTTGTGTCGCGCTTTTTGTGGGTGCGCAACGCATATTTGAACGAGATTAGTATCGCCGCTGCAATAAGGGGCCTCCCGATGCACTTTTTCCAGGTACCAATGTTTGCATTCCGATGGCGAGTTTTTGCCATTATCTGCCGCGTTTTATCTAGCGAATTTCAGTTTTATATGTGAGTGCGTGTGTCCAGACGTTTTTTGGATTGGCCGCTTTGGGCGAGGCGTCAAGATGCACGAACATTGATCTTTTGCGCTTTATTTATTTGGCCAAAAAAGGTGTGAAGTTTGAAATTTATTGGAACTGAAAGAAAACATCGGAAGGAGAGTGAGAGCGAGAGAGAAGGATTGGCAAAAGCTATAAGGAATGCATGCACTTGACTACTTGATCTGATTTTTTTTAACAAACCAACTGTAATACCGTAAACTCGTAAAGTACCCAACTTGAATACCTAATTTTCCAAAAACAATTCTTGAAATAGACTTATGGCCGGAATCTATGCTGTCCGGACTTGTGAATAAGACTCAGAACAGCTATAGAACTAACTGCAGAGATCAAAAATATAACATCAAACCAGCGATGATAAAAGTTGAACTGAAGATCACCCAGAATACGGGTCAAGATTGTGCGGTACTCCAGTGGTACATTCATGCGCATCAGAAGTACACTGGAGACAAAGTACATGCCCATGATTTGGGCAAATCCGAGCACAATGATGTTAGAGGAGCGGATGTTGGAAATCGAGACAAAGAATTTGGCCATGGTGATGAGGAGACCTGAAAAATGTGCAATGTAATGTGAGCGAGCCATTAAGGACTTGAAATACACAATTTGATCGTTTGAAGAATGCGCGCTAGCTAGACAGAATTTCAATGTTTCGAAAAATGGTTCTGCAACTACTAACTACTTTAAAATCCACTCGTTTTATGCAAATTACCCCCAGAAGCATGGTGGAACTTAGTGAAAAACAACTGTACCCCTCTCCCGCAGCGAATCCCATAAATCTCACCTCTGATTGATGTGATCGCAATCACTCCGACCAGGAAGAATGAAATGTATTGCGACCAGTACCGAACATCCATTTCAATTCCGACATAGTTCACACTGATTTCGATCATTCTTGTCACAGGATCCACCTGCAATTTTTGCGCTGTCTCTATTTCCGAACAATACTTTTTTTAATTTTATCAATTTACAAATTCAACAATCGAATGCGGGCCGGGCCGATTTTCGAAAATCATATCCTGCTATCAGGACGAGTTATTTTAAAGACTTCCAATGAATCACTATGTGCTTTCCTAATTATTTCGATACTAAAAGTAGTACCTTGCCGACTCGATCGAAAATGATATTAATCAACGAGATGAAGATCTTCCACATGCAATAGAGCGAGAAGAAATGGCCGAGAACATTGAAGTACATCCCGAGGAAGGTTTTACTGAAAGTTTACTTTTTTTCTGTATCATCAAACGGAAACCTACCTGAAAGCTACTCTGTCTAGCATATTCTCTAATTCCACCAACTCCAGAAACAAATATCTGCTCAATGTCTCCAGCGGCTTGATTTCTTCCCTCATCCGGCTGAAAATTATGAATTCTATAATTGTTTCGGTACAAAAAGTTCAATACCTTATCTGAGACTGTAAATTTGTTTCACTGCTGCTTTCACTGAAGTTCGACCACAATTTGGACAGGAAGCTGGGCTCTTGACCATCTGAAACGAGAATTTCTGAAGAAATCATTAGAAAACTAAGTTTCTGACTTTTATCGGCGTTCAATCTCTTCAACTCTAACTCATTCCGCGCCAATTTTCGTTTTTTGCTCACAATCATGTCCATCGCGTGCGTCATCCTTTTCTCCAATTGTTGCGCTTGCATTTGTTCGACCTAAACTTCAATTTCCAATGATTAATTTTCATAAAACCACAAACCGGTCTCATAAAAATGGTCATGTAGGTGTACGGAGCGTTTACGGCTCCAAACCCTGACAGAATCGCCATAACTGTGACTCCAATGACGCCGACGCGTGAAATCACCTGTTCGATCGTGAAAATCCCTTAAAATCTACTGTTTTTCTTGACAAATTAGCAAAGAAATACCATTCTTTGCACTTAGAATTGGGAATGGATCTCCGATTTTCCAGAAAAAGTAGAGGAACACGAACCAGGAGAAGACAGTGAGCGGTAGAAGGAATTTTGGTCGGACTGCAAAAAATCGATAACTGGCTAAAGAACCATGGAACTTGCTGAAATTGACGGTTTGAATCAGTAAATACGCCATGTAGAGTGGAATTATAACGACCAATGTGAAAAGTATTGTCGATAAGCAATATGTCCAGCATTTTTGTCGACTTCTGCAAACAATTTCTCAGTAAACCAACAGAATTGACCAGGAATCTTACGTTGGATCCAGAACATCAGCAATTTCGAAGATGATGAGCTCGAAAAGCGAACAGGATAAAGAGAACGTAAAGGAGAAGATGAATTGTACTAGTCTGCAAGAAGTTGTTATAACGGGCTGCTAAATTTTTGTGAATACAACAAAAAGCTTACTTGTTATGCACTTCATAGTTCTTGAATAACTGTTTTGTGTAGAATATCCATCCGGCAACGAAAAACAGAATGAGAGACGCGAAAACCACCCACGCGTCATGACTGCCACTCTCACCGTCCATTTTTGAGCATTTCGGTTGGGAGACCTTCCGATTTTGTGGTTATTTTTTGTTTGCCGTTTTCTTTTTGAAATATTATAAACTGACTGAACAAGAAAAGTATTTCTGCATGCCACGTGGCAAAATTCGAATATTTATTTCGCAATAATGACAGAAAGAGAAACCACAACCATATTGAATTGAACCACATTTGAATGAAAATGAAAGAATTTTGACAAATTAGCTTGATGAACAAAAAAATGACAAGGAAATGTCGACACGCGGTGCTAGAAGGGAGAAATCACAAAAAAAAAACATCGATACAAAGTCTCAAACAAACTTTTTTGATAATTATACGATATTATTGCTACTATGACAAGTGGGATGAACGGAAATGATAATGATGTGATTAAAATGGGGTCGATAAGTAAAAGTGCTCGGATTTTCGGGCTGAAATACATATGTTTGACTCGGAAAGTTACCAGGAAATGCCGGATGATGAGGTGGGCGGAATAGAAAGTGTTGGAGGAAATTTTGAGAGAAAATAATTCGAAAAAAGTCAAGACGGTTCACTTCTTGTGTTCCAGAAGTTGAGAAGAGGAATTTCGGGAGCCGGACTGAAGAGAACGTCTTTTTTCCTTGTAATGAGCTTCACTGTCGTTGTCATCGTCCTCATCTTCATCATTTTTCACATCTTTCTCATCTTCTGTTTCGTTCAAATGACTTTCAGTGCTCTCCGACGGGCTCACATCAACTTTCTTGGCGGGAACCTGCTCATTTTCGTCTTCCGACTCCGATTCATCTGATTCTTGCGGATTCTGTAAGCAAATGTGTTTGCAAAGGTTGTGTTCAAACCAATTGTTGGATTTCCTAAGACCTCAAAAAAAAAATTTACTGAAACTCGGCCCAGCTCGCGACAAGTCTGCTCAAAGTTATACCGAACCATCAACTAATTTCTAGAGCCCTATTCTTAACTTTCGGAGCATACAAAATATGATTTTTACATTGGAGAAACCGCGACCGGAAAAGAAAATCTTTATATAATGCAAACTAGGCATCTAAACTTGCAAGCTGAGCGTTTTCTATATTTAGTAGTTTGACAACGCGAAATTCTACAGTTTTTCAGTTTTTCAGTCGAAGGCCCAAGAGAAACATACCGAAAACGTCTGTGAGCTCAATCCACTAGATCCCTCCTCACTATCCGTCTGACTCCTTGACAACTCTTTTCTAATTTCAATCTCAATCTCCTCCTCGTCAATCTCGACATTCTCGTTTGCAATGTACGTCATCTCGATGCACTCTTTGGTCTTGCCCTCATCCCCGAGTTGCTCCATTGTGAGCACTTGATGCAAAGCTTTGCCGCTCCTACTACTCGAGTGTCTTTTTCTGCGTGTTGACGAGTTGATGGTGGAGACGGGGTCCGTGACAACCGGAATCGGGGTCGTTCCGTTCAAACCTTCGACTAGACTGACCGTCTCGTAACTGCAAAAATCTGGTTATTTTTGGTGTAATATGAGCGTTTTAACTGAATCCTATAATCTTGACTTTGAGCATTCTTCCGCTCTCGAATGTGTTCAAGCAAACAATTATTTTCCACAATTCAATGACTCACATCTGATTCCTGGTTTGTCGGTGAGCGCGAAGTCTGATCAGTGCTCTGAATGGTGATCGACATATCGGGCAGTTATTGTGCTGAAAAAAGTGTTATCAGCAAGAGATGTCAGAAAAAAACTCACTTTGTATCGTAAAGAGTCGGCACAATTGCTGCATACACAAAGATGACGGCATGGAAGAATGACGGTGTCCCGGATGTCCGAAAGACAAATGATGCACTCGAGACCGCTGTCGTCGTCCGGACATTCGCTTCCTTTGTTTTCGATTCCAAATATTTCCTGTAAAATAGGAGATTTGAGTAACTTCAAAGCATATTAATAGGACTGAGAGCGTCGAATAGAATTTCGTGTTTGAAGTGAACCCAATTCCAATTAATTTTCAACCAAACCCACAAAACACTGTTCCTACACGTACTATAAACCATTTGTATCAGCTAGTCGCCTCAAAGTAGTGTTGTTTTCTATGGTTTTGCATCATCCCCTTCTCCTGTCATTAGGGCAGGACTAAAGATGCAATGTTCGCAAGAGCCCGCCTTACATTCACATATTTCTGAACCAGATAATCTGATCGGTCAGAGGCTTCGGCTCAAGATACTTCAATCCAAGTTTAAGAAACACACATAGTTTGGATCCTAGCTTATTATTGCAAGCGGGTCAAAAACTCATGCTTGTGCCTATCCTTGCATGCCATTCAATTTCAGATCAATATTTACAACTGAAAGAAGATCACGTCATAGTGCTTCCCTTCTTTTCCAACAAAACCGACAGCAACTGCATATCAACCACTTTTTCCGTCTATTCCACCTTCAATTGCCTATGTAACGGTTGATAAGACTGATAGGGAATAACACGTTGAAAAAAGGATACCTGAAGAAGATAGGTGACCCCATCGCACGCGATCTTTTGTCTAAGCGGCTTCAAAAGTAACGCTTTACTGCTATCGTTTCCGGTCTGCAAAATATGAGTTATCCAATGGAGTTCCGAAAATAATTCACCTCAATTGTACACATTGTTGACTGCATCTGAACGCTTTCAACCCCGGAAGTCATGATCGAAATGACGAATGGATAGTAGAGGCCAGACGTGTAAATCAGCTGAAAACAATGACGGGTGTAAAAGTGACGTCAAAGGCGGAAATGGACTGTTTGAACTCACATCGCTGGGATCCCATCGTGACGCATCGAAAACATATCCGCCGAACACTTGATCAGCGCCCGTTTCGAAGTTGAACTGCTCGGAACTTTGTGCTCGACGGTTACGGTAGGCAAATCTGAAATCTCGAAGATTCGCTCGGAAAATGGATCACAAATATGAAGGCTAGCTGACATTTTACAGAAAAAATAATGTCCGAATTCTTATAATCAACGCTAAAGTGTGCTCATGGTTTCATTTTAAAACCCTAACATGAACCTGTTTTTTGCCTCATCCCTGTTTTTTGTGAATGTTTCAATCGAAGCAAAATACTCACTGTAACTCTCCATCGTGATAGACTTCTTTGGCGTGAAAGTGTACTTGAATAACACATGCACTATCACAGTCAAAGGTGAATGTGAGTTGGTAGAGGTTGGCATCAAACTCCCCGTTGTCCTTTTTCACCCGTTGGAACTTGACTGACTCTTTTCGGATGTTGACAAGAAGGTTGAGTGGCCGGATTTCGTCATTTCCCAAGGGGCCAGGCGGGTACGGAAACTGAAATAATGAAAAAAATGATGACTATTGTGATGAAGAATTTGGTTTTGTTCTTTGTGCTTTGATGGTTCACACAGATAATCAGTGATCCGCATTAAAAGTTGACTCACATTAAGAGCCCTGGCGCCTAGCTGATCCAAATCGCTATTCTCTCCGAATAGATATGCCTCGGGCTTTGCCACCTCAAATTTACAGCCACACATGAGGAAATGAGAGCCAAAGTATGATCCTGCAAACCAGTTTTTCACATGTTTCTTAATAATTCCAACCAAAAACGTACCGCTCGCATTAGAGAAGGTCATCTGAGCTTCCGGGTCTTCTTCGTCGTGCGAGTTGCCTCGTACGTGTGTGTTCCGCCCCCGGAACACACTGGCTATCTGCCCCATCACTTCGGCCCAATATACCTGAAACACGTTCGCATCTAGGTGAAACGAGAAAAGAGGAAGTGCAAGAAAAGAAAAGCTTAGTACGTTCTCACTAGCAACCCGTCTCACTATGTCGGAAAGTCTCCACGCGTTCATTCACAAAAGGGTGGTTGAAAGAAAGGAGGCAGATCAAGGGAAAGGGGGGCGATTCAATCGATACAGTGTAGAACTGGAGGAGAGGAGCGCAGGATTAGGGAGGCTGAGAACGGGCGAGACGGAGAAGGAGAGGAGGAAGCAAATTACAGGCGAAGACATTATTGTGTAAATGGTATGTGGGTGCGTGCTTGTGTGTGTGTGTGTGTGTGTGAGTGCGAGGAGGGCGACGTAGTGGGGAAGGGCGAGTTAGAGAGAGGGAGACGTAGAGAGACCCCCTCACACACACACTATAGCCGTCCCGATAATGCAGGCCGCCCTGGGTGGTTGGAAGGAGGGGGGTAAGGGTACGCAAACACGCCAGACTTATTGTTGCGGACTTGACCTGGATTAGAAGCTTTGAAACGTTCTGGATTATAAGAACATCTGTAGGAGACACTTGATTTTTATATAAAAATCACAAGGGGCGTTGCGAAATGAAAAACTGCATGATAGACAACCAGCGGCTTCAGTTTTCTTTGATCTGATTCCCACAATCAGTTTCCATTTTCTTGATTATCACATCACATTAATCGAAATGGAATTAAAAACGGAAACCGAAAAGAATCAATCAATTAATAAAGAGGTCCCTACCACTACAATGGTCACTACAATGTAGCGTGTCAAAACAGAAGACGACCTGATAAGAATATGAAGACAGTGTGCGTGTGTGCGCACACCACAAACACACATTCATTCATTTTCTGTTACTTTCCAGTTACTTTTAGTCTCTTGGTCCGTTTTTAGTACGAATATCGCCGATTTTTCCGCTGAGGACCAAAAAATTCGAGCGTAACTTGATATCGTGCCGGAATTAGAAGAAATCTGTTCGATTCGAGTAAACATTCAAAGGTTCCAGCTAATTTTATAGGAAATCTGTCGATTCTTACGAAGATACGCGCAAAACTTTGAGAGTATGAAGAACAATCACAGAAAATTAAGGGAAAATATAAAACGATAGTTTTCGAACTTCCTTATCAAAGTTTTTGTTTTTGTCATCAAATTGCTATTAACGCTAGAAATTCCAGTTTTTCTTTTCATATCTCAGACACCTTTCTTAACACTTTTTCTACAACACAAAATTCAATATATTATACGTGAACCTGCAAATTTTCAGAGAAAATAATTGGCGCAACGAAAAAAGGAAGAAAATGAATCAAAGTTTTCCGGCTTTTGTCAGTTTCCATTCGCTGAGTAATTGCTTCGCGTACGCTAAATCGTTGACAGCAATAAATGACACAAAGGATTTGTCATCGCTTAATGAGGTACGCCCCTGTCTTTGAACAGAGAACTATGTAGAACTGATCAGAAAATTATTATCCTATTCCAAAAGTAACCGTGAAGTTCAAAACTTTTCAGAAATTCGGCGGACCATTACTCGGCAATTTCCGGATGAGAAGCTGTGAAAATCCGAATATATATTGTGATCTTCAAGTTTTCGGCCACTCGCCTTTCACCAACGTTTTCGTCAATTCAGTCTTTGCGGAGGTCTCCGGTTTCCAGGAGAGACAAGAGGTATCGCTTTTTGAGTGGGGGGGGGGGTGTAATCCGAGAAATGTGAGAACAGGGATGGGGGAGGTCGAAAAGGTAGGGGAAGAGTAAAAATACCACTTTTGGAAAAGGGAATGAAAAGGAAATGAGTCCAAAAATCAAAAAAATGAAATGGCTTCTCTGGTAAGAAACACTTGGAAATTGACCGATTCATAGGAGGATTTTCTATGAAAAACGCTACAAAAGATTAAGAATTAGAAGAAAATTGATGATACTTTGATTCTTCTGGGCATAGTAATTTTGAGACGAATAAAAAACCCGAATTTGCAGGTGATTCTCGAAAGAATCGACTCGAAAACATATTGCTCGTACATCGAAGTGGCTCCGCGCACCGATAACGACTACTCCGTCATAGTGAGTAAGGCGAACAAATGCAGTAATGCGGAAATTGAAAAACAGAGAAAAACAGAGGAGCGAATGAATGAATGAGTGAACAATTTGTTGCAGGCACACTCGCAAGCTTCCATCGAAAACGACTTCCTCAATCAAATTCGTCTGGTGTCTCAAAACATGATTATTCCCTACTTTCTTAGTCCGGGAGTCTATGTTCAGTTCAGAATTTGTGAGTTAGGGAAGGAAATGAGAGCGGAAGGGAAGCGCTGAGAAAAAAATGGCCGCGATTTTCAGAATTCCCGGATTTTTCAGTATAGAGTATCCTCAATAAAATGCTTAGGTAACGAAGAAAGTAGAACAAGCCGCAGGTTTCCCGTAAAACGTCAACTTTTTCAGTGAATATCGTGCCGGCAACGAGTAAACCGGTCGTTCTGAACAATGAAACCGAACTACACGTGCAAACAGTGACAGAAGGATCTCAAAGTGACGAGAAATCTCAAATGGCGCAAAGAGTGTCAAATGTGAGTCCCCTTCCCCTCTCAAAAGCTTATTTGTTGATCATTAGTGAACCTATTCATGCATGTGAAAACATGAAAGCTCACACCCTCGGTTTTTCAGATTGTCCAAGATCTGAGCACCCAGGGATTTTTGTCCAATTACGTCATCAATTTGGACAAAGCTCCATTAGTTGGAAGGGTGTTGCCGAAGAAAATCGTCGAATCATGGATCAAATCGGAGATTGAGAAAATGGATAAATCGACTATTTATATAGCGGGAAAACGTGAGAATTTGCAGAAAACTTTTGGAAAAAAAACGAACATTTCAGTGAACTGCCCTTACCCGGAGCACGGAATAGTGGAAGTACGCTCCCATGCACGGATAGAGGGCGAAGAGCACGTACAATTCTTCTATTTGCATCGGACGACTGGAAATTTGAAAAAGAAAAATGATGCGTTGAACTATTCACTCGCACATCTGTTTGACTCTCTTCAGGTTGGATACTTTATGACGACGACAAAAGAATAACGGGCAGAAACATAACATGTGTTATTCAGCTCGTCAATAGATTGCATTGTGTTGACGGAAGTTCGAGTTTGGAGCCGTATGCAAATATCAAAATTTCCGCAGTTCCGGAGAACCGCATTTGTACGTTAAGGTATTGCGAAGTGCTTATGGAAAAAGAGGTGAGGACGAGGAATTGCTCTGGTCTTGATGGTTTGTACCGGAAATGGAGATGTATGCAAATACCAAACCTGCTCCAAGCGACGTTTTTTCATCAAAAATTGAAAATGAAGCGTGCTAGGACAAAAGTTGAGAAACATTTTATACAATGTGAATATTTGAATACACACGGGTACCTTTCAAATGAGCAAATACAAACTATTACTCATCTTTTGATTTCTATCACAGCAATGCACACTCCGTACTAACGTTGAAGAATATAAATTTTGAGACGTTGCAATGGATAGAAGAGTTCGAGATGACAAGTGTTTTGACAAAATCTCTACATTCCAAACTCCAAGGAAATCCCATTTTGTTGTCTGTCGAAGGAAAGGAACTCGATGTCGCACTCGATGGTAATTTCGTTTCCTTTTTCTTCTTTTTTCTCAACACGTTTTTTATTTCCAGACAAAATAATCCGAGTGAAAGTGGTGCCGAGCATTAAGGGATTGCAGAAAAGAGTGTCGGAGAGCACATGCTTTTTGTTGGATTTGACCACAGAGATGATTTATAAGGTAATAATAGCGATTGTGGGGAGAGGCAGGGAATGAAAATTTGTGCTTTGCTTGAAAAACGAAGAAAAATACGTCTAGACCTTTTGTGGATGACTAGGCATTTGGGGTGTTGACGTGAAACTACAAATCTAGATGTTTGACCAGTCGGAGGCGAAAAGTTTTCAGAAAACCGCAGATGGGAAGCAGAAATCAAACGATTCGGACGGATCTCGTCGCAGGAGGAAGCGACCAGAAGACACAGAAAGCGAGCACAAACCAGACACAAGCTCGGAAAACTTTGGATTAGCACAAATTGAGGATTTTGTTCAGACAGGGTCGGTCCTATTCGCTTTTCCTTTTGCTATTTCGCAATTGACAATTTCCAGAAGTCACTCAAAAAAGCTATCAGAACTGGACAAAATATGTCGTGACGGAAGACAACATGTACTGATTCTGGGAGCTTCTGGATCGGGAAAAACAACATTTATCAAAAAATTGGCGAGACGAATGTCTTATAATTCATCGGTGACCTTTTGTAAATTGGTCCCTTGCGCGTTATTGAAAGGTTACCTATCAGAATCTTTGAACGGCTCAAAAATTGCAAAATTTTTCAGGACGCTCCGCTGACACTATTGAAAAAATGTTGGCCGAAACACTTTTGGAATTGGAGCTCAAAAAGCCGTCATGTCTATTTCTGGATGACTTTGACATAATTCTGCCGCAAGTCGATCAGGAACAGAGGCAATTGGCAATGGAGAAAGTGGTGTCCGGTAATCAATTATTAGGAGAGACTCCGTCCCGCTAAACTCTCAAAACACATTTATCATATGTATGCCACCCCTCCATCCTTCCTTCTTCTATCCCTTCCCACTTAATCCACTCGTCTCCTTTTTGCAGTGTTCAGTCAGAAGCTGCGAACAACTGGCGTTAGTGTGATACTTGTCGCCCAGCGTCTGTCCACCCTCAATGACGGATTCGTGGAGCAGGTGATGCGTGCGAGACCCATCGTTTCCCGCAAAGTAGAGTTGGGACAGTTGAGAAAGGTTTGCTTTTTCATTTAAAGCTTGTCTGACAGTCAGATTGAGACTGGAACATTGGAAATTTGAAAATAATTATACAAGCAACATTTTTGGCCTTTTAGTTTTTTGAGACCACATAGCCATGTCTGATGAAAACCTGCAGAATGGAACAAATCAGATCAAGAACAGTTGTCCTCATTGTAACAGGATTGCCAAGTTTATAATCATTGAAAAATAGGGATAACGTCAGTGAACAGAATGGCAGAATCGAATTGTTTCGGGACAGTTTTTAAATACGCGATCAATTGTAAGACAAAGGGTACTTCAGAAGATCAGATCATTTGATCAGCTGACGACATGGTGCCGTCGGTATAAAGTCGTTTGTAGCTGTTCTCAGTATCATCGTGGAGCTGAAAATGAATTTCAAGTCTCAGCACTTTATTGTAATAAGTATGCATACCTGGGCGTAGAATTGAACAGCTCTGCGGTGGATCCACGAGTGTTTGTTGCAGAAGACGATATGGTACCGCCCGGGACGGTTCAAATTAATTCCATCGATCTCGTGAACCAGCTTGGCTGTGATCTTGAGCCACGGGTACACCATCTCCATTTTCTCGAGGTTCGGCTCCTCCTCGTTGTTGTTTGTGGCGTCGCCCTATAAGAACCATAAGATTAACCCATTTTTTGGATAACTTTTTGATACCTCGAAGAAGATTCCAAAGTAGATGTCTCCGTCAGTGCAGAAGTACCACTTGAGGTCCACGCATTTGGTGATGTTCAGCACAACGTTTCTGTTTTTTCGGGCTCCCACGTGGAATCCCTCGAGAGCGTCGATAAGATCGGCGTTGTCCACTCGCCAGTAGTTGTTCGGGTCGATCTTGATGGCATCCACAAACTTGATGGTCTGGAACTTGTTTCATTACAAACGGGAGTTGAAGCAACAGTAGTGACGGTACCCAGTAATCTGATTAGTGCATAACTTCATCTCGAAAAATACTATGCTTTTAGTGGCTAAGGACCCTTAACTATTCAGTAAAGTAGTAACCCTACGCCAATTACCTCGTCATTGCCTCCTAAGCTGACCGGTATGTCATTAATGTTGATCTCATCCTGGAGAGTCTCGATGAAGTGGCGATCATGAAGACGGAACTTGTCCGTGAAGCCACTTGGCATCATCGCCTTCGCAATTTTGTACGGGACATGAATCCACTTGGCGATGTTGACCATATCCACCGGTGTGACCTGACATAACTTATTTGTTTTCAAGATGATCTGTTGTTAATTAGTTTTCGCTTACCAGTTCCGGATAGTTCTCAAAATGGAAGAGTTGGGAGTAGTAGGCCAACGTTCCACTGGTCACAAAGACCATTGTGAATGGGTTGATCTCATATCCGTCCATGTTGACGATATGACGCAGAGAGCTCAGTTTTCCGGTGCGTTCCTCTTGCTCCATGACCTTACGGAGCATGTACTCAAATTGAAGGAACTGGAATTTGCAGGCCTCCGAGCTGCGGATTGAGTGAGCAATGCTCTTAAATTAACAGTTTTAAGATTTTTAAAAATTTTCTATAATTTTGGTACCTCCACAGTGATAGTGGCGTACTCAATGTACCACAATAGACGGTTTTGCGAATCCGTCTTTTCCAAAATCTCTCCTCTTGGCATCAGCTTCTTTTGAAAGATTGGGTTGTCGTCGAACGACGGAATATGCTCCACATCCTAAAAATGATATCAATAACACGGTACAGCACCAGAAGGCACTGACCAAGTTGAGTGCTTTGCGATAGCGCAAGTGGTTGTTCAGAGCAAGGGCGGCATACTTGATGACGTCACGCTCCTTACGGTGAACGCGCTCCGCCGCCATGATGAAGCGGTAGATGTTGAAGTCGGTATTGAACTGAAAGACCAATCAATTTTCATGGACGAATACCAAATTCCTGCTTTTTTGTTTTAGTCTAAACTCAAAGTGCTGCCAGGAATTTTACAATTTCTCTTGATAATCAGAACATCATGCATTTTGACAAGACTTGACCGGAGTGGTCCAAAACTACTTTCTAGTAACTGCTAAACCTTGTAATGTACAATTTACATTTAAAAAAAAATGCAAAATTTGCTGAAGCTTACATTCGGATGAATTGGTTGGAGGATCTTCAAGCGAACCTCGTTCACTTGTTGCTTCGCCTCATCGCTCAGCGGTTTTCCATATGGAGTCGGGCGAGTCATTTTCAACGTTCAATATTTCACCGTGGATTTCCAACAGAACGTTACCTTTTGTGCCAAAGTTTGTGGGCGTCGAATCAAAACAACCAAAGTCTGCAATATCTTTTAATTGGTGTTGTAGAAGATAAGGAAATATGTATGAACAAAATGAAGGATAGAACTTGAAGATGATAAAAAGAGTAATCAAAGTGTCCAGCGTGTCCAAACGGGGGTCTAATGGCAGGAGAAGGGCAGAATATTGTACGGAAAGAATCAAAGAGAGAAAGAGAGGAAAATGCGTGTAAGTAGTATTGCTAGCGAACGGAGGATTAGACGGGGTACGGGACACCTTTCGCCCATCCAAACAGTTCAATCGGGCAGCCATCCCGTTTTCGAGAGACCGAGAGACAGATAAAACTGGCAGTAGAGGTGACCTCGTTTGGAAATGAAAAAGGAAAAAGAGAAGGCGACGGGCAAACGCGCGGGCAAAAGGACCGGACAGTCAAAAGAAGGAAGGGGGGGGGGCGAGACTAGCCCTCTGGACAAGCCGGCTTGACGGCGTCATCTTCTCGTCTTCCAAAAGCCGCAAATTAGTAGCATGGTATGACCGGTCTCTGTTTCTCCCACGACTATTTCATCTGGTTTGTGTGTCACCTGTGTGACGTCACATTTTCTCGTGAAAAAGATTGTGGTCTGGCGAAGAGAAAGGTGAAGAAAAAGAAGAACAAGAAGAAGAAAAGACCGCCCGTTTCATCTTGATCATTTCATTTCAAATTACAAGTGAAACAATTATTTCTGTGAAAAACGGAGGAGTTCACTGAAACATTGGTTCTGGGTAAAATCAGAACACCTCCCGACAGCAAAAACTAGGTTAACTTTTCTTGATAACACCCTCCTTCTCAATTACAAAAATATACAAAAAACCTTACTGTTCTAATTTCAGGAAGATCGTCGGGAACTCTTCGAAGCCTATCTGGATCTGGCCAACAGTACCTCGGTGGCCGGCGGTCATTATGACGTGTTGACCGAAGTTGTACAGAAATCCGACGGGTACACGTTTAGCGAGATTGAGAAATTGGCGACGAGTATAAATGTGGAGTGCGCGATACGAGGTGGGAAAGAGAAAAGAAATTGAAAGAAATGAAGGCTATGTATCTATGTACTAACTACTGTAATCGTGAATGGTTAGCGAAGAAGAAACATGTTATTTGTCTGATTTGATCTTATGAGGTAGCGTGAACCTCAAAAAAAAACCTGTTAAGAACACATTTCCTTCACTTTGGTGTTGTTTCTTTGATACCGTATTCAGCAGAAATGAGGAATTAGTTGGAATTTGAGGTTAAAGACAAACAGAGCAAAAATCTAACAAAATGTTTTTAGGATCACAATTCATCGGACCGACAGATGTGGAAAAAGCGTTCGAGTGTTTTGTCGCCGGGAAGATCGGAAAGATTGAGGATGACCAAGTGTGAGTAGTATAATATTTGTTCCGGAACGGCCTAGCCCTACATTCCAAGCACCGATGAGATTGTATCAACCCTACAGCAGCGATATACAGCTTTTTGTACATGGCGAAAAAGTGCAAAACTAGTACGGGTGATCCGTTTTTTGAGTGGAGGGTTCTGTTTCGGCCTGCAAGAATATCGAGGTCATCTGACGCAAGATTCTTGTGATATCTCCTTTTGTGATCTCGAACTGTTTGTTAAAACCGGGTACGGTGTTTTGCAACGTGTGACAAGCGGTAAGACATCTGAATTACTGTAGCTAAAAAATATTTTGAGCCATACTGTTCGGAACACTTGTACATCAGGTCGAGGCATGTAGGCCTCAAAGTAGTCCTGTAGTTTTGGTTTACTTTTAACACCGAACATGCTCCGAAAATTGCTCCGTCAACAAAATCCAGAAAAACCATGCTGAACAGCGTTGATGTTACAGTAGGACGTAAAACAAGACCTGCCCAACTTTAGTACGTATTCTACGAGGAGTAAATACATATTACGAAATTATGACTCGGTCGCAACATAATCAAGAAATCATTGACACCCTGAACTAAGAAAAAGTGTGAACTTTAATCGGAATCTGATTAACCTCCTTCTCTCACTTTAACTTCCCCGTTTTCAGCCTTCCCACACTGGCGGACGTTGGTGGCATGTTTAAGCAAAAAAAGCTACTTGAACAAGTGATAATTTGGCCGAGAAAGGTTCGTCTTTCTCTTCTTTTTCCGTCAGCCGCTTTGTCTTCAATCTAATGAATTCTGCATTTGAGCAGAAAGGACGGGTCCAAAAGAGCAGTAAAAGGGTGAAGAAAGGAAATTTGATTTCGTGTAGCCAACCCTCTTTTTTCGGCAGCAGGAAAATGAGGAAGGGAAGAAAAACTGCGTCAAATGTTTTTGGAAATGAAATAAAATGAAGAAGAAGGGTAGAAAAGAGGATTCTGATTCGGGCGGGGCCGAGTTTTGTATCCGTTGTCAAGAAAGATTATTCGGGCGGAGTATAAGAGTGATGTGTTCGAACCTCAACGTATCTCAACCGGAAAACAGCAAAGCTTATGAATTTCAGTACCCCCAACTATTCGAATCGGTGGGAGTGCCCGTCAGCAAAGGAATCCTGCTCCATGGCCCGAGCGGTTGCGGAAAGACCCTTTTGGCGAACGCCGTCATTTCCAACTCCAAGTTTAGTGTGGTGAACGTGAAAGTGAGTCTTTACCTTCAACTCGAAAAGCAGACAAAGAAAACTTTCAGGGCCCAGAACTATTGTCCAAGTACATTGGCGCAAGTGAGGAGAACGTGCGATTGGTCTTTGAAAAGTATGTGCAACATCACTTTTGCAAACTAGCATCATCACTACATATTGACATACAAATTGACGTTTCTTCATGTCCTTTTTCATTCAGAGCCCGCTCATGTGCTCCGTGCATTCTTTTCTTTGATGAACTCGACTCATTGGCACCGAAACGAGGACATGACTCGACAGGAGTGACGGATAGGGTTGTCAATCAATTGCTCACCGAATTGGACGGCGCAGAAGAAGGAATGAAAGGTCGGAAACATAGAAAATGTGCTAGAGAATCAACATTTATGGATTTCAGGAGTCATAATACTTGGATGTACCAGTAGAATTGATCTAATTGATGACGCGCTGCTCAGACCCGGAAGATTCGATCATCATGTGCATTGTGGACAGCCTAGTGAGGTGAAAAGTTAAAACTTATGAAAAAGTTTTAAAGTACTTCTTCAAATTTCCCAAACACTCTTCTAAAAAGAATTAATGGCAAAAATAAAGGAGAACATTCCTTCGGTTGAGAAAAACATTTGAAGGCCAAGAACATGAGCGTTTTGGGTCGACTGGATAAGATCTCAGGGAACTTTAACATACAATTCTCGGGCTGACTGTCTTTTTTCTAAAGATTTTATCCGGATAACCTCAGTTTGTTCTACTCAAAACCAACCACTAAAAAACGTACTCCGAACTGAAAAACTGCAAACAACCTATCAAAACAACCGTGAAAAATGATTCAGACGGAACGATTGGATATCATGAGAGTGCTGACCCAAAAACTGCGTACCGTTGATCTGGATCTGGGAATGCTGGCCCAGAAAACGGATGGCTGGTCGGGGGCCGATTTGCAGCTGCTCTTCACAAATGCCCAATTCTACAATGCTCGACAAATCGCGACTGGTAAGCAGGAACCTTTTAGCGTTTTTTTGGAAAGGAAATCCGATATTATTCAGAAGGAGATGGATTGGAAGAGGATGACGTGGCGATCGACGCAAACTCTATCAAACAAGTCTTCAGGGATTCCATCCCGAAACCCAGAAGATCCGAAGTGGACACCAGAGTCGGACAAAAAGTGACGTTGGCCTAAATTTTTCGATGGAAAATTACGTATTTTGTCTTCTCGGTGCTCATGATGCTCATGATGATTGATTTATGTGTATTTCAGTTCAGTTGAGAGATGATTTTCAAATGAATTTGCAAAAAGTATCTTTGTCTCGAAGTTTGAGCAATTAAAGAAAAAATAAACACTAGGAAAGGTCCAGAAAGGGATAGATTCACATCTAGCTTTATTGTTTTTTTCGTTCCTACTCAACCTATTTTCTTTTTCCCTTTCCCAGCTTTGAAGAACAATTCATTTTTCTTCTATAATGACCACCCTCCTTCCTCATTAGCACATGTGTCGAATGTCCACTCTAAACCCCATTTTCTGCGTTTCTTCCCCTCGTCTACTCTCTCTCTCTCTCTCTCTTTCTCCGGAATAGCTGTTCCCCCAAGGGTCCCCCCGGCAAATCTGATACGACCCGCCGATTCTTACGTCGCTCTCGGTTTAGCGTGACGTTGTAGTATTCCAATTTCCGCTGATTTCCGCTTTGGAAAATGAGTTTTTGACTAGTTTTGTTCTATTCCGCTGAAAATGCGTTTATTCCTACTATTGTCGTACATTTTTAACGTTCTAAGAGGAGAAATCGGTAAGTTTCCCACGTTTTTGCGGTTTTTAAAGGGTTTCGGTTTAGATGACACGTTTAACCCGACAAAATGCGAAACTTGTGCTCTTGTGGCAATGGAGTTCAATCATCAAGCTTCCCGAATTCATAAGGTGAGTAGTTGTAGTTGTTCATTACAAAAAAAGTGTTTTTCAGCGCGTTTCGTCTGAATTTGCCGAACTGATTGAGAATTTCTGCTTTGGATTTAACAAATTTTATGTGAGTTCACTTTTGCGAGTGTGGGCTGAAAAAAAGATAGTAATTTCAGGTTCACAAAGAGAAAACGGGACTGGCAAGGTTTTCTAACGAACCATCAAAGACAATGACAACGCTGAGACAAATGAGAAACAAAGGCGTCAAGGTGAGAGTTTTCAGACTAACAATGCGCATTTCTCATGTAACCGGCCAAGAGAGATTCTAAATTTTTAAATATTTGAGCTTGACTCTAAAACCAAGAAAAAATTGAGAATTCTATGAACTCATAAATTCTAAGCACAAACTGCATTTGTTAAAAAAGCTTTAATAGCCGTAAATGTCTACTGGTCTGGAAACCTTGAAGGTCTAGACAGACTGATATGCAAAGAAGTGTAGTGACAAGAAGTCTAGACAAAGAAAAAAGAAGAGAAACTTCGGAATTACTCAAGATTACCTAATGAAAATGCACTTTTTGACATGTTTCACCATTAGTTCGGCTGAAATGACTTTTCGAGTAGATCTTTTCCCTCTTCTCCTATCTCATCTGTTGTAAATCCCTCAGGATTCATTGCTTTTCTCTCCTTTTTCCGTTTCTTCGTTTTTTCTTCGCATCCTTTCCATTTCATGGAAAAGGTTTAGGGTTCATGCAAAAAGTAAAGCAACTAATGGAAAATGGAGAGAAAGAAGGTTCATAGAACAAAAAGTGAACGTTCTTAGATGGTGTGAAGCGATGAAACCGGTTTTTATGGTTTTTTGAGAAGGCTGTGTATGGAATGTCGTGTTATAGTGCAAAGTACACAAAAATTATTGAATGTGACAATGATTCTACACAGATAAGAAGTAAAAAGTAGCTGAATAGGTTATCATTCAGACTTCTGAGAAAAAAATTTGGAGTCTGGCGTGGAAACAAATTGAATGTTCATTTCACCTAAACTGATCAAACTCTTGTTCTTCTACCTTCGGTTGATTCCTTCTTAACTTTCAATTATGATATCTGATGCTTACCACGTCCTTGATCTTATGTTGAAATCTTATCACAAATTATTCATCTAATGTCACGCGTGTCCGTCCTTCCAACGTTTTTTTTCTGTTCCCTATCAATCTTCAATCCTGATTCATCCGTCTGCCAGTCCCTAACAGGTATAAAAATCCATGAAACAGTCTGTGCGCGTGTGTCAAAAGTCTGTATGGCTGAGTAATTGAAATCCATTAAACAGAGAAAGGGAGATTACCTTTCGGACTCTCATGTCGCTAATCGCAACATTTCAAATGGAACATATCCGAAATGGTGTAGTTACCTGTATAATTATGATGTGTTTGGTACACACTCACTCACATGGATATAATGGACTTCTCATGGATCGGAATGAATTGTCGCCGGACGCACGGCGAGGGGGAAAGAGTGTGCTAAACTGGTTTCGGTATGTCCGAATTTCTCTAATGTGTCGGATGCCTGAATGGTCTTTACCGTCAGGTTGAAATAGAAATGCGCTAAAATCAACGCATTGTTGCCAATTTTTCGCCATACTGCACCGCAATTATGAAGTTAATGGGTATGTTGGTGTAGTGTAAGTCATCTCATGCGCAAAAAATTCATTTCGTTTCAATCTCCCCTCGGAATTGGGTTACGGTCAAACCGCAACACTTGTTTCCAATTACCGAAAAGTGCAAGTACAGTAATCGGAGGATGATGTATGTGTCTAAAGTCCAAAAACGTCGGCTGACATCAATTAGGTTAGGATTTTGGTCAGATGTTTGAAACAAGCTAATGGCGCCTAATGTCCGCAAAAAAGCTTTTATAAAAAGTTCGCAGTGAAATTGTTCAGAAAGGAGAAGCAACTGGTGCTTTTGACTTGAAACTACATGCTAACTTTTTGGGAAAAAGTTCTACTGAAACTTATGTATTGGTAGCACAACTCTATGATAAAGGTAATACAAAATAAGTTGATAACTAGCAGAAGTACAGTCCCTTTCCAACGGTTCATGAAATTTACAGTACATATCCCCCACCGAGATAGCACTTTCATTCCCCAACAGCTTCTGTTGTTTTTTCAGGTGGAACTCGGAATGCCCGAAGAGCTCTGGGACCAACCATCAGCCGAAATCGTTGTGCTCCGTCAAGGATGTGAACTCATCGTCGAAAACTTCGAAGATCTCATGGAATCCTGGTTTCTGGAGAGGAAAAGTCTCAATGATCTAATGATATCTGTGTGTAAAATGGGAGCTTTACGGTACGAAAATACCGATTGTCTGCCCATGGGTTCCGGAAGAAATGAATTGTAACTATTTTCGTGATTTGTACGCTATCCACGGGTGTAAATTTTTCCGATTTTTACTGAAACTACTGAGAGCTTCTGAAATTTGTAGACGAAAAAACAGTTTCTCGGGCTGAAAAGATGTGCAACCTTCAAATGTTATTGTACTTCTGGAAATTTTTTACACATTGCGGCCCCAGCAGTATGTAATATCTCATCAATGTTTGTCTTTGTTCACTTTTCCATTTTTCATTCAGTAATTACTATTTGGTCTCATCTTCAATAAAGTCAATCAAAAGCAAAACAAAACACGTTCCAGTTCCAGAGCCAAAACAAATATTTGTGTGTCGTCTTCTCGTCTCGATTGATGACAATGAGCAAAGGCAACCAACTGACTCAAAACACCCCTGGCATCAAGCGGATCGGCAGACACGGGAAGATGTTTTGTGGTTCATGCTTGCGTGTTTGCGCACCTTGTGCTGCTCTTCTGCTCCTTGCGCAAGCTCTCTCTCTCTCTCTCTCTCTATTTCAATAATATTTTTGTATTCCTATTATTATTATTATTGTGTCACGACCGCGGGCATTTGTTGGTATTACACCGCGCAATAGAACTCTTCAGGGCTTCTTCTTCTTCTTATTTTTCTTCGCATACCGCCCGGGCCAAGTTTTGGCACCGGTTTTTGAGCAAGCTGAAGGACTCTCCCCGCCCGCGCTTATGCGTGTATGCATTTCCATGTTGTTTTTCGACTTTTCCACCCATCCTCACATAATGTTTTGACGAAAGATGATATGGTTCTGCAAACAATATGATGAGGGTGCTGATCAAAGGAACAGAAGGGGAAAAGTTGAAGTCTCGGACTGGAATATTGTTGTATTGCATCCTTAACTGTACGATTGTTCCCTTTTGGGGAACAAAATGATGATGCAAATGTTTTGTGAACGGTATAGTAACAGGGTAACAGAAGCGGTGAGTCAGAAAAAGACGGCAGATAGTTTGGGAACATGGAGAATCCACAATACGAGTTTTCATATCATCATGGGAACATCAAACTGTAAAATTGCAACTGTGTATGGAATTCTGAAGCAAGTTCAGAAAGACGCGGTCAATAAAAAGTTCTCACTTTCTGAACATTTTCAGGTGTTGACAGATATTCAAAAGTTTTGACTACTCGAAACCTGGAGAAACACTGGAACAAATGTAATGAACATCTAATAAAATCTCTTAATGTAACTTATAATTCTTCTGCGTGAGAAATCTATGAAAGAGAAGTTTTGAGGTATTATCCGCACAATTTCTCTTGTCGGTGATATTGGCCGTCTATCTGAAGGATTGTTCCGCATACATTTTCATAGGATGTCTATAAAACCTTTCCCTTTTTCATCCCACAATCATGTATTCTCCTAAAATCCAGAAACAATACCTCACTCTCTAAACAGCCTCCCCCCGTCCCTTTCCACAAAAATTTGCATATTGGATGCTTGGCGGGAGGGATGCAAACCCTTACCGTTGATCTACATATGTTTGTCCTCATTCCTCACACAAACAAAAACCGAGGCAAGAAGGGAAAAGCTCTAAAACATGAAAATATGCATGTGTACATACTTGCGGCTCTCCCGCACTTTTGTCTGTTCAATTCCATCGTTCAATTCCGCGCATGAATGAAACGTTGCGAGAAATTCGAATAAAGTGCATGCCGTACAGTTTATTTACAGAAAAACACACCAATATGATGAAATCTGTAATTTGAAGAATGGGGGGAGAAGTGAACACTTGCACCGGAAAACTTCTACAGACAACATAGGGAATAATGGATTGTGACGTGGAACAGAAAAACCAAGGATTTCAGTTCGGAAGCATTTTGATGAGATTTGGAACGGGGAGGTGTGTGAAAATTGGGAATAGTTTTGTGAAGAATCGGTGTCGGAATCGTTGGAAAGAGGTAGAAAGGTGAAGAAAATGAAAATTCGAGGGACCGGGGAGGATGGTTTTTTTTAAGGAAAGTACGAAGGACATGAAGGGAAGGACAGAAACACAAAAATCTAACTCGAAATGAGCCTCCGATAACACGCACAGAGCCTTTGTGTGTATGCAATTTTTTGGTAGATCAGAAAGCAATCACAATTTGTGCGAGAAGACGTTGGGGATGCATTTTCGGGAGGGTAAGAAAGCAATGAAAGTCTATAAGTTAAGAAAGCTGACTATTTACACAAAACGCTTATTTGAAGGGAGGGTAAAGAAGGAAACAGAAAAGGTCATTAGAAGGAGAGTTCTTACGAAATGGAGACAATGCTATGCTCAAAGATGGCATTCAAGTCATGAAAATGTTGGGGAGCGGAAAAGGATGAATAATGAATGCTACAAAAGAATAGACGATGGGTTAAGACTCTTGAAAATTGGCATAAACCCTTGACGGTCACGGGTTCCAGCCATTTTTTTAAATTGGCATGAACTCTTGACGGTCACAGGTTCATGGAATTTTTTAAAAATTGTTATATACTATAGAGGTAGAGGCAGGTTGCAAGAAAGTTGACATCTTTGAACTGGGAGTGATTTTCAGATGAGTACGGTACTCATTATTGGGCCAGATTAAGATTCAACTTTGAAAAGAGTGGGGTCAATTTGAGGCATTGAGGGGCTCTGGGTGCCTCCGTTGCACATGTTTTGCGGGAGGTTTGGAAGAATTCCGGCGGCTAAGTTGGCTGGACCAAGAAGCGCAAGGTAGCGCTTCCAGACGAGGTCCACACTCACTGGTGGCGTGGCTGGGGCAACTCTGGAAAAATTCGGTTGGAAATGTGACACACTCTGAAAATAGTTTAACAGGAGCCGTTTTTAGAAGAGAGTTGGCTAGTTTAGCAGCGTTGTCCTAGAAAGAGTTCTAAAAAGTTTCGTGGAAACTAAACAATGAACCGGAACATGACAAACTTCAACGTGACTTTCGAACATTTTTGGCCTATTTTGAGTAAATTATCTACCGTCACTGTCTTCAAAAAAGCATGGAATCGGAGGGTATCCCGTCAAAATCCCCGGTTTTTCTGGCGAACCGTTTCTGTAAACTATGTATACCTGTTTGGTCTTCCCTCACGAAGCGTCCAGTTGCGGACCTTTGCATTATTCTTTAGATGGCTTAGAATGAGCTTGGCTTTGCTCAGCTGGCCTTCGGTAGGGAGCATATTCCATTTGAAATACTTCATGGTGGCCTCGACGACAAGACGAATCTGTAAAAAAGTCCGTCCCTTTCAGTTGGGCATGTTTCAATAAAAAACAACATCTTTGTTCCCATTTCTTCAATTTTTCATTCTGTAGTCACACAGGGACAGACCGCACAAATTGAATGGTTTTAGATGTGTCTATTGACCCCGGGGGCTAAAAACAAGTGATGTCCAGAGATTTTTTGTTGTTGGACAGGGGGGGGGGAGAAAGAAAAACAACTTGTCTTCGTCTTTCTCAGTTTTCTAACCCGTCTCCACACACATAGATTGGAAGAGAGAGAGAGAGAGAGGGAGAGAGAGAGATCTCATTCTCAATTCGTTACATTCAAATGCCCCGGGTTTGCACTTTTCCGACGGGGAAAAAATCGCGCGGGCGCCCCTTCAGTTCACCAAGAAAAGATTGAGGGGGTGATCGTTTTCGTTTCAATCAAGTCGCAACCAGTGTGCATCCCCGACGACCTTCGCCGCAAAAAACTACGTATCAGACCGGAGATGTCTTCTCTGGGAGGGCTTTGCCTCGAGACAGAAACATAAAGGATTACGGTAGCAGAGACCTCCGAATAAAGTGACATTGAAGGGTTCGAAAACGTGTGTGGAAGCCGGTTTTTTTGTCCCCTTACTGCCCGAAGCAGTATATAGTTGAAAAGTGACGGGATGGTAATGAAAAGTACAAACCTTGTGAAGTTGACGGCCCAGTAAGTGATCAGCAGTTTCTCCGTGAAATGTGCGCAACGAGATTTGCACATTGCGGAGCTCATCATCGGTGACGGACTCGCGGAGGATTTGCCAAGCAAACACCTAAAATTACTCAGATTTAGGAATGAGCAAGTTTAAGAAGTTTGCAAGTGAAAAAAAAGTAATTATTCAGTCTTCCTAAGAAATCTTATAGAAAATTGAAGCTAAAAACCAAACATTTAGTTTATACCACAAAGTAGAGTTCCCTAGAACGTTCTGCTACACAGTTTAGAAGCTAGAAACCGGTTCACAACACCCCCCTTCGTGTTCCCAATAATTTCTTCCATTTCAGGTCCCTTAACCATATTTCGCTTCCTGGTTTCTCCCCTCACGCTGATGTCAATGATGTTCGCACACAAAAACGACACATAACGTCAAAACAACCTCTCGCTTGGCAGTTTTTGTGGAATAAAAATGAAAACGTGTGGCAAAATCCTGTTTTTGAACTGATAGACATACACATTTTCCCGCATTTTTTTCGCCAAGTTGTTTTTGCCATGTCGAACGAACTGGGGAGGAGAGAACGCCTTTTTTTTCGCCGTATATTGTTGTTCTACTGTTTTCATTGCTATTGTGTCATCCACGGTTTTTTTCCGGTTTTGAAACGTTGTTATGGTGTTCTGTTGCCTTCTTGGCCTCCTGAATTGAATCGTCCGACCCTGGGAGAGGGGGAAGCGAGAAGGAAACTGGTTAGTCCATCTGGAATGTGTCAAAACACCCGTCTCTCTTTTTTCTCTTTTGACATCACCCCCAGGTCAGTTCCGAGACCGTCTCCCGAGGATACTGCAGAAAGAGTGAAAGTGTTTTCAGAACGAAAGTATGGGGGACTGAAAACTGGAAACATGGATACCCAACGCGGTCAAAAATGAGTCCCCCGGGTCAATGGAATTCATTCGTCGTCTCCTCCACGAAACGGAGAGAGAACCGTACTCCTTGGCATTACATCACATCACACAAAGAGGCGCGCCCGTCCGCGCGGAAAAGAGTTTGTCTGGACAACTTGCGCAACCGCTTATTTGCTATTTGCACACGCGCGCGCTCCTACTCGGCTGGACATCAGCTGTTTGAATGATGATGATGGCAACGGAAAGAAGGAGTGAGAGTGCGGGAGAGTGTGCAAATTGGAGAGAAGCGGGAGGGGTGCGCCATTTGGCTCACTGCCAGTTGAACGATGAAACTGACGCCGCGGAGGAAACGAGTCGTGATTTGTTTGCACTTTTAGTGAGATAAATGAAACGTTTTGATGATTTCTTTGAAGAATTTGTTGGAAAGTGGTTTGAACTATGAATTGATGTACTTTATAATTGATTAAGATGTTCTGAACTTTTGCGGAAAGTACCGTAGCTTCAGGATGACAAAGTACAAGACTATTTGATGAGTCAAAAACCCTTCAAAACAGGTTTCTGGTCATTTTTCAAACGAAATTTCATAACAACCTCCAATCCTTCTAGTTCTCATTCTACAACAAGGAAGATTTCTGTTCGGTTGGGAACCCCCCGCTCGGCAACACTCTTCAGTCCCATCAGCCCCAACACCGCGGACAGGAAGGATAGTAAAAGAGGAGGAAAAATATTTGAATAGACCGCTTCGACAATCACAAAAACAGGTATACCACTTTGAGACGCAGAGCCAAGAGCCCTGTTTGCTCGCTACTCTTCCACACGGGTCTGGGTCGCGGGTCCTAACTGTTTTTCATGGAATGCAATGTTTTTTCTTCCCCGCTTTTGCCAATCCTCGTGTGTGCACAGACTGTTTTTCTTTCTCCCAGAGGACCTAGTCTGTTTGAAGTGAGTAACTAAAGAGCGGAACTAAAGAACTGTACTATGTGGCGTGGCATTCCACCCCTTGATTCGTAGACCACTGAAAGCATGATCTAGGTGGCGAGTCGGTTGGCATATTAGATTTCCCTTGACGTGGTGACGTGAGGTGGTTTCCCTGGGGCGCGCTGGCACAGGATACCGGTTCGTAACCGTTTCTTGTCAAATATTTGCTATTCAATAAGCCTGACGTGAGGCTTGTTGCGTGAGCCAGAGTATGCTCCAGCTCTCTCGCGGAATGGAAATGAAAACGAGGCGACGGAAAAACGCGCGTGTGTGTGTATACGTGTGCGCGCCAGAGCGGTAAGATGACCAGAACCGTACTCCCGTTGGTCTCGCGTACCCTGTTTTTCGAAAGACAGAAACTGGAATTGAGTTAGGATAGTTATCAACCCATGTCTGATCAATCACTACTGGTCTGCGCCTCTTCTACAACCTATTCAGCCTGATAGCGTAGATGGAAAAGAAGGGAAACGGATAGATATACCGTATAGACTACGGTACAATGCACTTTTATACTAATCGCATCGTCTTGACCAATCGGAGAGGACTAAATGACTAGTCTTTACGCTAAGCACGTGTTAGATTGAAGTCAATTAGGAACAGGGGGTACAGTAACCCTGAGAAGGTGCTATAAGTTCAGTTTCAGGAAAAACAGCCACATTACTAGTGACAGATTGCATGTTTTCACCTATTCCAGAGGTTGATTGACAATTGGCAACATGGTCGGATGAACGCTCGCAACAAGTCCCTACCCCAGAAACTGCACTCCCCCCTTTTTTTTGCTTTTGTAGCCCGGTCCCGATCTAAAAGTCAATTTTGGTTTTTTGTTTTGAGAACCGCATCATCGCATTGTCAGGTGCCCGTTCCAAAATATCAAATACTATACGCTTCGTAAGCGAATGTTCATGTCAATAAACAGAACGCCTGGGCGCCTGTTGGCATGAGCATACAATAGCGGCGCCTACAATAAAAATGTGTGTCAGAGGTTATTTATTTCCAGAAGGTGCCAAAACATGCTATTCACACGCACATGTTTTGTATGCCAAAACGAACCGGGAAGCAGAAGGGGGAGAGGGTCATTGTGAAAGAAAAGAGAGAGGAGAAAGGCAACAAATTGGTTTGGTTCGGTTTCGGTTTTGCGGGTTTGTAGGTCGTCCCCCCCCCCCCCTCTTCTGCACTCAACTTGTTAATCTAATTGCTAATTCCATTTCTTCTTGTCTTTGAGAACATAATCTCAATTTTTAAAGCAAGATGACACGTTAGATATAATCAGATCTTAAAGATGTCTGACCCCTACCGCCTTTTGTCGCCCAGCCCAGCCCAGCGGTTTTTTGTTCTGTTCCTTTCGAATGTTTTGCATGTTTCAAACGGACAAATGCCGAAGGGTCATTTACCCGCCTCAGCCCGTGGCGCCCGAACCGACAATAGCCATAAAAAATAAGATTGAGGGACTGTGAGCGGGGGAGACAAACCCCCCCCCCCTTTCCACCATCATCATCATTGAAGAAGAAAAAAACGGGTGGAAAGGGGGGAGGGATTGAGATTGGATACTTGAACGCGTCACCCTTTGCGCGGGCAACGTTCCGATAACCATCTTTCAATCGCGCCCGGGTCCAACCTAATGTTCGTAAATGAATGAGAGAGAAAAAACGACTGCGCATGGGGTCTAACACCTCGCCCGCGTCTAAATGACCCCCAAAAAACGTCTGATTTGAAATGAAACATGAAACGAACAAACCTTTGGCTGAGTGCTTTGGAAGCTTCTTGCGGCTTTGTCGGCAGCTCTTTTGACCGCTCCCTCTGGAAACGGACCATCGGCGAGCACCTTCTCGTCCTGAGATAAATTCAAAAGGTTTTCATATATATTAGGTACAAAGCTTCTACCTCTACCTCAGTTTCCTTCGGCGACGCGTTACGCTGACTAGGCTGACTCTCATTCTCAAACATTTCCTCTGTGTCCTCCTCGCCTTCCATATCCAGATCCCCGTCGGAATCCTCAGTTTTCAATTCGGTCTGAAACAGAGGTTATCGGGACTGTTGGTACTCGAAGAGTCCCTCCGGCTCACCTTCAAAGACGTCTTTTCAGACGTGGAATTAGTGGCTGATGGTGTGAAAGATTGAGGTGGTGCCTCAGAAATGACAGTTTGCGGAGGTGATGTGAAAATTGAGGGCAATCTGAATGCACAGAATAATGTAAGAAGCGAGTCCTAATTGCCAGGTTCTCACCTCTGGTCAGGCAGTCTGGTGGCTAACAGCTCAAGAATAAGGCTCAATTTGAGATCCATGTCGTTGAGACGTATATTCATCGAGTTCAACATGTTTTTGCTCTCGTTGTCAAAAAATGTTAACGGTATTTGGGCCATCTGAAACTGCGTGGGTGTGGTTGTTGTTGTAGCTGTGGGATGAGCCATTATGTGGACTGTTTCCTACAAGTTGGACTACGGACTAGGGTAGGACAAGGACAAGGATCGAGACAATAACGTTTGGTCAGGAAAAAAAAGAAGTCCGATCATCATGATCATCATCAAAATAATGTTGGAAGTGAAAAGTCAAGGTGGGAGGGGGTGGCCGGACTGGCAACAGACTCCACCCACAGTTCTTTCTGCCTGGAGGTGGTGGTCTATAGGAGAGACTAGACAAACGGGCAGAGTCGAAACGGGTAGGCGGAGTTTCGGGGGCTTCGGAGTTGGGTGGCGGAAACTATGATACCGTATTCCTGTGCCCTCACCAGTTCGTCCAGTCTCTCTCCCCCCTCACAGACCCGACGAGAGAGGGGCGATGTCCCGTCTAACACAGGCAAAAATGGACTCCGCCCATTTTGCGAATTGCTTTTCAAAACACCTCTCCCCTCGTTCCTCGCTCCCCCTTCTCTATCGGCATGCAACTGTTCTTCAAACAGAGTTCGGGTTCCGAGAGTCGGGAGCAAAATATCAAAGAGAGGGGAGGAAGAGAGACTCAGAGAGATTAAAGAAGATCCACCGAAAGGAAGAAATCATGGGATGTGAAATCTTACAGGACATACTGGTCAGCCAAAGATCATAAAAACTATCAGATTGGGTCATTTTTGAAATTTTTCTTATTTCAAGGCCCAAATATGTGCTCAGTCATCAAAAAACAACAATATCAAGGAAGCTTTTGAAAGCAACGTAAAAGCTAGCACTTTCGGGATGACTGGGAATCATTTTGAGGAAAAAACTTGATCTTAGCCTCCATTCACAAAAATCTTCAGGTAAACTGATAAAAATTGGTTTGATTCCAAGTAAGGTCTCAAAAACTGAAGAAAACCGTAGAAATTTGTTAGAAGCCTACCGTAATCTTCAAGTTTTTTCAAAAATCGTTTCAATGTGCCGATTAGAATGTTCGGTCACACTTCATTAACCGGTAGGTAAATTGAAATGATTATCAATTAGTTAATTTTCAGTCTCATCTTGATCCTCGAACGAACGAATCAAATAATAATAGGAGATTTCAGGTTGTTCGCTATGAAAAAGTTGTGCCTTTTTATCGGAATGGAAATGAAACGAAGAAACGTTCCTTTCTTGCTATGGGTGAGCTGGTCCTGTCTGGCTGCAACATACACACAAAAAAGAGTGGCCGGAAGGAATGACAGAAAAAAGAAGTAGTAAAGAAAAAACCTGTATTTAATTCGAGTTGGTTAGGTTTCTCTGTCTGAAATGCGATGGTCGACCCCCCTTCTTCTAAAAAATATTTTTTGGTCTTCCCTCTCACTTATTTTTTGTTGTTCTCTTCTTTCTTCCTGGCCGCTCAACAAGAACCTCTTCTAGTTTTTCAGTCTTCTGTTTCAGATTTTTTACACTCAAGTGGGTCGAATCAGCAGTAAAAAAGTTGAATGGAAAAAAGACATTTGTGAAAGTTGACAGTAAATTTTTGAGAAGAAAGGGGGGGGGGGCTGACTGAAAATTGGGTTTTAAGCTGGGAAACCCGAGAACAGACTAGGGACTAGTTCTTTGAGAGATGTTTAGTTACATAGACATCATGATCTGATCATGCAACATTTCGTTATAAGATTCAAAATTTGAGAAACCAAAACTTATTGGTTTCAGGCCATATGCCCACAGATGTTCTTTTCTATGCTAGTTCCGAACAGATATATTTATGATGCTAAACTTAAAGAAAATATGATACTCTTCTCAAATCTGCCAAAAAATACTCATTTATCGGAGTTCAAGTCATTTATATTAATATTAGTAGTTTCAAACACGTTAGTCACAAAAATTATTCACTTTTCAGAAAAAAAACCACCATCTTACCGGGCACATTCTGATTTCATGACGAGGAGAATAGTAAGACACCAAATCAAATCTTGGCGCAAGCATTTTGAACGAATTGTGAAGCAATATTCAGAAGATTCAACAGCTTATCAATGAGAGACTTGAAGCAAGTTACCCATGTAATGCGATCACAGTTATATAATGACATCAAGGAAATTTCATTGAATTGTCAAAATTTGGTTATGTCTACGTATAATTAATTAACACATTTTCTGTCTGCCTGTGTATTGGTGACTATTTACTCGATTCTAAAACCGATTAGCACAAAGTTTGGTGTGAAAAGTGTTCCTAACATTGAGATTATCCAAAAACTGACCTGTGACCTATCATTTCGGAGAACATGTTCGGTTGAAATCGAAAAAATATACAAAAGACATGTTAAAAGCATAGAAGACACAGTGTTCTTATAGTACTTATGTTATTTAGGGAAACAATAAGCAAAGAATGTTCTCAAATAGAAAGAAAACCGACTGGCCAGCTCATCGAGTGAATCTCTGACGGTAAACAACGCTCCCGTTAAAAAATAGTTGTGAAAGTAGCCATGTTACAAGTATCGGCAAATAAAGTTACGGACAGATGTTTCAAAACAATTTTTTGAAGAAAAATGTCATGCGAGTGCCGATTTTCGTTTGGTTATGGTTACAGGTGTCGCCCCAAAACTGTACAATTATTTTGTTTTTGCTTGATTTGCGCGCATAACCTTACTGATGATAGAACCGTACAAGGACGTGGGCACGAGACGAAACATGTGTTGTTAAAGTTGGATTCGTGTTTTTTAACACTATATATGTGAACTGAAAAATTAATTTCAGGAACTTCTCTGAAGCTTCTGATATAACTGATCCGATTGATTAGGCAGTTTCTCGATTTAGGTTAACTTCTCTCCCCACAGCATACGAATTTCACTGCCAAGAAGGTGTCCCCCAAAAGATTGCGCATGGCCCGCTGGATTGCGCGCTAGTCTCTAATTTGGTTTATTGGGGTTCGATTCTTGACATAGCACGCATGGGCATTGAAACGCGAACTAGGTCCGGCTGATGTGAACTGATGTTCAACAGTAGTTTGTCATCACCCTTCGAATTGAAATCACTGAATTTTTCAGACTGTCCATTTTTATTGAACCTTTTTGGTGCCGCTAAACGATTTAGTAGCCTACCTCTTGTTGCTTTCTCGGCTTCACTACACGTTGCTTTTCCGCAGACATCGATAGTAGCAGAAGAATATAGTAATCGTAACTGAACAAAATGTAGCTGTTGGAAAACTCGGCGAGGAAAATGGTAGACAAATCGAATTACCACCCGCTGCCGCTGATGGCTATTTTCTCAGTTTTCACACAATAATATACGTACAGTACTACGGACCTAATTGTTGACGGCTGACTCCTGTCTGCTATACGATTTTCTTTAAATGATTCTTCTCACTCTAATTTAAAGAACTATTTGTTTAGAAAATCATAACCAACCCCTCCCTCACTTTTGTCCAAATTGGTCGTTTACGAACTCATGGATTATGTGTTTTATTTGGGAAGTCTTTCGAGAGGGTTCAGTCAATTTCATAAACAAAACGAAGGATGAGTGAGGGAAAAGAAAGGGAATGTTCGGAAGTGTTGAAAAGGAAGTTAGAACTTTAACAATTGCTGTTTTAGGCAAAACGAAACGACTTATGATGATGGCTGAGGAGTTATTTTTACATAAAATCCGCGGTATAAAGCTTGATTATCAGAGGTGAATCTAGCGGTGAGAACGTCCGTGGAAGTGTAGAAAGATGCTTCGGAGATGTCGTAACCGGTGAAACTGTAAAGAGCAATGGCGTTATATGTATTATAAGAAAGTTGGATACAATGTTTGTCAAGTGCCACATTTAAGCGAAAGTTTTGTGATTTCTCTCAAAGTTTCCAACATTTTTGAACAAAGTTGGAGCTCATTACCTAGCGATTAGGGTATTCGAAGAGTCGTAGAAACTCAAAGTATCTTTCCCAGCTTCCAATTCGTAGTACACAGAAACTTTCATACTTGGTGCGTTCTGAAAACATAAAACATCATTAATTTTCTGCATTACATTGCTCAAAAATGACTCACGGCAGGTTTGGTGTAGACGTACTGATTATTGGCAAAGTTACAATATCTGGCATTCTCTCCGTTGTAAGCTGGAAGTGCTGACCAATCCAATTTGCCTGCAGAAGACCCATCAGGTCCAATGTAATTGAACGGTTCCGAGAAGAATGAGAAACTGGCACCAGAATCATTTGCCACTGATTCAATTCCAGTCTGTGGGCACCCTAAATTCTGAATTGAAACCGCTAGGAAACAAAAAAAATGTTTTCTCAACTCACAGTAATTAGTTTCCGATCCATTATTAAAGTAAAATGGGTTTACAAAATTTGCGACACCAGCATTGTTTGTAGCAACAGTGGTAAATGCATTGTACCATCTGTTTGGGCGGAGAACTTGGCTTGATTCCAAATCGGTCAAATTGTACCCCGCAACCAGAAGATTTACTCCATATTTATCAAATATCGGTTTCACATAAGTTTCGTTCAAAAGAGCACCAGTGGATGGCCTGGAAAAAGTTGTTTTTTTTGTAGGTTTTTCAAAAGTATTTCTTTCCAATTTTGATGAGGGAAAAATTTGAAAATTTGGAAATTTCTACTCAATTTGTAGCAAGGAATTTATATGTGACGCTATAACCAAATTCCAGGATCATTTTAGTGATTTTTTCAAGTTATCTTTGAAATATTAAAGTTCAAAGCACCTTACCATTCTCCGGTAAACAGCACAATTGATCTCTGAGCATTTGGTCTGCTATCAGTTGAGCTATTTGTGTTCACATTAAACGCCAATTCGATCAACCCAATGAGAGCCCTGAAAGATGACGTCATAACACACCCTTCACATTCTTCTCTTATCAGTTTTCTTGAAACCGCGCCCAGCCCAAACTCACTCGTCAATACTTCCATCGAGAGTGATGCCACTGGAACGGAGCGACTGCGTTAGGGAAGTGGCATTCAATTCCCAGATCTGGAAATGATAAGAGTTGTTATTTGGAAGATTAAATATACAAACCCCTCCTTGAACAGCAAAATAAGGGGAATAAGGTGTAAGTGTTGCCAGAGAAAGTCTCGAACTCGAAATACTGTTAACATCCGTCGTTGTAGAGAGTATGTTCACGAAATTCGTCACAAAACCGATGATCTATAATATCGAAGCATTTTATTAATTTATTTCATTTCATAGTTTTGTTTAGCTGTTATTTATGAATATAGTCACATAAAAACAACAAAATCCATTTTAAAAACCAACATTAGTCATTGTTTTAATCCCACCGCTCGTTTTCTGATTTATCACAACAAGGATATCGTGTGAAATCAGATACGGATCTCTAGTGAAACCAGCGGGAAAGGAACTTCTGGTTGTGGGGGCCGATGTGGTGGTGGTCGGCGCGGCACTCGGTTGGAGGCCGGGAACAGCTTTAATGACGCCGTAGTACACATCTGGAATGGAAAATGTTACATTTCATGACTTCCAAGGTTGTATAGCACATTCCCATGAGGACACATTGTGCTCTGTTGGTAAAGTTCGCAACATGGAAAATTCATAAGATATGTATGTGGTTTACATGACATTCCTTGAAACCCAACGTGTCTTCGTTATTCGAGACAATATATTTTGTTTTTTGACTATTTAGAATACTTACTTGCTCCAGTTCCAGTCTGTGAATACTTGATGGTGATCGAAGAAGACGAACTTTTGATTGAACTTTTCGAAGATCCACTATCGACATCTTCGCCTTCATTTATCCTAAACTTCTCAATGTTTTCCTACTAGACGCCTCGAAGCTTACTGAATAATAGGCGTTCCAATAGCGGCTGGACCATCGAAAATTTCTACCAATCCTCCGGAACCGGCTGTAGTACCCCAACGGAACGTCAGACCCTAAAAATTATGTTTTGTTTAGTTGATTCAAAAGAAAATTGACAGTCCATCCGTAGGTATCGTCACCACTGTACGCCACGTATGAGCATTGCTTGTAACAGGCGGAAAAGTCCTCAGTATTATAGGAATTACTGATGGGAGCAGATTTGCCTGTATAATTCGAGGCCTCGTAACAAGCACAATCCGCATGGGCTCCTGGAATTTTCCAATTTTTTAAAAACAGTATCCTAAAAAACAAACCTCCAATCAGACAAAGCACTGAAAGAATGACCAAACTCTTCATGCCTTCAAAACTAATTTTTTAACACAAAATAAACTCAAAAGCAAACTATACTGAAGCAACAGAGAAGAAAGAGAGCGCAAGCAAAAAGTAAGACAATTATCAATCGAGAAAGCATCGCCATGTGATAATAATGCGATTTTATGAGCGACAATAAAAAACCTTATCAGAATTCCAATGCTGTTTCAACTTTTTGTCAACATTTCTCAAAATGGGAGTATTTACTAAAATTGGGCATGATTTGTGCTGTTGTTTGCTGTTTTCATAACACACGCAAAGTCGGATGATTATGAACCATGTGCTGCGTGTCCTGTGCTGCCACCACTTCTCTGGAAACAATGCCATAAATATCGGCTGTCCACCGGAGGTGTATCCGCCACTCGCCATTGTTCCTCCAGCACTCCCATTGTCCCTTCGACCCAACCGTTCAACTCGAAACAGTGAGTTTATTTACTACTAGCGTTCAAGCCACCAACTCCATTTTTTCAGTCAGATCCAGCGTTTCGCCTTCGGATTGTTACCAAGTGTGGAGGACCGTTTACTCGAAAAATGGCGAACACAAAAATGGAAGGCAATTTCGTTCCGGCAAACATTGTTTTTCAGACCGTCAAAGTGCCACAAAAGTTAGCGAAAAATGATCAGCGACGACCCCACTTGTTTGGGAGAAATTTTGTGTTCATTTGAGTAAAGCCCTTCCGATGTTCTATTTTTTCGATAATTTGAGGGTTTTTTTTGAGAATTGTTTCGTGAGAGAAATTCATTTGTGCCCCTTTTTGTTTCTCCCCGGTGCAAACGCGTTACCGACTGTGAACCTGTTTTTCCAAATTGCATGAGTATTCTACATAATTCGTCGGGATTTCAAGAGAAACAATTTGTATCTTTCTTTCACAATTAATATACTTTATCTTCAATAGTCTTTATAAAGTGCAAGAAATTCCAAAAAAATTCTTTGAGTGGTCCTCCAACTCTTTGCTACCGTCGCGTTTGGCGTATTGGAAGCTGAGAAGACCTTGCAAGTGAGTAATCACTTGCAACAATGTTCAAAAGTTTATTCGGAACCAATGTTATGATACAATCGGTATTTTTCCGATGAGCAGTCCGATCTCATGCTGCTTTCCTCCTTCGACCTACACTTCTCACTTCTGGTACTGAGCACCGCTACGCCGTTTTTCGGTATCTTATACAAACAAGTCGCTATGTGTTGAAAAGATTCGATTGTTTCCAGAGAGATTTCAGCAGGTAGATTTATTTTAAAAGGGTGATCCGGTAACAATTCTAATACAATAGAAACTACCTTAAGAAAATAAAAAAAGAAGAAGAAAACAAGGATAAAACAAGAAGAAAATTTAGCGGGTGAGGGAGGAAATAAGAAAGAGAGAAGAACAAATCACATACTAGATCAGTGGAAAAACAACAATTTGAGCATCGAATGGAAAGGGAGGAAATGGAGAATAGGAGAACGGGAGAACTGGGGAAGAGGCACATGTGGATCGTAGATCGAGCTTTTTCGAGAAGGTGGTGAGGAGAAGGCCATCGGAGAATTTGGACGAAATCTAAAAATAAAAACAATGTTGACAAATAAAGCGACTATTGAAGTTTGAATTTACCTGTTGTTTGTGAGAAGAGGCAAACAGAGGAGGTTGGCGTGAAGAGAGGAGATGGAGTTTACGGCGGACAACTGGAGTGCCTGAAACTATAAAAAGTATATTAAAAGAGTGGATCTTCCTCTTTATCAGAGTTAAATTCAGATTTTGCGCAAAATAATAATTACTCATTTATTCGCTTCGACCACCAGAAAAATTTACAGAAGAGGAGAGGGAGATATAAATAGTGGGTGGAGGAGGGAATAATGACTAAAATGGCCATTGGCCGGCAATAGCCATAGGTCAAGTAGAATACAATATACAAGAGGGAATATTTTCTATGCGCGTCGCAAAAAATGGGCTTTCAGTTTCTCGAAAGGCTCAACCTCAAACACTTTTAGATGCATAAATAAATTGACGTTCGCAGTGGCACGCGGGTCGGCCGGATCGGGCCAGCAAAATCTTGCAAGTCTAGTGTTTATTTGTTCATTGACGCCCGTTTTGATTCGCTGACTCATATTCATGCTCTGGCACGAGTTCATCGAATCAGTCTCAGAAATTCACTACATTATGGTTGTGACTAAGCCCCTCTTGGGAAATCAGCAACGAGTAAAGCTGTGAGAAAGTTTTTCACCAACAACTTCAATTCCTATGAAAAGTTTTCGAGATTATGAGTCATAGAAAATTAAAGAAAACGCAGGAAAGTGATAGGGCAAGTTACAATAGATACGTAAAGCATCACTGTCAACTAATCAATGGTTAAAGATCATGTGGAAGTGAGCAGTGAAAAGAAACGTTGAAAATAATAATCTAACAAGATGAGTTGCTATCTGAGCTTAACAGTTATTCAAATGGGGACTGGACATCTGATAGGTATTTGCAGTTTGTGACAAGTTGGAAAGATTCAGTGTGGTTCAACAACTGGGGCTAACGCTGAATAGAGAGGTACGGTGATTTCAGGTAAGATTAAATCAGTGAAACATAGAAAACGTGTGGATTGTGCCTTATCAAAAACGAATTGTTTTGAGCATCTTGTTGTAGTCTGAAAAAAAACTACATTTTTCAATAGTTGAATTCAATCACCTTCTCGAAGGTGTTTGATGGTGCGGTTGACAAGTAAAATTGGCCAATAACAGCAGAACCAGTTTCAACATCATAGAGATGTTTCCTGTTCCTGCCCCTGTTCCTGCTGCTGCTGTTCCTCCTCCTCATCCTCTTCGTCATCCATGCTACCTGACTCCAAAAATTCTTCGATTGGAGCCACAATGATGGCCAAAGTGTACAATGTTCCTGAAAAATATTTTTTAGGATCGAAAGCAAAGGTGGTGCAACTCGCCTAAAAACTGTTCAGCGCTCCAAATCGCCAGAAGCCCGATTATCGTGATTGTATTCTTAGGCTCCTCAAGGAGAAAAAAGTATCCAAGGGTGACCAGCTCAATGAAGCTGAGAATTGGGCGAAGAAGAGTACAGGTCCAGAGATTGCTTGCCGCCCATTTAACTTGGAATCTTTTGAATTCCATAAGAATTCCACAGGTCATACTCGTCAACGTCGTCAAGGCCACGCGGAAGAAAAGAACCCATTGGACAACGAGCAGGGAGTAAAGATGATCATAAAGATTCTCCGGGAGATGGAAGCAGAAGAAAATAATCCAAATGAAGATGTAGAGAATGTCGGTTAGCATTATGGCCCATAAAGCTTTCCGGGCAAAAGAGCAATCATCTCGGAGTTTTTGAATTCTTTCCGTGTGAAGACTTTTCGAGAACTTGTCCATAATTTCCGAATCACTTAGCGCAGGTGCCACAAGAATTTCGAGTGGTGATAGTATTGAAATTACGGGAAAGATAAGCATTTAGGGTGAGAGTTGGAAAAATGTTGGCGTAATGAAGACAAAACGGGCGGTGAGGAGGAGATGAAAATAGTAATGAAGCGTGCCTAGCAACCAATTGTTCAAAGCTATAGTTGTTAGCTGGCTATCCGCGATAATTAGAAATTTCTCGTGACTTCTGGCCAAGCACATCCAAACATTAACATCAGATGAACCGGCGATGTCAGAAAAAACTGGAGAACTTTCAGATACACTGCATACTGAACATTATTTCTTCAAAGGATGTTCCAGTCCACGACAATGCTCTTCATCAATATGTGCCGTAATGAAATGTCCGCCGATCATGATAACTTCTGTACTGTCAGCAAAGGTCAAGCTCGACGACAGCACCTTCCAAATGGACGCTGCTCTCACGACAGCAGCTGCGGAATAGGCGCTGCTCTCTTGACAGTAGCTACCCAATGGGCACTGCTCTCACGACAACAGCTACTAAATGGGAGCTGCTCTCATGACAGCAGCTACGGAATGGGCGCTGCTCTCACGACAGTAGCTACCCAATGGGCGCTGTTCTCACGACGACAGCTACCAAATGAGAGCTGCTATCATGACAGCAGCTACGGAATAGACGCTGCTCTCACGACAGCAGCTACGGAATGGGCGCTGCTCTCTCGACAGTAGCTACCCAATGGGCGCTGCTCTCACGACAGCAGCTACCAAATGGGAGCTGCTATCATGGCAGCAGCTACGGAATGGACGCTGTTCTCACGACAGCAGCAAGGGAATGGGCGCTGCTCTCTCGACAGTAGCTACCCAATGGGCGCAGCTCTCACGACAGCAGTTACCAAACTTGCATCTAAAATGTTGTCAAATGCATCATTTCAGAGACACAGTAACTAAGGCAAATTTCATTATAAGAAAATCAATTAAATAATTGTTTTCCTGGGTGCAACATTGCTGTGCGGAATTTGAAAAGACGGTCCTCATATATGCACATGTATATGATTCCTCCCGAAGTAATGTTCTGATTCAATCCTATATTTCCTAATTTATCGACGTAACAGCCAGTGATGAAGGAGACTCCGAAGAAGTCGCAACGACGAACAAAATTGCGCTCATTCCATGTTTCGCCTGAAAATCAAGTGAGTTCAGCAGGATGCATATATTAAAAAAGTAATTTTGAAAATGATCAATAAAAATTACCTCAAGGGGGCTTACCTATTTCTTTTTTCTCCCCCTTTTCGGTCTCGCATTTGGAATATTTCGCAGGCCTCAAAATCACGTTTCCATCAACAATGACACATTCGATCGCGTAACCGGCATGCCCTCTTTTCGTTTTTCCTACTGGAATCTCGATTCCATTTCGCGTGATGCAACTTTTCACCATGATTGTTCCGTACATTTTGCACTGCACCTTCATATGATTTTCCACCCACTCTTCGCCGACATTGTACTTTCCACGACATTTTCCCATTCTTCCCAATGTCGTTATCAATGTGAAATTTTCAGCGCACTCGAATTGTTTGTCTTCTTCATTCATTTTCCACTTTGGTTGAATCTAAGGGGAGACATTGAGTAAATATTGAAAAGAAAGAAAAACACAAAAACTTTCAAAAAGATCTCACATCTTTCCCATCGGGAGTCATACATCCGATGACTTTGAGAGTGGAGGTCAAGTTCTTGAAAGTAATACATTGAATTCGGAAAGTTCCTTGGGCCACCTGTAAGGACCATTTTGAATTAAAAATAAGTGGAGAAAGGTGATAGTCCCGAAATTAACAGATAAATGACGTTATCCGAACGGACCGCAAATTCGACGTCCGTTAAACTTATTTAACTTTACCAGATTAAATATGTTTGAAATTTTTAACTTGTTTGAAGAATTTGTGAACTTGCACCAAATTAGGAGACAACTTACAAAAAAGGTTCCATTGTAGTATTGCTTCCCATCGTAAACGCACATTGCGTAAGGAGCTGGTTTCTGAAAAATTTCCAGTTGCCATCATCAAAACTAATTATTTTGCTAGTTTGCCTTTAAATTGAACGTCGCTAAGCTATATTCAGAACCGTTTTGCACGCAGCTGTACATCATTTCTCCGACCGTGATGTTGCTGTCAATTGGTATCGTGTCTTTGACGTTTTTCTTCTAAAAAAACCCGTTACTTAAGATTTTGCACTCTGAAACTCTTACGAAACAACCGATGATTTCGTTTTGGCCGTAATCCATGCACTTTCGCACAAAGTTTCCATCCACGTACTCCTCTCCATTTCGCTTTAATGAACCGTCCGTTGCCTCGCATTCATAGCTTTTTGGGTTGTTGGTAGTTTGCATTGTAATTGTTCCGTTCCAGTGTTGCACGCACTTGTACTCAAATTTCCCAATCTTCCCAGTCTGTCCGGCATTTATTACTGTCCCTTCACTTCCGACACAGGCAACGAATTTAACAACACCTCCGTCGGCGCAAATGAATTTGAACGCTTTCTCTTGCCATACATCACCTGAAAAAAAGCACAATAATTTGTTCTTCAAACTCTCGTTGGCTCACCATGTTTATGTCCTCCCGGACAAGAGGCCAGCCGTCCTTTTGATTCTCTAAGATATACATAACCTCCCTCTTTTCTTACACATTCATAAACATTTTCTCCGACTTCCTTCTTCTCTTCAACATCAACTTCTGTACCGTCCACAGCCACGCAACCAATAATCTCAGTCTTCCAGGATCCGTGATCAGACAGACACTTGATACGAAATGAGTTTTGAACGACCTGCCGGTGCATTTATCATATTAATGGTGCATTCAAATTTTTCGAGTATCATACATCTAACTTCTGTTTTCCTTGAATTTGGCATAAGAAAACATACATCTCTTACAATGATCTGATCATGGTCCAACTCTTTGCCATCATACTTGCATTTTTCCCTCGCAACGGAAACGAATGCCAGGCAAAACATCGTTACGAGATTTCGAATCATCCTCATTGAAAAGTGACTAAACGGCTCCAAAAACCTGAAGAAAGTTAGCAAACTGAGAGAGAGAGATGCGTGGGATGAGAGGCGTTGTGAAAATTACGAAGTGAGGACACTGACAATTAATCTTAACAATAAACGACAGAAACAGAAAGAGAACGGAAAGAATGGATGAGGAGAGGAACAACAGCTGCCGAACAATTTCTCCGGTTTCAAAAGTATGTGGAGGAAGAATGAAAAGAGCAGGAGATGGTTTGAATTGTAACAGAAAGAGTAAAGGCAGTTGCCAACCTTTTTGATGCTTGACAGATATGTAGCCTAATTTACGTGAGTTATGTCAATGACAATCATGTTAGAAAATAACGTAGACTGTCTGAATGAAAGCTTTGTGTTTTGAGCAAAAATAATTTTAAAAATTGCTAAAATCACAAAACTGGTGGCATATTTCTTTGTGCCAAGGGCACGCTTATTTCACACATTACGAAGATAGTAATTGATTTGAATGATGTTCATTGACGAAAATCATCCCCAGGGATACTGGTCATATTCGTAATCCCTTGCGGCCCATTGGATGATGTCTATCAGATCTTCTTTTTCTTTGTCTGAAATGAATGTTGCTCTCGGCGCATTGATCTGCTGAATAGATTAAGTTTTTAATACAGCGAACTATTTTTCGAAAAACAAACCATCTCAACTAAACAAATCATTTTATCAAATCTAGTAAGTCTGTACAATTTAGCTGACAAAGTATTGTTGAATAACGTTAGATCATCGCGGGAGATCGAAAAGTTCAATTTGTCCTTGTGCCATTTGAAGAGTGGATGATTGCGGAGATCGAAGGGGACTGATCCCGTCATTATCAAGGAGGTGGGACAGGCTTCCAAATAAACTTTCTTTGACGTCAAAAAATGCTTCTCATACGCGAGCGGGTCTTGCAAAATTCTGTAGCCATATCCAATGCGCTCCGCGTGCATCTTGTTGATAGCACGAACGACTTCCTTGGCACCTCCAGATTCTCCAGCGTGAATATGCGATGGATGCCTTTTTCAAAAACCGCCTGAAACGCGGCAATTACTTCCGGTTCGTACTGCTCGTCGGCTCCTCTTGAAGTTCCGGCAACGTCAATCCCGACCACTCCGAAGTGGCGATTCTTGTCCGCTGAAAACAAGTGAACTCATGAAAGTTTAATTCATTTCGTGAACCGACCCAGCTCCACTATTTCCATCGGGTGCTTGGGGTTCATTCCTCGTATGCTGCAGAGAATGGAGCGTGTTTTGACTCCAGAACTCTCCGCCCGTTGAAAACCGTCTCTGACGGCGGTGACAACATCGATAAGTTTGTTAAATTCAAATTTTAATAGAAATGATATACCCTACTTGCAACTGCGCATAACAGTTGAAGAGGATCATCAGTAACTCAACAATATATATGATTGTTTCACCACCTCTCTCTTTTTTCACCTGTTCATCGGCGTTCAACAGGAGGTGTGGGCTATATCGAGCTTCGAAGTAGAACACATTGTCCCAACGCTGATCTCTGGCCAATTCGAAGGCAATCCGTCGGATTGCGTTCATATCACTCCTAATTATCGGGAGTATCAAGTCAAAGGATTTCAGAACTTCCGAGATATTCGATGGTTTTTTAATTCAAGAGCTCCTTCAGTTCTTCGACACTTTTGGCACCTCCAATCGAAATGTTTCCGATGTTAGCTCATATTTCCATTTTTCTCGATTTTTGATGTTTAAGTGTTCTGTAAAATATTCAAAAACTCACTGCTTCCACGTTGTCTCTCCCATTTCCATAGCACACTGAAAGAAAAATCAAACAGTTTTCAGTCTTCTGTCAACATATTCTTATCAAGCTGTGATGCCTTGTCTAGTCTCGAATATCAAACATTTCATCACTGACTTTTCACAGAACTATCAAGAGAAGCCACGAAAAAAGAAGCGGAATGTGTTGGAATTTCTAAGTGATAGAAAAAGAAACGAGTGGGAAAAATGGGGAAATAAATCAATAAGACGGGGGTAAAATGAAAATGTGAAATGAGCATTGTGTTCGGGGCGAAGAATTATCGGACGAGGAGAGCCTCTAGTCCTTCTTCATTCTGGTCGTCGTCATGCGGTAGATAATCGAGTCCTTCTCCGGGTCAATCGATGCCATTCCGACGACAATGTAGATGAGCGCCTGGAAAATAAGCAAGATACAGGAACCAGAGAACAAATGAGTGTACCACAACAAGAATGATGACCAATCCGAGGAAAATGGCGAAGATGGCTGGGTAGTCCTGAGAAACCGGGACGGTCACTTGGAATCCCTTGCGGTAGGCCTTGAGGCGTTCCTCCCACGTCGAGGCGTCTCTCTTCTGGATTCTGTGAGTTGGGATCTCGCGCGACTCTCCGGTCTCGGCGTTTCCGGTTTCGGCCTCAAAAGTGAGCAGCTCGACGACTGCCTGTCCTCCATAAGCGTTGTTGATCGCGGTGGTGAGGGCTTGGACAGCGGCAGTGATGTCTCCGATAGCCTCGGTCTTCTGGGCGTCATCGGTGATTCCGACAAGTCCGGTGATGGTCACACTGAAAAATGACAAACAATCGTTGTTGGTTGTAAGACTTCAGAGCTTTAATGTGAACGCGCCCAGCGAATGCTGCTTGAACCATGTAATATGTATTCTCTCAAGGAACATACCGGAAAATATCGGCGTTGTTGTCAACCTTAACTCCAGCGGTCTTGATGGCAGCGACGAGCTGGTAGACAGCCTCGAGCTCACGGACCAAGGTGCTTCTCTGGGTCTTGATAACCGACGAGTCGATTGTCTCCTGCTTGGCGGCCAAAGCCAGCTGCGATCCGGTGATTCCTCCGACGGACACTTGAACCGATTCGCGGTCCGATCCGAAGACGAGGGCCAGATCCTGCTCTAATCCGACAATATCAACTCCATCCGATTGAGTCGTGTAGGTCTTGCCCCCCAGGTTCAGGTTGTCGATGCCAATCACGCTGACGACCGCGAGAGCGCGTGGGCGCGAGAACAAATCGGTGGCAACATTGAATCCTAAAAGAAAATGGGTTTTGGTCTGGAAGAATTTCGAAAACTATGTACCTTCAACTTGTCTCGCCGATAGTCCGAGGATGTATTCATTGAGCGTCGAGATCTGGGTCGTCTTGAGGGTGGCCGAGGTGTCCGGGAACTGGAGAGTGGCCGGAGCAGTGAGAATCTCGAGCGAAGAGGCGGCACAGGCGGCGACGAGCGCACAAAGAAGCACAAACTTCATCCTGAAATTGTGGATTAGACAATATACAATAGAAATCAAGAAATGAGAAAGAGGTATGAAAACTGTAAAGATCAACAGTAAGAAAAATTGAAGTAAAGGTAAAAACATGTCTAATTATTTATAAAAAAGGTGGTGGTGGTAGTGGTGGTGGTACTGAGATGGTAGGGAATCAGAAATCGAAAATCCCGTTTAAAATAACAGTTGAACATCACAATAAGATAGGCTTACTCATGATTGTCGGTGGTAGTGTAGTTTTGTTTGATTGGAGGCACAAAAAGCACGCGAAAAGAGACCAAAAATTAAAAAAAAAGCTGCTGAGTGGAAGGCAAATTGAGTAAATTTGAATGGAAATTGGGGGATGGGAAACATTTGACAACGTGGCGTCTGAAAACAAGCTCACTCGGGGTGAAAAGAGACAAAAACAACACAGAAAAATGGACCTTGAATGAAGAGGGAGGCGAAAAAAAAAACATTTTTAAATTATTATGAATTCGAGAACAAAAATGATTATGCGTTAGAAAAGCGAGAGATACTAGCAGAATTAGTCTAGGAAGAAGTCTACATAGTGACAGAGGTAGAAGATCGGGAACGAGAAGTTTTTCCCATGTCTGCTGTGTTCAATTTGACGAGACGTGGCCGGTTCACCATTACTTTGATCACTCCGCTCAAGTCGGCGCTGACAATTACCTGAAAATTTAGGGAATTGAATTGAATAAAAAACTGTCAGAGACGTTTTACACGATTTTAAAAGTTCGAAATGTTCATTTTGAATACTCTGAAAAATAGAAGGACATGCCGTTCGGTTTTGCGTCAAGTGTTATGTCAAAGTTCAATTTTCGGTCGTTAGTTGTAGCGGAGTGATCGTGGTCGCAGTGATGTGCGGTAGAGCGCATTTGACGCAAAATTGCCGATTTATTAAAAAAAAAAAGGACTTTTGTGCCATTTTCGCCGATTTTTGACACGATTCTGACAGAAGGTGTCCAGAAAAGAGCTTGGCGGTCACGGTCGCCAACAGGAGTTCGCACACGCCTGTTGATTAAGTTTTTTTCCAATAACTTTGTCATCAGCACAACATCGGGCGCATAAAGTCAGCAAATTATGCTACAACACTAGTTTTGTTCAAACTACTACATTTCGTCAGTCTCTATCTGAACATCACTCACATGTCCAGGCATCGAGATGTTGCCGTTTGAATTCAACGAATCCGATTGTCCTGCGCCGGCATTGAAGTCAATCGAATCGTTTTTCGAGTGCTTATCCCGTTTGTTGAGCATATTGAAGAACACCTGGGGTCTGGGCGCGAAGACCGCAACGGGCACCGGCGCGTTGTGAGCCCTCACTCGTTCCCACCACGAGTTCCGATCCTTTCGCACGGACAGGGAAACCGTCATGTCGCTGGCCCGCCAAATGTAGACAAACTTGTCCTCGGAACCGCAAATGATGTGTCGGCCGTCCGGAGAGAAAGCGGCGCGAATTTGTGAGTGGTCGTTCTGAACTCCTTTGAACTTGCACGTCAACGCTTTGTCGCGGATGTCGTACATTCGGATTCGCGAGTCATTCGAGGTTACCTACAAATCGGGAGAAGAGTTAGATTGAGGTCCACAGCGGGGGTTGGTATTACCAGGAGTTTGTCTCCGTGTGATGTCAGCCCGGTTACTTTGTGTCCTCGAGCGTTTTTGCCACGCGTGGATCGCACATCGACGGCTGTATGGTACTTGAGCTGCTGAAAAATAAAATGATTAGACTAGAAAACTCGTTTATTTTTGCGGCTCGTTGATTCTCCAGTTTCTACTGACTAGTAATGATTTCTAGCGTCATTGGACTTTTTATTCTGAAAAGTATTGCCCACATGAAGAATTCTTGCTGTTTGCTTAAAGGACCAGGGAACCCAAAAACTTTTTGATTTTTTTGTGAAATGTTTTTGTGACTGTTTGAATTGTCTCTTATTGCCTCATACACTGGTGAAATGCTGCCTCTCAAAAATGCCAATGAACGAAACGGCATGCAGTTGAAGTTGTGGCCGTGGCCTAGCGCCAATGGCCGAAAAATATATAAAATTATATGCGCTTCTCAGCCATTTTATTTTTTCCGCTTTTTTACCGGTTTTTTTCCAAAAATTCACGGTTTCTGTCATTTTTCAGTTGATTGACATTAGTTCGGCACTTACTTATTTTTTCACTGCTAAAAAATTGTTTTCATTCAGTTGATATGAAGTGCCAAAATGGGAGAAACCGTGAATTTTTGAAAAAAAACCGGTAAAAAAGCGGAAAAAATAAAATGGCCGAGAAGCGCATATATTTTTATATATTTTTCGGCCATTGGCGCTAGGCCACGGCCACAACTTCAACTGCATGCCGTTTCGTTCACTGGCATTTTTGAGAGGCAGCATTTCACGAGTGTATGAGGCAATAAGAGACAATTCAAACAGTCACAAAAACATTTCACAAAAAAATCAAAAAAATTTTGGGTTCCCTGGTCCTTTAAAATACACGACGTTTTCGAAGTCCCATTCCAGCGGTCGTCAGGTAACTGTTCTATGATCAACTGATTAATGATATTTGGTCAGTTTTCATATAAAATTCAATATTTGCAATTCAATTGCCTACCCGCTCCCCTCACCCTGCCCTCTCCGTGATAACACTCACGTCGGACGTGTAAAATATGCATTTGCCGTCGTAAGTGCCGACAACTGCAAATTTTCCGCTCTTCACAAACGTCATTGCCGTGATGTACTTCTTCTCCGTATCATTCCACACCGCGACTTTCTTGTCGGGAATGTGCCACATCCTCAGTTTTCCGTCTAACGATCCGGACAGAAAGTATCGATCGTCTTTGGGCAGAAATGCGACACAAGTGACAAAGTCAATGTGTTGGAAGCAGCAGAGACACTCGTTTCGGGATAAATGCCACAGTTTGACAGTTCGATCCATTCCAGAGGACAAAATGAAGTAGTTCTTAGACCATGAAACGTCCAGAATGTCGGCAGTGTGTCCTTTGAGAAGTGAAAATGGTTTTACACAGAACAAACCATTGTTGTCATCCGATGAAGCGGTCGTTTCGCTGTTCACCGCACTTCCCATCGAACTCGGCGGTCTGAACTGATCGATATTATCCACCGAGTTCATCGGATCCGAGTCCGAGTTCGAGCTCGTAGCGTATTTCTCCCGCATGTCCGAGAAGTATTGTAAATGCGAGCGGACAACCCAGATTCGGAGAATCGAGTCTTGCCCGGCCGTCGCCATCAGCTTCCCGCAAATACTGAACTTGATGCACCATATCGCTCCGGTATGCTCATTGTTCAGCTCCTGGTCGATTGTCAGGTGCTCAAAGTCATAGGGCCCTTTCTTGCTCTTCCGTGGCCGCACGATATTACTCGGGGCGACTGCGTGATGCGGTTCATCGCTTTCCTCTCCTTCACTTGTCTCTTCACCAATTCCATGCCGAGTTGATGATGCCGCTCTAAAAATAGACATAATACCACATCAGAATTGGATATCTAGTGACATACCCTGGATGGGCGACAGTCCGGACTCGTTTGAACGCGCCGCGCAACATTCCACTGGCATATCTCACTGAATTTCTGGCAAACGACGCAGCGTTGCCAATGCTGGTTCGCGAGAGAGTTCGGTGGGAAGTGGCATCGTCTCTGAAAAAAGTTGCAATAGCTAACCAATGAATTACTACAAAGTGAGACTCTTGTGACATTTCAAGCCGGTGTCCTCAAAGGCAAACTGGTTTATTATTTGTTTTCAGGTTTTTGTTGGGTTTCAGAAAGTGCGATACTCACAATGATCCGAGACTGGCGCGGTCCGCGTCGTGCTGTCCACTTCTCTTCATGCTCAGACGCCGCTCCACATCCAAAGTTATAGGATCCACCGAGCTCGGCAACTTGTCTGACTTGTTCGTACGAAGTTCATCATTGGACATGCTCCTCGAGTTTCGATTTGCAACTGACTTTGCCGGACTCAAACTGTTTACAGTGTCCAGTGTTCCGAAAGATTTGGACGAACACGAAGGCTCTTCAGGAATCGGTTCCGGGATGAATACACCAATCTTAGAGGTTTCGGAGTGCGACGGAGAGGAAGCGGAGGAATTGGAAGCGGAAGGGATAGTCTCGAGGCTGTTGGTGTCCGGATCGACAAAGAGATTGTGTGCTGACTCTACTTCGGTCGTGATCTGACGGATGACCTCTTCGGCGACGACATTCCGTTCTTCCTCTTCTCCAGTAGCTTCTCTGCCGCCAAGAGCTAACGCGTTTGGTGGGAATGGACCAGTCTGTAAGAAAAACGTATTCCAGCGATCGAATCAAATGGTCAGCGCAGATGTAAAACGCCCGTCTCTGACGGTGTTATCATAACATTAGAATCGCCTATTTGAAAACTGTCTTTAGAAAATTATGAACAGTTCTGATCTAAAGTTCCACCGACAAGGTTCAAGACTGAACGAACTCAGTTCCGTACGTGTACACGATGCGTTGACAAATCGAGCATTACTAGGCGTTTCTTATAACCTTATCGGTTGTTTGAAACAATTTTCCCAATTACCTTCATAGTCTTAGCAATGGTCAATCCGCGATCAATTGAGCTTGACTTCTTGTGACCTCTGGTCTCCGGGCTCATGGTAGTTGAGAGCAAATCCGCACTTTTCGAAGACCCCACGGAAATCTCCCTTTGAATTCCATTCTTCTTCATCCGTTCCTCCTCAATCCTGGTCTCAACCTCAACCGCAATCGGATCCGGAAGCTTCATGGAGGGCGTTCTTGGTGGGAGAGGTGGTGGACAACGTGGCATTGGAGCAATCGCCGGATGAGAAAGCGGAGAAGAGACTGGGGATGTCACTGGAGCCCTCGCCGGAATTGGCGGAGGAATCCGAGGACTGGGGGACACTCCACAACAACTGCTTTCCGATGGTGTCCAAGTTGATGAGCGTGCTCGCTGTTGCTTATCATCCGGAATGTTCACTTGCATCATTGTTGTCGAGTTTGGGCTCGTCGGAGACCTTTCAAACAGTTCGGATCGGGGAGCTGCACAGGAGCTGAGTGTGTCGGACGCTTTCACAACCTGAAAAATACAAAAATTGTAACCATCTAGTTTTTTTGCTTTTTATAAACAATTGGGGGAGGAAGGGTAGGAAAAGGGCAGTCTCGAACTGAAAGCAGTGTCACGGCTACAAAAAATGCACTGAACGATTCCGGAACATTCTGAATGTTACAGTAGAGTAAAAAGTAAATGCTGAGGACGGATTCCGGCTGGCTGTGGCTGGGGCTTTGCTCCATAAGCCCACTAAAGTAATCCTGGCGATCCGTTCTTGCCGACAGAGTTTGATACACTCAAAACCTTGCCACTGCAGCATTTTCTGTGCCCATTGAACCTTCACTGAGACGCTTACATGACGAACTGGTGCAAGATAACGAAAGAAGCCGTTTTTGACGAACGGTGTTGTGTTACAAAACTACATAGTTTATTCCATTTTGGTCTCTGATTAACTACATAAAATATTCCCGCGAAGGAGCCCCATATCGGAACTGCCCGAATCAAAATTAGTTTAAATCAGAACTGCCCACAGAGATCACACAAAATTCGCTCTTACTCACCACAGTCTCATTCTTGACAATCATCTTGTGATGCCAGGACTGGAGGCTCGGAGCATCCGACGTCGTGCTCATTGTCTCGTCGTGATCGTAATCCGAATGGTGTATCGGTCCGACGAGCTGTCGATTCCCAAACTCCTTGTTCATCCGATTTCTCAGAGCAGCCAGTCTTTCTCGTGTAGCCAGAGCTGAATCCCGATTCGACGATGTAGATGATGCCTGGAATATTGAGGTTGATTAGAGAGATAAGGGTGAAATGGGCGCTTGAAGCAGATGAAAAATGAATTCAAACCCCTCAAAAAAACGAGAGAGATGAAAAATGAGAGGTTGAACGAGTCTCCGAAAACAACAGGGAACTAATGCAAATGAGATGAAATTGAAATGGGGGGCAGTCCGCCACGGAGCTAGCTCGCTAAACTCACTCTTAATGCAGGATTCACTGGAGTTTGAAAAACGCTGCTCATCGGACGGGGTGTGGCAAACGAGGGCGTAGCGGAGGGCTGCTGGTAGCTCCGACGGGCTGTGCTCCGGGATGCGCCCACGTTCAGAACATCTGGTCGCTGTGGAGTTGGGCCGCAGGTCTGGAAGAGTTGGCGATGTGAGGTTATTCCACTTGCTATATCGAACATCGCATCCAAAGCAAAGTCTAGGCCCTAGATCCTGATCAAAGACACCGAAACCAAAATTTTGAAGACATACATCAGTGGGAAGTCCAATCTTCGAACGCTATTCCGGTCAAATAGGATATAACCAGTGAAACAATTCGTAGTACTACCCAGAATTTCGTAGTACTACCCAGAATTTACTACCCAGAATTTGCGTCATCTTCTATTTTTCCCTGATGCATGGCGTCTCTAACTTCTCGACTTGGAGCACCAGGAGAAAGCACCACGCGTGAAGAATATTGATCAAACGACTCACTTGAGGTCTTTCGCTTCCCTGCCTGCTCGAGCTCGGTTCTTCGCGGGTGGGGCATCGGAATGAATTGGACGAGGTCGGTCTTTCCAAATCCTCCTCATTATTCGGCGAAGTTCGGCTCGTCCGTCGCATTTCTTCGCATATTTGCGCTTCTCTCCTACGCAGCAACGTCGGCGACGACGACGAAGTAATAGTTGACTGGAATAAACGGACGACATGTTAGGGAACTGAAGATCACTGAGGACATTTTATCATTGGGGGGGGGGCGAGGGAGCGATGATCGAATGGTCGAGACTGGGGGCTAAACTGTTGTGGGGCGAGAAGAAATCAATGAACGAAACCAAAGACCGAAAAATGTTCTCCGGGAGCGTGCACGGACGGCGAGAGGGGAGAGACAAGAAAAGGGGGTACCCTCCTCGTTCCGCGTGCTATTTCGATGACCCCGCACAAATGCCCGTTCGCGGTGGAGCGCGCTTGCATCGGCAACCGCATAATTCAGTGAAATTTGAACATTGACTTCTAAATCAAACTAACAGAATTTTCAACATAAATTGACGTGAATTTCAGAGGAATGCATGTGTTTTCGGGATATTCTCATTATTAGCCGGTCATTTCAGCAGGCACTGCTCAATAATTCGTTTCATAAGAACATAAATTCTAGACAAATTCCTTTGAAAGGTTTTTTTTCATAAATATCAAAAATTATCCTTTTATAAAAATGCAAACCATGTCCTGACCTAAACCGTTCGCTTCCTATCCAAATTTTCATATTTTTCAAGTCGTCCACTTTTCTACAAAAGGTACGCATTTGCTGGATAAAAACCATCATGTCTATTCAAAATTTCACTCAAATCCATAATAGTCGCTCAAAATTCACTTCATATCCCAACAGAAATAGTAAAGACAAAAAATAGATAGGCTAGTGTGCGATGTACATAAAGCGCAAGTTGGGGGTAGGAGGATAAAGACGAAAATTAAAAATTGATAGTGAGGGAATAAAAATTCGTTGGGGCGGGGGTCTAGGAGTTCATAATGAGTCATCAAGTGGTTGAGAATTAAAGGGGGTCACCTCACAAATCCTATTGTGTACACACAAACACACGCAAAAAAAGGCGAAGGACTCCGAATGCACCACCGCTTTTTTTTTTAGTCATGTTTGGTTGTGGGGTTGGCAAAAGAAGTGTGTGTGTGTACGTTTACAAAGCGAGGGCGGCCCGTCCGTCCTTCTTGCCTCCACCATTCGATGAAACATGATAGATAAGGCCACTTTGTATGCATGTATGTAAAATTCGATGTGGGTGATTCGTAATAAGGACACTTTTGTCAGCGATGGGAGGTGGAAAGAAAAAAAAACTGATACGCTGCGAAGAGAAAAAAATATACACAAAAGCACGCACAATGGGTAGGGGTGGTGCAAAGACAAACAAAAAAAAGGAAAAAACTAGGTAGGTAGGGGGAAACTAATTTGATATAATCTCTCTTTCAAAAAACACACAAAATCCAGTCCAATTAGATGCGGAACTTGTCGATGATCGCGTCAGCAAAGTCGATCGTGGAAGCGTAACTGAAAAAAGAGAGAATGAAAACGTTGAAGAAAAGTGTTTTTATGGGTATTCTAGAGGAAAGGGTGACGAGTAGGCAAAAAAGAAGAGGCTCTCTTCTTTTCTTCTTTTTTTAAATGTCATGTGAAGAAGAAGCGAAACGACTGAAAACCGGAAAATGAAACGCTTTTTTGAGTGAGTACGCACATTCCGCCTAGGAAAACTTTGTTCCGACTTGTAAAGGCTTGCAATATTTGCATTTTCTAGCTCAAAATTTGTTGCTCAAATTTAGTGAGTTTGACACGTAATGGCAATAGTCCCCAGGACTGACTGAAGTCGATCAAAAGTTAGATTTAGATGCTTTTTTCAATCTGGTTGGGGGAAAGTTGGAAATCAAACAATCTCGATGAATGTCTCTTTGTTTCTAAGTGTGTAAGCGCTCTTCATCAATTTTCCAACCCATTTTGTAGCTGGAACTTGCCGAAAGTAAGACATCTTGCGCGCGTCAGTTGCTTTCTTCTTATACCTGTACGCTTCACATATCTCGTTCCCTTTTCCTTCTTTTTTTTTATTTCCCAACTCTCACGCACCCTCCCAAGTCACGAGTGCGGACTTTGCCCTCTTTGACGACATCCGTAACAGCCTGACGGAGCGAGTTGCCCCAGGCGTCCAAATGCAAGTGGTTGAGCATGTTGGCCGCGCACAAGATCATTGCGGTCGGGTTGGCGATGGAACGTCCCATGGCCTCCTGGAAAGAGTGGCGACTTCCTGGCTCGAAAATGACAAAATCGCGTCCGACCGATTGACCGGGGACGACTCCGGCTCCTCCGACAAGTCTGAAATAGCCCGTTGAATCATGAATCCTCGATATGGATAATCTTACCCGGCAGCCAAGTTGTCAATGATGTTTCCGTACAAGTTGGGCATGACCATGACGTCAAATTGCTCCGGCTTTGAGACGAGCTGCATGCAAGTGTTGTCGATGATCATCGACTCGAACTGAATCTTCGGGTACTGCTTGGCAACCGACTCGCAAGTTCTCAAGAAGAGTCCGTCTCCGAGCTTCATGATGTTGGCCTTGTGGACAGCGGTGACCTGAAAATATATTGCTGTGATGAAATACTGTCCCCTTTATTTTACTGAGCCTGTACATGAATGCTACAGAATTGGGGTCTGGTCCCCTGTTCGGTTTAATAATGTTCTCCAGTTGTCATGGGAACAGATTGACCACCACACCAGCTGAACTTCCTCAACACGCTTCCCATCATGTTAATTTATCCTCTGCTTACCTTCTTTCTGCCGGTCTTGGTAGCATAATCGAAGGCAAACTTGGCAATGCGCTCAGCTTTGACTCTCGTCGAAATCTTGAGGCACTCGATGACTCCCGGAACCAGTTGGTGCTCCAAGCTGGAGTACTCTCCTTCCGTCTGCTCACGGACAATCACAAAGTCCAGATGTTTTCCGTGTCTCGTCTTGATTCCGTCGAGCGTCTGAAATTGACACAATTAGTGAGTAATTGGTCAAATTTCAACAAGCGCAAGAGAGGAGTCGGCTCCTCAAATTGGCTAGTGGCACTTCTACTAAGCACTCAGTCATTTGGATTTACTCCTTTTTCTTTCTCACGCTCGCAGTTATTTTCCTTGTTTCATACTTTTTCCTGTTATGTTTCATACCGTACCTTGATGTGAACGACGTTGGCGAACAAGTCGAGAGAGCGTCTCAAACGCATGTTGAGTCCTTGGAGCTCTCCTTCCGTGTGGAGGACGGCCGACTCTTCAATAGCTCCCTTCAAAGCGACGTTGTTGTTGCGCGCGATCGACTCAACAGCGTTTTCGATCGAAGACGAGCGGGTGTAGTGAACCTCAGACAGGAAGACCTCTGAAATAATTGTTGTTGATTATGATTGTTGGATTCATATACATATATATTCACTTCAGCTCTCTAAATGTTGAGACATAGACGCATTAGGAACCGTATTCTTTTATCACGCCCCGTCTTTGATCCAGCGGAAAACCAACTGATCACCTCATTCAGCACTATTGCCAAATTTCTGAAGTTGTGCTGTGATTGGTGTCCACACCAATCACACCCAACAGGTTCGAATAGGTTTGCTATTCGAAGCATGAGACGCTCCCAGTTCATAGCAATCAAGTGATGTTCTAGTCAACGAATGACGCAACCTCAGTACCCTTCAACTCCGATCAGCTTTGCTAACACCCTCTTGTACGCTTGTAACCAACTCACCTTCGAATTCAATGGGGATTCCGGTGTTCTTGACGATATCCTGGACAGTGTAGATGAGCTCGGGTCCTACTCCGTCTCCGGGAATGATCGTCACTTTGAGCTTCTTCGCAAGCTCCGTGGGTGGGCGAGGAGCGGCGATCACGTAGTTGCGGGTCGGCGTCACGTTGGTACTGCCGGCTAGAGCCTGCGGAGCCATGCGGCTCAACGAAGACATCGTGCGTGAGAGCATTCTGTAAGAATGTTTGATTGACTGTCTTATTGGCAAAAAAAAAGAGAGCGGAGAGTGTAGCGGAAAGGTTTCGAGGGCCCGCAACTGTTGTTATCCGGCCCTTCTATCGGAGGATCAGTGGTCGGCGGAAAATCGATAATCACCCATTCAATATGATTTTTTCGGTTAGCGGCGGATGACACACGGTTCTCGTTGAGAATAATACCAAAATGTGCAGCATGAACCGGGAGAATATCAGTGAGATCACTTTTTCAAGCAATTGTGAGCGGAAAAGCGCGTTAGTTTCGATAGAAATCCGGTCAAACCAATAACAAACATCGCCGAGAACACCAAAAGAAGAACGGAAATGAGAGAGGAGGAAGAGGAGCGGTTGTTGTTGTCGTGAGAACGAAAACAATGACGGCTCACCAGGTGTGCGTCAAGGGCAACGGGCAGGTTGCACGTGAGACGCGTCAACACTCCACCTTGACGCACTCATCGACTAATGAGCGATTTGTTGATGTTTTGATGATCAGAGCGGCGGAATGAGTGATCGAAAGGAGTTTTTAAGGGGTTTTCAATGGAAATGACAGGACATCTAATGGGAAAATGGTTAAAACAGCTGAGGTGCACTATTTGTTCACAGAAATTTGCACGGTTAGCGACAAAGAAAGAGTTGCTGACGTTTTAACCGTTCTGTTCAGTTTTCTGAGCATCCATCAGAGTGAATGAACGGATTTCTACTAAAATTCGCATGATCGATCAAGGAAGCAGAAAGTTTGTCCATTTTTGTTGGGAAAACTAATCATTGCAGTGCAAACGAATATTTATTTAGATTTCCCGGAAAACTGGAGAATATTGGTGAAAATAAACGAAACCAAGAGGGAGTACTTCGACGTTTGTGAGTTGATAACAGTTTTCAAAGTCTAGTTCGTATCGGATAATTACAATCCAAACCTCCACAGAGTACAAAAAGCCTAGATCAATCATTTACCCAGTCCTGCAAATTGTGAAAAATTGGAGAATATGAAACTAATTTAAGATGAAATATATCATTTATTTCTCCGAATTTCTTCCAAAAATGACGGCCAACAATAGCCGTAATTTGATTATTCTCTAGAAGCGTGCAAGACACGGTTCACCGACCCCTTCTCTCGCATTTCTTTGTTTTTACACGGAAAAGTCGATTCTCACGAGCTTTTGTCTGCATTGATGAATTTCTAGTGTTATATTAGTATCAGACCAAAATGAGGTTTCCGCGCAGTTCGCATAGTAAAAAAAATGCAAAAAAAATGAACGTTGAACGCTTCGAATCCGACTAGTTTTGTCATTTTCAAAATGTGAAAAATAACCAGTAGTAAATTTTTCATTAGAAATATTTGACACTGTATGCTTCAAGACCTATCCTTTATTCATTTTAAGTGTGTCACACATCGTGCATCGTCGCTTAACTCTTTTTTTTCTCGTATTCACACGATCAGCCGACCTATCTAATGTTTTTTTGACAGTTCATAGTTTTCCTCAGAAAATAAGTCAGAGTCGGCACAAATGTACGCTCAGAAGCCACTAATTTCACATTCAAGGGGACAATTACAACACGAAAGCAAAAAACAAACAAATTTCGAATCCGTGTTTGTTCCTCCATGATAGCCCTGGTAATTGCCTCTTCTCGCTCGCTTGTATTCGTATTGAGGTCATTTCGGCCGGCGCTGTCGTGTGCGTCTTTCTTTCCCAGTTCCAATAGTTTCTCTCTATTCCTCTCTCGCTTTTCTCTCGTTTCCCCCTGAATATTGTACGCTCTTTCACAGAAATGCCGTCCCTCCGGTTTACAATATCAACTACTATGTCTGTCATTTGGCTGACAGCACTGGTTTATGATGTCCAGCACCAACCCCGTCTTGGTCATAACTGGTACATCTACAAACTGGTCATGCTCACCAATCTCAACTTTGTTAGTTGATTTTCCGTCCAAAATGAGTCGATATTACATTTTTCCAGGTTTTGGACGCAATTTTCTCGGTTTTAGTGGTGCTTGGCTTCAAAAGTCGCAGGTTGCAGAGGATAGCAGATTTCATGCACTTCACGTCAATTTTTCCAGTCGCAATTGTAAGTGACATGATTTTTGAAAGTTCATCAGTGCGTGAGGCTTCTTGTGAGAAATGCATGTGCGATCAAACTAGAAATTCGAGATTAGAAGAACAGTAAGTCAGTTCATCCTTACAACTGATGGAATATTGGTTCTGAAAACGAGTTCGATGTTATACAACTTTATCAGAATTTGACCACTCTTTGGAAATGTCCATCAAAAAGTAACTTTTACACATTTTGATCTCAACTTTCAGGTAACATGTGGTTTGTTCTGGGGTCTGTATGCCATTGACCCGGAACTAGTAATGCCTGACTGGATTGCCAAGCTCATTCCTCCCTGGCTCAACCATATCACCCACACCTACCCCATCATTTTCATTCTTTTGGATAGTTTCTTTCATAAAAGGTGAGTTTCCACTTATTTCTCTCTCTCTCTCTCTCTCTCTCAATGAAAAATGTTGCAGAACAACTCCGAGCAATATGTCCTGTTGGCAGACATCCGCTACACTTGTCTTCATTTACTTCATGATGTGAGTTTTTCTGTCTGAAAACTCATCAAAACCAACAATAATCTCTGATTTAGCATTGGATATGTCCGATTTAACGATGGCTACTGGTTGTACCCACTTCTCGCACTATTCTCGCTCCAACATTTCGTTATCAGCTACGTGCTCGCATTTTTCGGGTTTTTCTTGTTGACTCGTTTGGCTTGTTTGCTGAACACCGTATTCCGTGAGTTATTAGAGTTTCAGATTCCAATTTTAACCCGCAAGAAAAGTTTTCTTACAGACCGAGAAAACTTGAAGCAAAAAAGTCAAGGAATGATTGGAAGTGAATCAAATCCACGTCGAAGACTAAAGAAGCGTAATTAGATTGATGAGATATTGTTAGTTTTAAGAATGAATCTTTTCATGTGAATTTTACGTAGATTTCCAGAACAGTATTGCATTTGCAAACACGGATGTGCATTTTGTAGTTTTATGAGAAATTCTGATAGGAGTTACTTGGCTCAGGCCTGACCTTTTGAGATCCTGACAACCAATTGAACAGCTTTAATCCCAAATGCACATGTATAGCACAATTTTCATCAAACCACAGAGCAAGATGAGAAATTATTGATGAAATATCTGGCTTCTTTATCTTTTCAACTTTTGATCTCATTCACACCGACAAATATTGCGACATAACATCTTTAAGTCCCATTTTGTATTTTACATCCCCGAAGACAGCGGTCAAGATCTACGTGTTTCCTAGAACAAACACAATTGACCGGTACGAGTTCTGACATGGTGATACAAGCAAAGAAAGCTGTCGGAACAGGGATAGGGACAGGCGTTGTGTAATCACACAACACCTTTGACTTTTATCCGACACTCAATAAATAGTGCCGGTACCAAGTGCGCGTTTGTCCTAATCTCTTGAGCAAAGAAAACAAGGGAAATGGTTGTGACCCATAGAGAAATACGCAGAAAGCATTGAAAGTACCTGGAAACAGACTTGAAGCAGTTTCTGGATGCACTAACAAAACGTTGGGAATGGAGTTGAAAAAGAGTTAATTTGTTAAGACAATGAACGATGAATCTCTCGTGGTTTTATGGTTTAAAGTTGATTTTGGGACGAGTTTTCACAATACCCGAACATTGAAATGGGGTTTTCTGCACATTTTCTGAATTACTTGAATTATCAAACGTCCCCTGTCCCATCTAAAGATGTCCTCTACACTTCAAAAAAAATCATAACCTGAAACTTTTGCCAAATTTAATCCAATTGGTCTTCATTTGTTTTCCTAGTATTCCAAATCCCCTGATTCCAGTTAATTCCAACCGAGAAGTATCAACCTTTCCAAAGTTTTTTTGTCTCTTCCCCTCCCTTTTCTTCCTTTTTCCGTTCCAAATCCAGTATGATAGAGAAAAATCACACATTCCATGAGGGATTAATGACAAATGAATGATAGCTCACGCGTCCTCCCACATACAGTAGTCTCTTTTCAATTGACTAAATACCAATAACATCTATTGTTCTTTTCTATACGGGATTATCATATCAGTTGTGTGACCAGAAAAAAATGAATCTGTCTGAATCATTGAACATCATGGAAAAAAGACTCGAATTCTGGGAACATACTAGGTGGAAAACAGAAAAGAGAGGCTAGGAGGAAGGGCTGAAGGGCACTCAAACAATACGGAGCGGAAGGTGTTAGAGGTGCTGTAATGAAGTGGGTGTTCTCAAGGGGATTACGCCACCTTCGGAATCCTTTCCGCTCGCCGACCATGCCGAGCAAATAGCGATTGGCTCTGACTGACTGTCAGTGCCTTTAGTGGTTGCGAAATGTACTTCATGTTTGCCACGCAACTACTTGTGGGCCGGACCGCCGAAATCAAAAAGTGCTGCCGTTTTTTCTTCATTTTCTAGTCTGAAGTGCCAGAAAATTCAAAAAGAATTGCATTCCTTGTGAAGATGATGCCGAGTAACAGATCTTCTAAATATTTTGAAGAAAACCATCTGATAGCCCGAAGTCGAGGTTACTGTAGTGCAAATAAGGGCAAAAATGGGATTTGTGGCAGAAAATAGCGGATGGATTGGTGAATATCTTGGGCAACTGTTGATAATACAATGAAATACATTTCCAAGCCAGTTTCTAGCAGAATTGGCCCAGGGTATTCGAAGGCCAATACCAACATTGGACCCAAACGTTGCAGAATTCCTAGTCCTGGATTGAAGTTTTTTGGATTCATGGATCAAAGGTCGAAAAAGCTGAAATTTTCTCATAAACCCGGCCTTTTCAAAAAAAAAACTGGTGAAAAATTGAGAAAAATGCCTGATGATCAATAGTTTTTATCCATTGTTAGGACTTCTTGTTATTACGCTCAGAAGCTCTGCTTTGCGACAGAAATCAAAAATACATCCCATGCCAATTCATTGATATTACTGAAATTTACAAATAAAATATGCAATCACATTCACAAAATATCAAATTATGCAATAAAGAGTATCATGACAGATTTTCAGATCATTCGAGCGGAGAAAAATTTGGGGAAAAGGAGAGCAATGCGCTATTTACAATTGGGAATTGCTACAATAGGTAGCGTTGTTCGGGGTGTAGTCGTTTCCGTACTGCTGCGGGTAGTAGAAGTTGGACGGGAAGTAGCTTGTTGCCGCGTACGAGTAGGCGTATGGAGCGTATGCGGTCCAGGCTGGAATAGTATGGTAAGTATCCTTCAAATATGATTATTTTTCTAACTCACCTGCCGCAGAAGTTTGGGGAAGAAGCGATTGAGTGTCATACTTGGCAGGTTCCGGTTTCGTGTCCTCCAATTCACTTTTCGGTTGTTGCAGTTGACTGAGAACGAGCGAGTTTGCCTGCAAAATGTGCTGGTGCGAGATGAACTCATTTCCCATGCGCATCCGGTTATCACTTCCTTGTCAAATACGTAATAACCGCAAGCAACTAGCCCAACTGACCTCATATTTGGCAGCATTGTGTGCATTGAATTCCGGAGTGCCCGGAAGGTGAATGCCCAACGTCTTCGTGTCCGGTTTGGTTTCTGGGATTGGTGAGCCAGGCGAGTCTCTGAACAAACATCACGTTTTTGATCAAACTTGTTCGAAAAAGTGATGAACTAACCGAGAAGAAGTGCGCGCAGAGTGTGGATCGTTCAACTTCTTGTTGTTTCTATCCTTGGCTCTTCTGTTCTTGAACCAAACCTGAATGAAATGATATAATGATGAAGACGTGTGTACCGTTGTCCTACCGTAATCACCTGCACGCGTCCTTCGGGGAGGTTTATGGCTTTTGCGAGGGCTTCTCGCCGGTGCACATCTGGATATTGTGTTTCACGGAACACCTTTTCCAGTTGGTCCAGTTGGCTACGGTTGAACGATGTCCGTTCACGCCTTGTCGACCGACGGCCATCGCTAAAATGAGCAATTTTTGTTGGAGTGGGTTGATCGAGAGGATAGAACCTTAAATGTACCTGGTTTTTGCTGTAAGTTTTAACTGTATGAAACCACTAATGTTCAAAACTCTCCTAAAACTTAGAATTCTATCAAAAATCAAATCAAATATTGTACGGCTAAAAGACTAGAGCAATTTTTGAGTGTCACAACCGTCGAGAGCCAAGCACCATTGACTACAGCTCTGTTTCTAGGTGTATTATAACTAAAAGTTGTAAAAAACAGATATACTGGGAGAAAAAAATCTCATTAGAAACTGTATAAACACAAAATCGACATGTATCGTCCAAAAAAAAGCAGAAAAATGTATGAATTTATGCTCAGGAAATGAAGGGAAAGAAGGGAAGTGAAAACGACTAGCGGATTGGTATCAAAATGAAAATCTGACTGCCAACTAGGAATTCCGTGCTGGTATTTAAGCCTGTATTAGCTGCTATCCTCCCAGATCACGTCTTAGCGTAATCTCAATCCACCTTAATCTTGATCTGCCCAGCTTCCTGTTGTTTTTCAGTCTAGGCGCCGATCCCTAAGAACCCAACGCACCTGTGAATTGGCGCCAACGGCGCCTGTGTAGAGTTGCTGGACGCTGGAATGTTGACCGAGTTTGGGATGACGCCCGAGGCGGCTGTGATAAAAGGCGAGTAGGAGTAGGAGAGAGGGATTGGATAGAAGCTGGCCATGGACGAAGTGCGCACCGGACGAGGGGCGGGCCACGCAAGGATTTCTGAAAAGAAGCCGGATGATTGGTGTGGAGATGGTGGCGGCGAGTAGAGGGACTGAGCAGCCCACAAAACAAAGTGGTTATGAAAGGAGAGCATTGAAAAGGTACCGAAGAAGCGGATCAGGAGGTGTCATCTCCATTTCAGCTGGCTCGAACGAACAAAAGAGGTAAGAAAAGAGGGTATTAGGAGGTGAGACGGGTCTTCTCGGGATTATGAGCAAGTAAAAGTGCCGCGCACTAATCTGCACTTTGCTTCACTTGTTTCATTCATTTACTCACATTTTGTCAAGTAAAACTGAAAGGTACTTATACAAATGTACCCTGTGACGTGGCAAACAAGCAAAGAAGCACTAAACTACCGTAATCCCGTGAAATGATGAAATAATTAGCAGTCTCTAAGGCTTCTTCTTCCTTCCAGAGGCACACACTTGCAATAATGCCAACGATGTGGTGTGATATGACCAGGGACGGATTAGAAGAAGTGACAACAATGGGGAAAAGGGAGGAGAAAAATATAGCAAAGTGATGAGCAGAGTAGGGACACTGTATTTGGAAAATTCGTTTGGAAATGTGAAAAAGTAGGCAAAAGATAAGGTAGACCGGATACAAACGAGTTTCAGACAACGAACAGTAAACAAGAACAATATGTCACATAACGCGGACAAGAACCACTGGTTGCACCATAGCGCAACCACAAAAAAGCACCATCTGTCTCACCTCCCCCGCAACGATTGATCCGATGGGCGGGGCGGACCTGTAGCGGCGAGGTGTGCAAGACTGTGAGAAAGTGGGTGACAACACGCACTAGAGACCCCCATACCAAAAGGAAGGCCGCGTTTGTGAGAACGTTCCAAACAAACATCCAAAGAGTCATGTTGTTTGCTGAAATCTAGCCGACAGGATCATCATGATACTGCACCGTTTTTTTTCTAATGAGTTGTTGACGTGTGAACGGAATTGGGATGTAGTAAGAACGCGCACTTTTTGCGCTATTGCTTGCTCATCTAATCGCTTTCATGGTTTATCCTAATCGTTGGCAGATAAGTAGGATCAAGAAAGTTTTCAGAACTAATCCATTTGGTTTGCCCATCAAAAGTCATAAGGAAGTAGGGGTTTTTGGACCAGATCATATACTTTATCTCATTCTTAAGACTAGAAAAATACTAGAAAAATTCCAGTCACACCTAGATTCCCACTAAAAAGGGACACCAATGTAGATGACAGCTCACTGCACACTCCTCGCTCGTGAGCGAAAACCACCTGCTCATCCTGATTGACAATCCATTCTTCCAGGCCCCTCTCATTGTCTAAAAACCGTGTCGGCGGCAAAACTTTTATGAGCAATAAAAAATGATACGTATATGTCACAAATGTCATATTGTTGGTGCGAACATGTTGCACAAAACCAAAAGAGCAGATGGTTTAACTAATCCTACTGTGGGCTACTCGTGCGGAATTCTTTTGCGGTAGGCAAGGAGAGAAAAGAGGTTTCAAGTGCCATTTACATGATGACCGGCTTTTCATCTATAGAGAACCTGTCAGTATGAGCAGAAAAGATTCTACAAAACTCTGTCGAAGACTAGAGTAGCACTATTAAGAAGGACACTTGGAAAAATCATAGTGAAAGGTAGACAAACCGTCGAAAATTTCAAAACTAGACCTTTCGAGATCATACATTTTGAAGCCGGACATTTCGTAATCAAACTTTTGACCCCACTGTTGCTCTATTATCTCTACTATTTGTGTCTTTCAGTGCCTAATTTCAAAATGTCGCCGTTTCGAAACGTCACGGTAGCGGTAAATTGCAGTTTTGAGAAGTTTTGTTTCAAAATGTCTGGTTTCAAAACGTCCAGGAGTCGAATACAACCACAGAAGCGTTGAGAAACGAGTTGCCCCCGTTATCACGGAGTGTTAGATCAAAATTGATGAGTATCGAGGAAAGAAACAAATATTGACGACAAAGAAGATTTCCAAGCATGGAAGGGCCGAAGACAAAGTGGACACAATCATAAAAACAGTGAAACTCGCAAAGAACTCTGAGAATAGTACTAAAAAATGCAAACATATGCCTATCGCTAAACAGGACAAGGCGGAAGAACGGAGCGTCGTTGCACTGGACCTTTGTGCGTGTTGCGAAATCAAAGGTTTTGGCGGTCTTGCCATGGCATCGTAAGAACTGTTTTCAATTTTCAAATACCTAAAACGCGTATTTCGACACAGATGGTTTTAAAGGGGACCTATAATGATAATTAGGGGTAACTCTCTCGTTTGTTTCTCGGCCGGTAAACCTTGTTCCAAGTGGTGTTTGAGAAAACGTCTGAATTTCACAGAGAATTCAGCTAAGTAACTCGTTTAGCGCCTTTAAAAGTCTACCTAAGAGTTGAACTACACCACAAGTATGATGAAAACGAGTCTTTGATCAAATTGCGCCAAATCACATCTCCTAATCCTCTAAATCTCTGCTCTTCCTCTTCATTTTTTGCTGTGTTTTTTCCACTCCACAAAAAAACGTGATGACCTCACCCTCACATGTACTTCTATGGTTTCTACTTAACTAGTACACAGTACAAAAAGAAGAAGAAGAAGAAGAAGAAGTCTTGCAATACATTTCGACGACATAATAAAGAAACCCTTTGGTGGATTAGGAAAAACTGATATTGTGTAGTTACACAGGAATGTCGTTAGTTCAAGAATGTGCTAATCGAGGATCGCAATGATGTAATATCAGTTCCTTCCCCGTTCCATTCCGTTTGAACAAACACCACGACAGAATGTTGCAGAGTGTGTAAGTTAACACATTATGCAACTAATTCCGGGTTATGATGACACGATAGTAAATTTGCACCTGTGCCTGCACCTCTACCTCAAAAATACGATTTGGGTGCTCCTCAGGCAATTAGAACTGATGAATGACCGGGATTACAACGAGAAATAGTGGAAACAAGAATGATGGAAGAGGAAGAGAAGGAAAGGGAAGGAAAACCGACGGGTGCTGGTTTTATGGTGATGAAATGAATTGTGGGCTTTGAATAAAAAAGGAAATCTGGCTGGGTTTGTTCCCCTCTCGATTCTGTGATTCTTTTTCAGTTTTAGGTTACTTCACACTTTGGAATCTCAAAAACTAGCAAATTTAGAACTTCTTGCCGGATTAAATAGCGTGTGATCAAGAGAAATATGAGGATACGCTCTCAATTTTGCAATTTCAACAGTTTTTGAAGCTATTTTCACAAAAATAAACTGGAAAGCTATAAAACTTTGTGAATCTCTGTTAGGTGCTTGACCGCGTTATGAGAAGTTGATCCAAATATTGCCATTCACATTAGAGTCTAGAAAATCAACACCAAACTTGGGACATTCATTGAGCACCATGTCAAAATCCTGTTTTCAAAATCTCAGCCTGTCCTGGCGAAACAGTTCTAATAAATGTTTTCTAGAAAAAAGAATGAAAAATACTTAGAAAATGAGTTTAGGGTTGTTGAAACCAGAAAAATAAGGTTGCAGTTCAATTTCGTTATTTTTCCAAATGTGGGGGAAGAGCGGGCCGGACGGGGTTCATGAAAATTCCAATTTCAGACCGGCACCCGCATTACTGATAAGATTCTTGTACCCTTTCAAAAAACGAAGATTAATCTGTTCCTGCGAAGATGGAAAACTTGATGGGACCAGCCACTACTAAAATCAAACTTAAAATAATAATAAAATTAATAATTCTACGATGAAATATTCCTCAAAGAGTCTACAAATTAACGGAAATTACTCAGAAAAGCCGAGTAAGGCAAGATCAGTGACCTTGTAAAAATTGAGGAACTGACTCATAAAAAAGTGATTTTAGTCGAATGATTAGATAAAGGTTGTATTCCCGTAAGAATAATTAGAAAAACAAGTAGGAGAACTCTTTCCCAATCCTATAATATACAGTTTTCACATTATTCATTTTTGGGCAAAACACAGAGAACAGAAGAATCGTAATCACTCTAAGACACTGTCCGTTTAATCCTATAATAGTAATAGCAGTTGTAATCCGAAAAAATGGGGGGGGGGGGGGTATTTTTTAATTCTTTTCATCATACCGCTTCACATGTAGACCTTACGATACGCAATCAACGGAAAAGGTGGATAGAAAATTGGTGGAGCTCAAAAATTGAGAAGTTGGAGAAGAATTGTGGGAAAAGTTCCATAAGCAGCTCAAAAATGGCATTCGAGTCGTGGAAATGGCACAACACAATTGAGAACAAGCTTAAAAGTGGATGATATCCGTGATTGTTGATTACTCACAAGTGTGTACTCTTACACGCAACAATTCCAGAGAGACCTCAATTAGACAGTGGAAGATCATGCAAAATTCAGTGAAATGTTCAAAATCAGTCGAAATGTGTCTTATGACGCATACTTTCAACAAACACATCTGGGAACCAGTTTGTACTATGTGCTTTTTGGTTCAAATCAGAATCTTTGTCGCGAAAAAATGGGACCGCAAAATCCGGAATGGCTAGTTTCAAGTGAATTGTTATCTGTTCAGATGCTTTGTCGGTTTTGGTTGTTCCCTAATCCCTATCCATGTTCACTGTGAAATTCCATGAAATAATTTGAAATCAAGTTTTTTACTTTCCTTTGACTGATAACACAGATGTTCACTTTCCAAAGACCACTTCCATTTTCCTATTTTCATTTCAACTGATAATGAATGACTACAGTATCCCAACCAATAGGCAATCATGATGTCTTAAAACCATTAAATTGAAACAGTTCAAAGTTTTTACACTATCAGCAAATCAGTGGGATCTTATTAAAATGATCCCCGTCATTTATGTTTTGTGTGTCAAAATATTCAAATCCCATCAAACATTGTGCAAATTGTTACCACACGACGCATCGTCCAGTACATAATCGTTTCGCGCTAATCCTAATAACGCACGCCTGGAGCACATCTGCCCCTGCCCTTACAAGCACGCGGCTCCTTTCCAGAGACCAGAGATACGAATCGGAAGAGGTCTTCACGCAATACTGTACGCTCCTCCAATTACTGCCTCACCTGTCGTCGCACCAGGCTGCGAACCCACGGTTACCTGCTTTTCAAATCGTTTAGAAGCAAAGGGCTGTTGCAAATGGGAACATGTGCGTGGAATAGGTACTGTCGAAAATACGAGGGGAGCACTAATTGCTCATGATCTGGCCTCGGTTCATTAGGAACACAATTAGGCGGATTAGAGAGCAGTCGATCGTGCTGGAAAATTGTGCTTCCGCAAGCAATTAGGATAACGGATAGGTGTGCATTTTATGAATTCAGTCAATCGCAGTTTGGAAATGCTCAGGACCAGCCGTTTGCGCAAGAGATCACTGATTCTTTGACAAAGTTTGATGCACGTGGCAATGGTTTCTTCTAATGCCCCCCCCCCCAGGTTTGAACACTCCGTCCCTCTTCTAACTACCGAAATCAAAAACGATACGGCAATTTGCTAGAACCTCTCATAAAGAGCCGCCAGATTTGATTCCGGTCGATTTCCCTTCTCGAACAATGCCATCCTCGTCTAACTCTCAGTGAGGGCCCTTTTTCTCACTCAATTGGACCCTCCACTTTTTGTCGGTAGACACCGACACCGGAACAGAGGTGTATCATGCCGCTAATCGCTCCTCGCGCAACCTCCCGCAGTCTTTTACACACTATTTGAGGCCGGCATGAAACTGTTGACACACGTGGCGGGATACCGAAAAATTGAGGCATGGCAACAACAAACAGTGGGAGGAATGGGAATGAATATGATTGTTGCGGTTCCTCTTTCTGTTGTTGAATGGAGTTGTTGAAAGACCACACTGAAAAGTAGACGGGGGGCACCTTTTCCCAAACTTAGCGTCCTGGAAGCAAATCTAGATAATATAAACAAGAACGCCCGGAACTACTTTATTTGGACACCACTCCCCCGCATTTAGAAGCAGACTAGGCACCTACTTTTCTCTTTGAAATTGACCAGTACGTAATTTGCAAACTCAGATACAAAATGCACTATTTTCAAACAATTTGACTCAGATATAATGTTAACAAACTTTAGTACAAAAAGCCGAAAAGGACTGGCACAAATCTGATTGGAACCTTTTTATTTCTCTGAACATTTGCGTACTTCTGCGAAAGAAAACCTATGTGTTTTCAAAATAAAGCTTATTACAAGAAAAATCAGAATAAGCTTCGGATACTCTGAGTAAAATTTTCAACCTTCATACCGAAATCCATGTAGAAAAGTTATTGTAGCTTTTGTTACAGTACTTTCATGCAACATTCAAAATCTCACTCACATTTTCATCGCACATTTCCTGCTGCTTCTGCCACTTCGAACTTTGTCCTTGTTGCACTTTCTGTGCAGATCTAGAGTGTAGCGATTGGCTGGTTGGCCCCAATGATTCGAATGTGACGTCCGTGATTTCTTCGTGCTCCGTCTGTAATTCCGTCACACGCTAATCTGATAATACCTCTCGCTCCCTTCATTATCAACTTGGGTATACGGTAGAGGTGGGTAAATAAATGATTTATTGTTGCAAACACTGTTAACATACACTCCAGATGTGAGAAGACGGACGAAAAGATGTACAAAAATTTGGGTATTGAGACGAGAATTCGAAAAAAATAGCGTAAAGGTCGGAGGAGGGAAAGGGCATCGACGGGATTACTGTAGTTTTCAAAAAAAGAAATGGGAAACGAGGACGAGGCAATGCAAAATATAGGCAACTGTACGGAATCGGATTGGCGAGAAAGAAAAAAAGAAAAAACTAGATTTCAGACATAAAACTGGGGGGAGCGGAATGAAAATGACAATACTACACAAAAAATGAATGAATGCAATATATTTTTTCTTCTTAGAGAATGGTATATACGTGTATGTATATTTAGTTCCTAGACGAGAAAAGGAGGGATGCGATCAAAGTGAACCGTTTAGAGAGTGCCATTTGGATAGAAAAAAGAAGCGCTTTGGTACGGAGCGGCTTGAGAGAATTGAGCGTATTGCGGGTTAGTGTACGTGGTGTAATCAAATCCCCATTGCGGGTACAGAGGAGTCGGGTAAGTGTTGTAGACGGTTGGGTTCGGAACGGCTGACACTGCAGAAGTGCTCGAAGTGGAGGTTGGAGTTGCGGCGTTACCAGTAGCGCTCAGCGCGGGAGATGTGGCCGTCTGGAATTAACGACTTCTAGTTATCTATTCATAAAATAATTTTTTGGGGCAGAACAACTAAATTCAGAAAGGAAATGTGAGTCTTCATAATGAAATTCATAAAAATACACGTATCTGGTTAAAAAAATCCACAAATATTAAGACCCTTAAAATAAACTTTTTGAAAGTACAAGTCATCTGAAATCCTTCTTAAACTCACATTCTGCTCAGCCCACTGATGCTCATTGCTAGAGGTGTTCGAACTGGTTCCACTGGTCGGGGTCTCGACGGGAGAAATGCTTTTCGGAGAACCCATTTCCATCTTGCCGCCGACCACCGTGTTGTCGCTGTAATTTTGTTAATACTTCTACAATGTAATTCCAGTTGTTGATGATTATATCGGGGGGCAGCAGGGATCATAATCCGATTTGATGGGTTGGGAGGCGGGGGGTCCTATAAAACTATAAACTTACCAGCTCTCCGGTTCGCTCTTTATTTGTGGCTGGTAGCCCGGCGAGACGCTTTCTTTCAAAACATCCGGAAGCGCAGCTGGAGTTCCTGCTCCAGTCCCCGGTACATTTTGACCTTTCAGCTTTGCCTTTTCTGACTTTGGCTTTTGTTTCTCCTGAAGACGGTACTTGGCTCTGCGGTTCTTGAACCACACCTAAAAGTTAACGATATTATATAACATTCATATTTTATGCAATCCTACCTGAATTCTGCTCTCCTGAAGATGAATTTGATCGGCGACACGTTCGCGAGCAAAAACATCCGGATATTGTGTTTCATTGAACAAATTCTCCAGAATTTCCAATTGCTGTCGACTGTACGTGGTCCGCTCTCGTCGATTTTTTCTCGGAATCATAGCTGAAAACTTTATTCGTTCATTTTTTTCTAGGCCTAGTTTGAGTCGAGTAGTCAGTTTCCACCTACATTTTTCATAATACAAATTCATATTTTTTCAAGGCTACTGTACAGAATATGGGCAACGAATAAACTGGTAAAGGTTGTAGAGGGGGGATACAGAACATAGTGAGAGAGAGAGAGAGAAAGAAGAGAGAAGAGTTTGTATGCAAATTTAAATGCGATTATAGCGCCCGAGCGTGTGTGGAGGACACCATTCTTTCTCACCTAGACACTTGACTTACTTGACACTGGAAACCGAATACGGTAAGAAATGGTGAAATGGATATAATAAGAAATGAATACTGGTCATGCCCTCCCCTCACCCCCGCGTCGCCATCGTTACCGTATAATCCTCATTTAATTGGTGTGCAGGAAATGAAGGCGATGTAATTTTGAGTTTACCTGCACTGTACGGCGCTCCGCTGAACATCGTCATCGGCTGCACCGGATAGTTGAACGGGGCGGTTGTGGCGGTCGACGGGTTCAGGTAGAATTGATAGCTAGTCATCCCTGAAAAGACAGCATTTGTGGTTTTGAGGTTTTCTAACTAATGTTTCGAAGCAGAAAGTGGAAAGAAAGAGCAAGTGACTATTACTATTATCAATTCATCACAAAGGACAGACTACAGTAAACCAGGTCCATTAGAAGGGGCGTAAAGAGCGGTACAAGCCAAAGAGAGGCAAAAAAGAGCACATTAAGAGCAGAACAACCCCAAGTAGCCTAGAATTATGGTATTAGACAAGGTTAATCGGCCCACACCGGAGAGGATTTCGCCCCTCTCGCCCTGCCCTCCCTTCTATGGCGGCACAAAATGGTAAGAAGATTTGAATTAGGATGAGCCGCGGCTACTTAGCTTAGTTTTACACACTCTCTCAACAAAAATGGAGGGAAGAAAAATGGAGAGACAATCGGAATGTTAGTGTTGGCTCTGGGGCACTAAGCGGTTTATTAGCGCCTCGTTAAAATAACATTGGGAGAAGCGAAGTGATTGATATGGTGGTAGATGCCCCGTTGAAGACAGGAGAGAGGTGTGTGCCGGGGCGGAGCAGTACACTCGGCAGATAGGGGAAGGGGGAGTACGGTGGCTTCAGTGTCAATTCACTTCGTTCCATTCTGCCGTGAAACTAATCAACGAAATGTATGGATTAGGGGTGATCCAGATTTAAGATTTGAGGGATGTAGGATTAAAAGGTCAGAGTTATGTTATGAACTAGTATAATTACTTTTCGCGGATTATATAGCTAGACAGAATAACGCCGAGTCAATTTCGCAAATGTAAAAGTAATAGATAAATGTAGAGGATTGCCCCTGAGCTGGCGGGACTGTCTTCTTCGCCTTCCCCCTCCCTTCCCTCCAGTCCACCCCCTGTACGTGTGGGGCAAAGTGGGCGGAGCCATTGTGGAGAATACTGTAGGTGAGAGACGTGCACGCGTTGTGTGATGACAAAGAACCCGGGTGCGAGAGACCGATTGTGACAGAGACGAAGGTGTGAAGTGAGAAGTTTGAACGAAAACACAGTAAGTGTGAGAGGGCCCTGATCCACAAATGTCACTCTGAATTAGACGTTAGTTATGAGAGGTAGGCGATGGTGATGAGACACTTTTTTGGGAAAACATTGTTGGGAAAATGTGAGACTTTTTATTGTAGAACTGATGTGCTCATTCTGCCAGGTAAAAAACCGGATTTTTTCCCCACTAACACATGGGTTTTTACTGGTGTTTTTCTTTCGTCAGGTAACAACGCTTCCAAAAAACCATTCTGGATTTTGCTGAGATTTACCGCAATTTTTAGAAGATTTTTAGAAGAAAGTACAGGCGGATTAGTGGTTTACGGTAGCTTTGCACAATCCTTCATGTGACTGAAACTACTGAAAACCTTTCAATTCTTATAGCAATTGAAAACTCTGTGATGAAATTCGTATTACGAGAGCATCTGATTTGACTGAAAATGATCTTATAGCTTTCAAAGTCACGTAGGACAAAAGTTCTCAAAAGTTTTGCGCCTTCTCCCTTCTTTCCAAAACCACGGGGGGTCATAAGTTTATTGGCGCATAGTCATAGTCAGAAATACTGTCCTAGTTCCCTTGTAAAACGATCAGAATTTGAAACTAACTCACGGATGGGGGACATGATCATACCCCCTTTCCTCAGCACGGGTGGCTCGTAAAACATCCTAATTATCCGGGTGTTACACAACTCGGAACTGTAAACTTTGCGGTTATACGGCTATATAAGTTAATTGTCGCTCCCAAGAAACTGTGAGCGACCGAAATGACCTCCAAGGAAAAGGGGAGGAAGGGAGTGGAGACAGGAGATGAAACCGTTTGAATTTCTTGTAATTTCCTCCTGAAGCTACTTTGTTCCCCAAGTTTTTTGTAGAATCACGAACACTACCAACCTACTGACGCCTTTGCTCATTGCTCCCGCGACTAATCCAGGAAATGAGTCCGGAACCCCAAATAAAGTGCAGTTATGTAACAAAAAAGAAGGGGAAAAAGAGCAGAATAAACGGAAATGAACTGAACACCAGGCACATTGTTTCCAGCGATTATCACAGAATCTTATCACCATGTTTACGGACCTGTCACCAGTTATGCAAAGGATGATATAAGTTACGATGCAGGAAGTGTTCTTTGCGTAATAGTTGGTGTTTACACTTTGTTATGGTCATAATTCGTAAGTGACCTGCTCGAATGGGTTCGTCGGTCTACCTTATCATCGTTTCCTCGAGTGGGGGGTAAGTTGGAAGGGTTTCGCGCACCTCTCAAGTTGACCTCAATGCTAATTCTTTCCTAATTAAGAGTATTAACTCGAGTATCACTTTTGGGGAATCAAAGAAAGGTTGAGCGGCGTTCCGATTAGGAGGAAGGGTATAAGGAGGGTGTTCACGGTCATTTTTCAACACTTTTACAGGAGAAACATGATTAGAATCTGCAAATTGCTGTTTTTTGTGAGTGAGATAGAAATTACCACGTTAAAGTTCTTTCATGACTGACCAAATTTTTCATCAATCTTCTGATCGAATTGAAAGAAAAAAATCATCATAACCTTCCGATCAAAATAGAGAATTCACATTTGGTTTCACACTTTCCCTCTCATCCGCCGATTGTTGCGATGATGTCAGTTTGACAAAGTGAAAGCTTGTGAGAAAATCGACAATTGGACGCGCTGACTAAAATTTTGAACGAAAAATCAGAAGATTTCATAAAACATGATGCTATTCTGGTTGAGACTACATTTTTGAGGAAAATAAGTCAGTCTGTGACTGTTTCATGGAAATTTCAGTTAAATTAATCAGTATTCTCAAGGCGTTTCACAGGACTTTGTAAATATGCGCAAATTTTCCTAGAGACCTTCTCAGCTCGTTCCAGCCACGGTTTTCACTCAAATCTTCCATTTCCACCCCTCCACATGCTTGTTTATGTCCCCAATCTCCAATCAATTTACGAATTGCGTAGATTTTTTATTCATCGGAAATGCTCTCCCCTCCCTCATCTCACGTTATCTTCTGGACATGTGCTCTGCTCGTGGAGAGCACGAGGTGGATCCACGCCTCAGCCAAGTGTGACTACGATTTTGCCGGGCATGACCTGGTCACAAATGGGACAATGAATAGAGTTGTGGAGATTCGGTTGGGTGTCAAAATGACGTGCGTGTGGGAAGGAGGGTTCAGTTGAAAAGTGTTATTGATTCATGTTCTGATTTCAAAGATGAAATAGAGCAAAAAAGAGACGGTGGGTTCTATAGTTGGGATTTTTGGTCCTGCCAGCACAAAAATAATGGATACAATTTCGATATTAGCCTCAGGTGGGGCCATTCGGGCCGTAGAATTTTCCATCACGGCCCAGCCGGGCTTGCTCCGTAATAATGGTGATCTCTTACAGAAGTTTCGATTAAAAGTCTACTTCTCATCTGATTTTACATTTTTAAACCAATTTCTGTTCGATTCAAGATGAATCAAGAGATTTTTGAGTGGGGAACATATGCCGTTCAAAGCGGAAATTGCGTTATTCTAATGGAAAGTTTAAATAATTCCAAACCGGAAGTGTGAGAAGTACATTTCTAGAAATTTGCTGTAGTTTTGAGCACACCCAACTTTGTAATAGTAAACACGACACAACGCCCAAACACCCAATAGTTTCTGTGACCCACACATGATTTCTCCCGTATTCTACAAATAGTTAGTGTGATTTCAAACGCTTGTTTTCAAATGGATTCTAAAATATTGGATTCCTGAATACACTCTCTCCACTACAAAAAAGCGTCATTGTTTGTGAAGTATTGCGAAATTTCGCACTTATGCCTCCACTTTTCCAGATATCAGAAGATGACAATAAAAGTACAGTCACGCACGGAATTTGTGTTCTGCTCTCGCGCTAAAAATTCTCAGGTATTTGAATGGAACCAAACACAGTGCGTGCGCGTCAAAAACTGAGAACATCCGAAAAACTTCAATTAACTGGAAAATCTGGTCCCTTTCCGGGTATCTGTAAAGCAGTCAAACTGAAAAAAGTCAAGAAATCTCCGGGTACATGTTGTTATGTTATGAGGTTCACATTTCAGCGTCTATGACATAATTTAAATAAAAATTGTTGTTTGCCACTTCTTTCGACGATTCAAAAATACCTGTGGCATTTCGATATCCATTTCACTATGCCCGTTTTTTCATTGTTCCCATTTCCGTTACCATCCCCCTCGGTTAAAGTCATAAATTACTGATAGCTGTGCTAATACCGGCTTAGTTCACTTTTTGTTTGTCTAAGAACGAAGGAGAGGTGATGGCAATGCACTGATAATTATTCTGAATGGAAAATGTGTGTGCAGGAAGAAAAGGAGGAGCACACATGCCAACACAAACGGAAATGAGAAGAGAAAGAGCAGGGAGGGAGGTGAAGGGCTGATGCATTATGGAAAAACGGAGAGAAGGGGTTATTACAGGATTGAGGGATGTTTATTCATTAGTGTTGCCTTGTAAAAGGCAGATGGGTGGCTGATGACTCCAGGTAATTGGAAAATGGATACATTTGGGCAAGACACCTGATTTCTGGCTATTGGCTATGGAAAAAAACGTTGTATCCAAGAAAACAAAGAGTTGTAGGGAGCGTGTACAATTTAGAACGGAATGTTCTGCTTAGACTAGGTGGATTGGGTTTACTCTTGGAAAATCGTGAAATAAAGCCAAAATGCTATTGCACACAAGATAGTATAAAAATCTTCTTTTGTAGGATGACGGGGTAAATTTTGAGCACAATCAGACAGCCTAAAGTTCTGTGAGTTTGTTACGGTAGTCCTTACCACATGCATAACAGGAAAAATTCAAGCAGACTTTTAAATAAAGATGTTTGGTTAATTCCCGAACTTTACTCTCAAATGTTACATCATAGCTACCCCTACCACACCCAACCGCCCCTCTCCACCGAAAATATTTGCTCCATGCTACATTTCTTACATTCCTACATACAGATTACCCGAAATTCTGGAAAAAACCCGTCACGCTGTAGTTCCAGAACACCTCCTCCTACACAAAGGTGCCAATCATCTTCCTTCCTGATATGATAAACAGTCGATTTTTACGGCTCTATGGACGACCGAAAATTGATAAAGAATATAATCCGCTCTAAATCGATCGTAAAACGTTTAAGGGCGATGAGGAGGAGCAAAAACGTTCTTTCTGTTTGGAAATGAAAGCTTACCGTTGGTATTCGGCGCATTATTGTCGGACATTGCAACAACAGAACCAGCTATCATCCAAAGTGAGTCGGACATGCAAAAGTTAGCGAAGGGGGTGTAGGGTTTTGTGCACAAAAAAGGAGAGTTTAGCGCTGCGCCTCTCTTTTGCTCTGTTCTTTTCCGTCTCTTGCTCTCCCGTGGTCTTACGGCTCCGTCGAGTCGACAACGGTTATCATTGTCAAGTCAATGACGATAAATCATTATCACACCCACTGTCCGTCTGTACTCATGACACAATACATACATTTTTCGTTTGAAATATTATAGGTTTTGGGCTCGGTTCTAGTGAAACGAAAAGAAGGGAAAAGGAATACTGAATACTGAAGGAAAATGACTGGAAACTGTGACGAAGAAAGAGATTTGAAGATCAAAAAAAGATTTAAAGTTTAAGCTGCCTATCTCTGACGATATTTGAGAATTGTGCCGGAAGAAGCGAAAAAGACGCCGGCTACTTTAAAACGTTTTCAAAAAGATCTTTTCAAATTATATTAATGGAAGCCGCGGATCGTACAGCTGAAAAGTTTTCGGGTGCGTTTGAGTAAACATTACTGAATTGTTTTTGTGAAAGGGTGAGTCAGCAGAGGCGTTCTGAACAACAGAAGTTTGAGGTGGATTTCAAAATTTATCAGTTTCTCAGAAATTTCTGCAAAACAGGAAAATTTCTAGAAATGAAAACAAGTTGACACATTAGGATTATTGTAGGAAAAATGAACGTATTGTTCAGATTACTTGTCATGAACAAGCACTTACATACTTTGTACACACTAGAACATTCCAAAATCCGAACTGATTTATCTCTCCTTTAGCTTGTCTCTTGTCTTCATCAGAAATGCACTTTTCACTGACTGATCAGAAATTAATCATATTTTTCAGTGTATAATGCAAAAATTGTCTTCTGATTGGCTACAAAATGAAAGTGGCTCATGATATTACCGTAAAAACCTATTTTCTTCAAGAAACAGTGCCTGAAAGTTAGACAACGTCTACAAAAGGTTTTGCAAATTTCGAAGGAGCTGTATGGTATTTCAATATAACATTGATGCAGATCGCTTAGGAAACTATGATCCACTCTATAAGATGTCTGCTTGGTTCCTCCCAAAACAGAAAAAAACAATAAAATACACATGCAAACGACACAAAAGCACACGGACTTGAAGAAAATGAAAGAGTAACTCACATGGATGACAAACATTCTGATTGTCGGCGGTGGCGAGAACGAAGCAATAGAAAGGGATGTGACTGAATGACAGATAATATAAAGGTGTAAGCTGTGGGCCGTCGTCGTGATGATGATGATGGTGATGAGCAGAGGCGACCGGAAGGGTGAACGGAAGCGCATTAACGGTGCCCGCAGGCGTGCTCGGCGGTTCGCTCAAAGATTCTCGCGCACTTGGTAATTAATCAGCTGATAAATAATATGTGTTAGAGACGTTGCTCTTATTGGATTTCCTATGAATTTCCTTGACGAAATGAAATTTCAATCAAATGACTCGCTCGAGAAAATCTCGTGTCTTGTGATGCTTTCGTCAGCAATTCTGACTGGTTACAAGCACTTGTACAAACTCGAATACATATTCGAAAAGAGCAAAAACACACAAAATTTTGAGAGAAATGGTCAGAAATGTATAAAAATAGACGAGAAAGATCACACTTTCTGAGCATGTGAAAGCAACTGACACGCCTTCCGCTGGACTACAATATCTCGTTGAATGGGTTCATTACGTTAGGTGTTAGAATTCTGAAGAGCTTGTTAATGGATTGAATAAAGTCTCCAGGAAACGAGAAAAGGAGGGGAGGGGGGAAGCATGTGAAACCTGCAAATTACTGAAAAATATAACATTTCCGAGGATCAGTATGTATATATTGGAAAACACGTTTCTGAACAAATCAGCTCAAGTTCTGGTCAGGTGGAACTATTTTTTGAACAGGTTTTTGGAAATATAATTCGTGTTGTTATTGAATATCTATATCCGCGCGAAACTGATGAGTTTTGAGCCGATAACTGAAATTTTCCTATAAATCCTTTCTCCTTCTGAAAACTGTTGAACGTCTGCGCATCTTGTAAGAAATGTACATTGTGTCTTTATGACATTTACCTTAAATCATATTGGAAAACAGCCACATGCGTTGAAGTTCGGGATAGAAAAAAAAACGATTAATCGGAGACATCCATGGAATTTCATGTTTCAATATTGGAAAAGTTTCGGTTTCGGGGCAAATTTCATGCTATTTCTTTGTTTTTATTTTAAAGCCACATAATTTCATCCATCAAATCCATAATTTGTTTCAAAGTGACTAACTATGACCGCCCACGCAGTTCTTTTGCAAAGCATCACTTCCTGCCAAGTTCAGTCAACAATTTCCTATGACACATACATAGGCAGTGTACACAAAAGTCGAGTGATAATGAGTTGAAATGAACCAAAACTCTAGTAACTTTTGCATCTATTATTTGCGTTGGGGATCCTAGATCTTGCTGAAATTTTTGCTATTGAAAGTATACCAAACAAATAGAGAATTCTACGAAAAAATTATCGATTTTTTCCATTAGCAAGTCATTTTCCCACTGAAATCTAGATGCATCAAGCAAAAACACCGTATGAGAATGACGAGAACTTTTTTTCAGATTCGGTTACTCATGTGGCTTGTAGTTCAAATCTGAGAGCAGCCATTTTAAAGATAGACATTTGCAAACCAGATATTCAAAAACTCAGTGTCTTTAGCGTGTTTCGACTAGTACTAACTTATCTCATTTAAAACAAACACGACTTGGAGCACCATTGCCAAAGATCGCAAGGAATGGTGTGCAGTGATCCGCGCCCACACCACGTGAGCGAAGAAATATACATATTACAGACGAATATTCCGGTATCATAACTTTGGCATTCACATTTTCATCTGCTCAGACGACTGTTTGATTAGAAAATGAATGAATGTCAATAACAAATCACAAAAATTCTGGCTCAGACTTTTTTCAGACAATTTTTCTTTGTCAATTTGGTCGAACCAAATTTGTCGCCGCTCACAAAAGATTCACCCGGTGCTTCCATAAAACATGAAAATGTGATAAGAGTTGGACGTGCAAACAATGAATCGGTAGACGTTTTCAAAAAGAAATTGGGAATTTGATTAACCGGAAATTGGATGATGCCAACTTGGCGGGAAACTGTCATTTTATTATTAACAAATTTAAAGTCAAACATCGGAAAACGGCTTCAGCAAATTCATTCTACTTTAAACTCCGCCGCGGTTGTCTGTTTATTATAAACTTCCAGAAACTTCCGTTATCACCCAAAGTATCAAAGAATCAGTCATGTTTGCGACTGACCCGACCCACTCACCAATTTTTCCCTGTTTCTTCCTGTAACCACACCCAAATTCTCCCCATCTTTTCTCACGTCCTTTTTCTCCAGCAATCTGCTGACTTCATTGCACCGACACGACGCTCCGCCGCAATTTCACTTCATTTCTCCTTTCTCCTCGGTTATGCAATCGTTTTTATCAGGAGTGATGCCATTAACAGAGTTTTATGGGCTGAAGGCAAAGAGAGAGCAAGAAAGGAATTAAAACGACTGAAAATTGATAAGAGTAAAATAAAACCGACTCCACCCATCACAGCATCGCTGCGGCCAAAAGTTTATGAGTGGTTTTAGTTATACAATTCTCTCTCTCTCTCTCCCTTTCATTATTTCTTTTTACATTGTTACTTTCTCAGCATAATCAAAATTTTTGTTTTCAGGATGCTGACCACCGCCCTCATTCTTTCCTTGCTAGCGTTGTCAGGTACACATTTTGAATGTTTTTTTGATTTTTCCGTAATTCGGAGAGCATAGTTGGCTGAAACGTTCAAAATGCATTGAAAATTAGGTATTTTGTATGTCTTCAGCTAATTTTCGGTACATTTCGATTTTACACCCAATCAAAGTGAAATCGATCAGGTATGCATTTGTTAGTTAAATTCTGTGAATCTGCCAAACCGGACAAACATAGTGCTACAAAATCATTTGCACAACCAATTCCTCAAAAAATGATAATATTACAACGATACCAAACGAAAAGTTATGTCGAAAAACACATTTTTATGCGCCTAATTTCAATCGAATACTTTTTAATCCGTTCGAATTAGACTTGCACCTTTTCGGACATTGTGCAAGTCTGGTTCAAATAGGTTACTCATGAATAAAAGTCTAGGTTTTTAGACACAAATAGTTTATTAGAGGTGATGTACAGGCAAATCAACGCACGGATTTATAAGAACCGTTCAGGAATTGACGCGGCATGCACATGCTACACAACATCCACAGCTTTTGGAAAGAGAATCGGAGTGAGCAACGGATATGACACTTCAAACTTTGCTGCCTGTTATCCAGATGGTGGTTGTGGGTTCATAGCAAACAGCAGCGACCCGGTGGTCGGATGGACGGTCGGTGCATGATCAGAAAGTTTACTGGACGTGATGTTTTTTTTTCAGAGTTTCACCGCAACTTTCAGCTCAAGTGCAGATTCGACAGGAAAGTTTACTATTTATGATGGATCAGACGACAATGCAAACAACGCTGTTATAACAACGTATTATTATTTGTAGAGAGTTCACTTTCAATTACATGTTGCTTTTACAGTTTCTCCGTATCGGAATCAGGACAAACGAAAGCACTCACTAGCTCCACATCTGCCATTTATGTGAAGTACACCCAAACGGACTCTACTAAACCAAGTAAAAAGTTGTTGTATTTTTAAACTATACTTTGCTTTAAGACCAATACTACGGAAGTCTTGTCGCCAACTCCGGTCTAGCAGCACCGACAACCACCACAACCACTACCCCGGCTCCTTCGACCACACCTTATGTGAACTCGTACTTTGCCAGAAATCCTCAACTAATTTCTCATGATCTATTAATCTTGATCAATCAGAGAACCGACCAAGGAAATACTGGTCTGCAAGCTGTAAGATTGTATTCTACAATGTCTCAATGTTTGAAATGTTTCAGCTGAACTCTTTGGCTACTCAATTTGTGAACTTGCTTAGTGTTACTAACAGTATCACTACCACTTTTCAAACTCGCCTCGGACTCGCCACACTCACCCCATATGCACCAAACTATGCTGCTCAGGGAGAGGTTAGCAATAATATACAAACATACGAGTGAAAGAAACGCACATTTGATTATTCGTCGACATTTCCGTAGACAGTTCACATATTTGTATGAAAACTCGCTTGAGATCGATAATTCAATAACAAATGCTTTATACTTGCAGATCTGGAACATGAACGCCACTGATGTGACCGGCGCCCTTCCACAGGCCGGAGTCACGAGCTCCGTTGATATTGTGACGTTTGTGGCCCACTTCAAATTCACGACTGATAACATGTTTTAGCGCTCTGAAAGCAGTTCTCTCCGCATTTTTCAACGTTTCCGACTCAGTGGCTCCAACGAGAAAGAACGTTCAACGATCGATTCTTCTTTTCACTGGTTGGTGGTGAGTTCTTTTGAGTATTACTGTTACTTATGTCAAATTTAAGGTCTGACGGAGATCTGAATGACGATTTGAGAAAGTTGTTTGCCGATTATGGAGTCAATCTTGCCATTATCGGCTACAACACGACTAACGACAATTTAATTAACAACAACTGGTACAACTACGTGTCACTGACCAACACCTCGGTTACCGACGTTGCCAGCTTTGTGAACAGATTTTATTTGAACTCGAATTCAAACAATAATCTGATCAACAACTGTATGTTTGTCATAAGATTGTTGTGTAATCACAGATTGTCTTAGGGTGTAAAAAAGGTTTGGATCCAAACAGTACTTATCCAGTTATTATGGAACCAAGCGATTATATTGGACCACAAGTTGGAGCCACATGGACTTCCACGGATGGACAGAAGGGCAGATATTGTAACTTCCAGGACACAACTTACACCTACAACAGGGAAAACGTTAGTTTCTAATAGAAAGTGACCCAGAAAGGTGACATGTTCAGGCAGCAAAGAATGTCAGTGTGACCGTTTTTTACGAGTTGGAAATTGAAAACGATTATCTGAAATTTTTTGCGGATGGAGTGGAAATTGAAAGGTATTCCAGCATAATTGCAAACACACTCTCAGCTCAAACATTATGGCTTTCAGCTTCACCGGTAATGACGTCAATAATGCTAACTTTGTTGTGAACGCGTCCGTCATCACAGCTCGGCTTACCACCGACAGTTCTGGAGTTCAACGGGGATTCTCAGCCAAATTTGCAGAAATTTGAAACAACTGAATCAATTTTTAAAAAGTTGGATTACTAAAGAAGTTTTCACTTTGTATGTCTATACATATGCGTGAAGTGACAATTCTGTTTCAAACATGTTTGTAATTATTGTCTGCAATAATCAAAGTCGGCAGGGCAGTAATGCTCATTATCGCTTCTACCACACAAAAAGGCTATATTGGTGCAAAAAAGTATTAGTTGTGAAGTTTTTGTGGGGAGGGGAGATTCAAAGAACAATTCATGTGAGAAAATATTGGCCTCAATCCCTTTCTTCATTTTCCTCCATCGCGGCGAAAACTTGCTGCCACACGATGCATTCCATCGCGCTGACCAATCTCGTCCCTCGACGCGTTCGTGGTGTAATGGTCAGCATGGATGCCTTCCAAGCATTCGACGGGGGTTCGATTCCCCCCGAACGCATACACTTTTTTCGTTTTCCTCACTTTGACATACATATTTTTTAGCTCCGCCAATGCTCTCCATGAAAGAGCTCGATCGAAGTTTCGTCTTCTGGTCCGGTATCGACAAGAGTATCGAACAGATGCGGAGTTGCCAAGAATGCGGCGAAGAATTCGATGAGAAACGATCAGTATTCGTCGCCACCTCCATCTGTTGCGTAGAGTAGACACGCGTGCAAAACTATTTCGCACCAAAGCCGTTTACAAAGGCGGCATGTGCACCGAACAAGCAGAAAATTACAAAGAATCGGAAAATGAGTAAAATATTGCTAAAATAGTAGTTCTATTTATTGTTTTATCAACTGCTGGCAGCTTGCCAAGCACCATTTTTGTCGAACTCGTTGTGACACGCGTGGTAGAGCGCAAGTGCATACATAGCTTCTGAAAATCTGAACTTCTCAACGTTGGTCGATACCTTCAAGCGCACACTCAAAATTGTGATTTTAACCTTAAAAGAAACACCGTTTACAAAGTCAAGGTGTATGAATTTCGCTGGAGACAGAAGCACTTTTAAACTTTAGCACAATTCATAATGCATTAGAGCAAAAGAGGCTGGAGTTTTAGGTACATTGAAAATAGTAACAGCATGCTCTTCTCATACAGTATTTACGGGTATTCTAAAAAAAAGCAAAACGGGACGATACCATTGAAAATGATCGGGCAAATCTAGAAAGGTTATTGTCATCAGTGGTATGGTTTGGAAAGAAAAGATTTGGGGAAAGATGTGAAAGTAACTTATTCGGTCCTTACGTCTCCGCGCAGACTGTCAACGTTGGCCAGCTAGATCTCTTCAACCTTTTTATAGGCTTCATTCATTCTATAAACTCACAGAGCTCGTTCCCGATCAGCTCGTTCACTGACTTCTTTCTGTTTGCTGATATCTCCATGAAGATTGCGTCGTGGCTCTCAAACAGCTTCCACTAGGCCTTGAGCGTCAAGCATCCGTCCAGCTTTTTAGCGAGCTCCTTGCGAATCGGCGATGTTTTGGAAGACATCTGGAGGAGCGCTGTCGGATGTAACAAGCTGGATTTAGGTAGCCGATTCCGCTTGTTTCATCTCGTGAAACATTGCTTTCATGAGAACATTCTCGCGCTCGCGAGACTTTTGAGGCCGACGATGAGCATTTAGATCTGGAAGAGTTCTTTATTTTGGCAAATTCAACGGGTTTCAAAATTAATTTTTGACTATCATTTTATCTTATCACAAAAATGTTGCTAATTCCTCTTTCACAGAAGTAAATTGAAGTAATTAAAATTTGAAGTCATAGCTCACTTTTCAAAAAGTTCGGTATTGAGTGGAATAAGAGTAGGTGAGATAGATAAAATCACAAATAGTGGTGGATTCCGGGTGGATTCCGGGTATCAGGTCCATTACCCAAGTGACTCCAGGTACAACTGAAAACTATCATTTTTAGGATTAATTTGCAAGCATTTTGAAATGACGAACTCATGAGTGAGAGAAAAATCGCGACTCCAGAAGACGGTCCTTTTCTGACAATAGCTTCGCAGGGCGACGGCGGTGATTCGAAGAGTGATGAGTGGTTCGTTATTCTTGTGTTGTATTTCCAAGCATGACTTAGATCTATTTGCTTTGACCGTGATGGTCAGCTTGGCGATTGCGTGGAAGGTACTGATGATGAAGTTGAAGACCGCGTTGGCTAGCCACATGAGTCTGCGACTGCACTTGACGATGGAGGTGATGACATGAATGATGGTGCTGATGAGGAGGATTCCACTGGTGGCAGCTATCAATTGGATTATCCATGAGATGGTGTTTGTGATGTTTGCTACATCGGTGTTCATCCATGAAGAGTTGGTAGAAGCTTCCGTTGCGTGGAAACACATCGCCAATGTCAGAATAGTCATCGTTGTAGTAGTTGATCCTCTTCTCCGTGAGGCATTGGTGCTGACCTTTCGTTGAGACGTGGATTGCGGCTTATCTGGTTGACTTGAAGTTCCCGATTCGTGGTGTTCTGTAGTTGGAGTGTCTTGCTTGTCGGGCACGCTGAGTTTCAATTGATAGATCTTCTTGTATGGTCGCTCGATGGTCTCTTTTGTCGCGGGGCAAAACTGTTTGGCTGATCGGGATCCACATCGACTCGAGCCATCGGCCAGTTGAACTTGTGCTTATCACTCTCGAACAATACTATTTCTCCGACTTTCAGTGGAGCGCGACTGGCCAGTCTGTCTGGCTTATGATGCACTTGATTCCGTTCTTGAAGTAGTTGCACGTACTCCTCTCTCCAGCGATGATTAGAATAGTCCGTTAGCGAACTAGTCTTCATCCAATTATCGATGAGGATGCCGTGAGAATTGTTGAACGGACTTGGATCTAGAGCTTCGTCGACTGTGAGGAGTCCTTGTGATCTGCGACTTGGAAAAACGAAGTCCACTGGACGTAATGGGCCTATGTCTTCGTTGCTGACGCTTGTGAGTGGTCGGTCGTTGATGATTGACTCAGCTTCTTTGAGGAGCGTGCGTAAGTCTTCCTCTTGCATCAATGTTCGAGTAGCTCCCGAACGAATCAAAACATTATTGATGAGTGCGACGATTCTCTCGTACATCCCTCCGCTTTATGGTGACAGTGCAGGAATGAAGCGGAAACAGGTAGATCTTGAGAAATTGACAGCAGATGCAGTTGTTTTTGGGCTTCTTTGGTGACTGCGGAGAGCATGGTGAACTGAGCTCCGTTATCCGTTCGAATCTCCTTGGGCACTCCGTATTGACTGCAGAATCGGCGAAGAAGTGTAAGCAACGTGTCGGTGTCCAGTGAGACTGCCAATTCCACACAGGTGTATCTCGTTGTGAGGCACGTGATGAGAAGTATCCAATACTTTCGTTCGTCGGTGTTGTTCAGGGCTCGAATGGGTCTAGCATAATCCATGCCACAGTAAGTCAATGGTTGATTCCAATCAGTTCTGATGGAGGGTAGCATTGGGAAGTTCGGTTGGAAGGTTGGTCGAGCGCGTAGTCGTCGGCATGTTCGACAATCGCGGATGGTTTTTGCGACAAAAAAGTTTCCTTTGGGTATCCATACCTCACAGCGTACTTTGGCTAAGGTAGCTAGAGGGCTACAGTGTCTGAATCGGCGGTGTACAGATTCGACGAACAGCTTGGCTATGTGGTGTGCCGGAAGGAAGGGTACTCTTCGATCCGGTACTCGTCCTTCGTAAGTAAATTGAAGTAATTAAAATTTGAAATCATAGCTCACTTTTCAAAAAATTCGGTATTGAGTGGAATAAGAGTAGGTGAGATAGATAAAATAAAAAATAGTGGTGTATTCCGGGTGGATTCCAGGTATCAGGTCCATTACCCAAGTGACTCCAGGTACAACTGAAAACTATCATTTTTAGGATTAATTTGCAAGCATTTTGAAAGCCAAAAACGAAGACCTATAAAAAGAACCATAGAAAGAACCTATAAAGAACCGTCTCTCGCGCCAAAAAACTAATTGATTTGTGGATGTTTGTCTAAAGGAACAAGAAAGAGAGAGTGTGCGACAAGGAGAACCGCCAAGGCTGTCTCGGAACTTCTTGCCGAGTCAGCTAGGATATGTCAAAAAGACAGTAGGTTGGTCTACAGAAGAGCCTCAAACTTGGGTAGTTAAACCTTTATTAAAGAGAGTTAACAAGAGAATAGAAAAGAGAAAAGAGGTGAACAAGTAAGGGGAAAAGGGGGAAGGGAAAGGGAGAGGAAACTGATGGAACAGGGGCGTCCGAGCCCTTTTATAGTTGGTAATGTGGGGGCGGGGAGAGGCTCGTAAACATAAAACCATAAAAACCATAAAAACCATAAAACCGGGTGATAAACTGTTAACGGGGTCATGAAAGTGTAGAAATTACCATATATCTCGAAACCGTCGGAGTGACGGTTTTGACAGGATACAAATCTCTCGAACACTGGTTACCACAGGCTCTCTGGATCAGAGTCGAGCGGAATAGAAAAGTTGAAAAGACGGAAAGCTGAACGAGGAAGGCGGACTGAGAAGCATTTGGTGGAATGAAACAATTTAGGAGGGAAGCAAAGAGCGGAACGTAAAAAACACAAAAAAAAGGACAAGCGCTCGGACCCCTTCATGTGATATCATCCGTCTTCAAATATTTTTTGCTTCATACACGTCATTGTTTTTTCTTTATCTCCCATTCTCTTCAAATAGGGGAATCCTTTTTCGAAGAAGGAGTGCAGTAGAAAGTGAGAGAGTATACAGAAAAAGGGCAATGTGGCGCTGAGCTGGCGAGTTTTGATGGACGAAGAGGAACAGTGGGCGACTGATGAGTGTTTGAAAGAAACGGATAGAAAAAAGTAGCTGGCAAGCAGATACATGGAAAGAACGGGCGTAGTAATAAGCTACGCTGCCGTCGTGTATACAGTGTACAGTGTTCCATTCAGGGCGCAACGTGCACCCTCCCAAACGTTCTGTCCGTTCATTGATTGTTTCGGACCTTTCCTGTTTCCGTTTCAAGCGTTCTTCTAGTTTCGTTGATTTAGTGGCTTTTTTCAGGTTGTCGTAGTTAAATGACCTGAGCAGACAAGCCACCGAAAAGACAGACTGTAAGCAAACCGATCGTATTTTTTGTCCCAAATAATTCAATTTTCAGAAAAGGAAAGGGGAACAAGGCACCTGATCCATGGCAAGATGGAGTAATGCGCTTTTTGAGAAGCTGATCAACTTTAAAATGTGTTATACATTGCATAACATTTGTGCACACTACTTTCAGTTTTGCAAAAATACGTCCTTGTGACTGTCAATCACATTCTCTAATTTTGGCAGAAAAACCGATAAGACCCATATGTTTATGGTTTCTAATCTTTTCAAGAACACAATATTGCAATTTATTTCTGTCGCTCTGATAAAATTCACATTTTTGAATTGTTGAAAGTGTAACATTCTACATATAAGTGAAATGTTTGTGCTAGTACCACTGGCAGTTTTTCTTCTGATCCCATGTATGACAAGTGAGTTTTTCTGTGAAATTGATTGTTCAGATTGATAGAATGTGAGACGACTAAAAGTTTACAAAATTCTAGTTGCACAATCTCAATGTGTTTGCTATGAAGAGAGCAAAGTGACTACATTGTCCGCCGTCCTTTGTAACGCCCATAATAACACGGACTTTTCTGCATGTTATTCCGCATCCTGCTCTTTCGAAGCATACCCAGGAGACGAGAGTTTCATTTGGACGGTACATTACAAATTTGGGAAACTTTTCATAATTTTACTTCAGGGCTTGAATGTTCGCTGGAGTTATTCTGGAAATTCTGGTGGACTTTTGCAATTTTTCGATTCTTCTTCAGATTCTACAATTCCATTCATTGAGTGAGTAAGATAGAGTACATAGTAATACCAAAGTATGTTGAGTTGTTCAGAGTATCTGAAGGACAGGATGTAGTTGATGGAGACGCGAAAAACCTTATCAAAAGTACGTCTGCTACAATTTTAGTCAAGTATACGCAGACGGGAGCAGTGCCAAGTAGGTTTTCAGATATTAGCATTCTGTGAAATGGCGTATCTAATTCTCACGTTTTTCAGACAAGTATCTTGGTGTGATTCATGCGGTTCCTGCCAGCGGAATAAGCAAGCAATGATAAAAACATTTCCGTTACGTTTTGAACGAATCACTGCAATAAACCCATGAGCCTTTGTGAATATCTTGATGATAATGAGTAAATGGATAGATAGTCCGCTGGGAAATCAACGTTATTGCTTCATTTCTCCCAGTGATAAGAATTTCAATGCGCTTTTAAAAGTACACTTCTCTAGTTAATGACATGCTTGCCAAACCGACTATTGCGGAGGGCTCGACAAAACCCACCAATTTGAAATACTTGTTTGTTCACATAAAAATCAGTTTGAACCAAGCCGTCGCGTTTGAGATTTCAGAAAACGCGTGTCGCAGGCAATGAGCGGTTTTTGGCCTGGACTTTTGAACTACTTCTAATATTCTTATTTCATTCGGACCCAAGTTTTGAGAAGATTTTTTTTTTGAAAATTCAAAGTTTACAACCGCTTGGATTATCTTGGGGTTGAAATGATTTGGGATCGAAAAATTTGAGCTTTTTGCAACCAGGCCTATTAAGCCCTAGATCGTTATATCTCCAGAGTAAATAATCCGAAACTTCAATTCAAAATACTTCAATCCAAGTCGGAAAAAGCTGCAAAGTCCTGGCCGGCTATTTACCCAGCCCTGATTCTGGGCAGACTTCAAATTCAGCAACCCGGCCTGGCCCGCAAGTTAATCGCACTATTAGAGACTTTGGCTCGCACGTTTTGCATTTTATCGCTACAAAATTACGAGTCCGGAATCTTGCAAGTCTGGTTCTGAGTAAAATTAGTACCAATTCTACTAGGCCGGAGTCCCCAGTATTTTACGAGACTTCTTAACCGGGAAATCTTTCGATATAATTGATACATTTGCGCTTTCTGATCATTAGTGCGGAATTTTATAAGATTGTGTTTCTCTTTACGCGATTTTGATAATTTTTCATCGGTCCCGAAGTAGGAAGTATCCGAGCAATTCTACCAGTTTCAAATGTATTTGAATGAGTTCTCTCCCGTGTTTCTCTTCCTCTTTCCCTTTTCTCTCTTTCCCTATCCCATAATCAAATCACATTTATCACCTCCACTTCACAATCATCAAACGGAAAAAGGAGAGGCGCCCTTCCCCTCTTGTGGCCCACAGTTCATATTCATTCTGTCCGTTTGTCCTTTGTGTTCTTCAGCAAATGCTAACATTGTCAATCCCTTTTGTGTTTTTCTCTTCCCTACAATGCTCTTTTGATATGCTGATTGTATTGAATTGTCACGCAAATGAACGACTGGGAAAACAAAATGGCGAGGAAATAGAAGGAAACTTCTTTCCTTTCCCTTCCATCTTGCTCCTGTCGTGTGACTCATGGAGGAACAAAGCTTCGTGAATTTTTCCATTTTCCTTTTGTTTTAATAGCATTTTTTTTAAATGAAATAACGAAGAAAACTTCCCATAGCACCTTTTTTCTCGCTGCCCTTCAATGCGGATAATTTAGGGGGAAGTTGATATTTCAGCAAAGCTCAAAAGATTTTTCGAACGTATACTTGAACTTTTGAGGCGAATAATTTTGCCGAATATTATCCGCCATAATTGTTAACGAATTTCAAAACTGTCTGCTTGTCCACGTGACAAACCTCATAGCTCGCCCCTCCTCCCCCCTTATGTTTCTGTCTGGCCCCACTTCTCCTTCAAACGCCTTATTGCCGAGTGTCCTTCATCACGAACACTTGTTTCATTTTCAAATATTTTTTAGTAAAAAAGAAGGTCTTGTTTCTCTTTAAAGGACCAGGGAACCCTCAAATTTTTTGATTTTTTTTTGAAATTTTTTGTGTCTGTTTGAATTGTCTCTTATTGCCTCATACACTGATGAAATGCTGACTCTCAGAAATGCCAATGAACGAAACGGCGTGCAGTTGAAGTTGTGGCCGTGGTCTAGGAAACTCCGGTGTGAAACCTCATCCCTGTGGGCAGTTTGATGCTCTTGCACTATGTATGGATGTTGATTTGTGTGAATGTTTTGCAACGTATGAAGATTGTGCCAAACGTAAAAAAAAATCCGGAAAAGATCACAAGGCCTAGAACTTTTCTGGGCCACGGCCACAACTTTGTCTAAGCGCTGTTCCATTCACAGGTATTTCTGAAAGTTGGGGCTTGGTCAGTGAATGTGGCAATAAGAAGCAATTCAGTCAGACACATAAACTCGGAGGGTTCCCTGGTCCTTCAAGTTAAAAGTTCACAACTTCCTACCGTGGAGACTTTGCCGGCCCGTGTTGCTCAATAAAGAGGACATGACTCACCACGGAGAGTTTTGAAATGACACACTAAAACAAGGCCTTGACTTTGGTTCAATGAAATTATTTGTACAACGTCATTAATTGCGAAGCGTTCCTTGAATTTTCTTGATTTTCAGTGTTATGGATTCAGCTGCAATTCAGCCTGTCGGTCCAAACCCAACCGAGGACATTAGTCACGAGGAAAAGAAAAAACTGCTCCAACAGCAGCTCGTCCTTCTTCTGCACGCCTATAAATGCGCCAACAAATCCACTGTAAGTGCATTATCGAATAATTTTCTGTCTTCTATTCGGTCTGACAGATACCTCTCTTGTTTCTGGAGGTTATGTAAAAATGAGTGCATAGTCGGTGCAGAATGTGTTTCAATGAAGCAACAATTTCGAATTTTCGCTTTGTTTCAGAACAACGAGAACGCGGAGGACCAACAGCGTCGTCAGGAGTGCACATTGCAACACTGTGCCACGATGAAAGTCCTCCTCAACCACATGAAAACCTGCGGCGACGTTGCCTGTGCCGGTGAGTATTTTCAGAGTTTGATGAGGGATTCCGCTATTTCCAAAGGTGCCTATGTTTTTACAATGATCGACGCAGAAGTTCAGCGAGATCAGGAAGTTTTCTAGGGTATCGTTTTTCTACTGGAAAACCTTTCGGTGTGCGCGCGAAAATTCTTTGTGTGCATAATATGTATCTCCTGAGCAAATTATCCGATCGGTCTGAAACTTGGACTCGAAATACTTCAATGGAACTATGTATAAAAAACCTGTTAAGTTTGCTTCTGATCGAAATATTGCTAGCGGTCCGAAAATCCAGCTCTGGAAGAATCTTTAGAGGCCCGAGCTGACCAAACCATTGTTCTGAAAATAGAAAAGAGTAAAATGAAACTTCTGAACGTTTTCAGTGCCACACTGCAGCTCTTCTCGCAAGATCATCGCTCACTGGAAACTCTGCTCGTCCAACGCTTATTGCCCGATTTGCTCTCCGATTCGCGACGCTCAAAACGCCCAGCAGCCTGCCGGTACGATATCGTTGTTTTTAATTTTATTTCTGTATCGAGCACATTTTTAGACGCGCAAAACGCCGAAAGCCATGCCCACGGACCGCCCCAGTAGCAACATGAAGAGTTACCAAGCAACATAGACATAATAATCTTCACGAAACTGTTTTTTTTTTCATTTTGATAATTGGCTATTTATAACCGACCATAATAAATCCTGCCAGTCAAGTTCCAGAGAATCGGTTCTGTGTTGTCTTATACTTTGGTATTGAACAAAGAATTCATGTTTTTCGTATTTGTGAATCTGGAATATGTAGGTTAGCACCGTCGTTGTGAACCGCTTGAACCGCTTCCTTCTGTTTTCAAAGCGGAATTTGGTAGCTAGTGTCGTGAGAACAGCGCCCATTTGGTAGCTGCTGTCGCGAGAGCAGCGCCCATTTGGTAGTTGCTGTCGTGAGAGCAGCGCTCATTTGGTAGCTGCTGTCGTGAGAGCAGCGCCCATTTTGTAGCTGCTGTCGTGAGAGCAGCGCTCATTTGGTAGTTGCTGTCGTGAGAGCAGCGCCCATCTGGTAGCTGCTGTCGTGAGAGCAGCGCTCATTTGGTAGTTGCTGTCGTGAGAGCAGCGCCCATTTGGTAGCTGCTATCGTGAGAGCAGCGCCCATTTGGTAGTTTCTGTCGTGAGAGCAGCGCCCATGCGCCCATTTGGTAGTTGCTGTCGTGAGAGCAGCGCCCATTTGGTAGCTGCTGTCGTTGGATCTTCGCCTGTTTACTGTGCTTTTATGGTTGGAAATGAATTTTTTTCAGCTTGTACCTGAAACCGTTGTTCTTAGTGATTCAGCATGTCTCCGTCCTCATATAATCTTCATTGAAGCGTGTATGTTTAGAGTTCACAAAATGACACTCATTCAGCAGTCCCGCTCGCTCCAACATGTGTTCATTAGTTGTTTTTCCTATTCCCATGAGTGCTTATTAAGGATCCCAAGTATTCACATTCATGGAAATTAAAACAAAGCCAGTATAGCCCGTTTTTCATCAAAATATTTTCAATGGGAATTGGTGCTGTCTGTTTCAGTCACACGCTCATTCATCCATTCTTCATTTTTCCCCAACGTTTTCCGGAAATGTCTTCTCTTACCGTTTACAAAATTTCCCAAACCATTTCAACGATCGGCTTCACAGCTACAGTAATCCTCAATATCATTCTCACCTATATTACGCTGGTTCACGTCAGGAAGATTGATGTTACCTACAGGATCCTGTTGGTGACTTTCTCCGCATTTTGCGCCATTTTCTCTTCAATTGAAATGCTGGTCCATCCGTTTTATCACTCGCACAACTCGGGACTTATCACTTTCAACATGGTCCAATGGAATGATCTGCCCCAGGAAATGCTCACGTTTGTCATGGCATCGTACTCTGGAGTCTACGTGACTATCGTTTCCTTCTTCTCCGTGCTTTTCACCTACCGCTACTGGATCATGATAAAGTAGGCTGCTGTACTTTTGAGCTAGAGACATATAATAAGATAATGTTATAGTAGCCGTAGGTATCTGGAGTTTTTCAAAAGCTGCAAAGTCATCTTTCTCATCTTCTACGCTCTGACATTTGGACTGCTCTGCACGGGAATCGTCATCTACTGTGGGGACATAGATAAAGTTGCGATGGAGTATTTCAGAAAACCCTTGATGGATAATTATGGGCTAGAAGTGGAAAACGTGTCGGGATACGCTATAGTAGCGTATGAAGTAAGAAACAGTCCATTTTTAGAAGAAAACGTATTTTAGGGACCTTTCGCAGAGGCAAAGTTCTGGAAAACATTGCGATTCAAGAGTTTTATGCTTACGCACAGCATTGTCATGATGCTGGTGATCCAGTTTATAGTCATGGCCTTCTACGGATCCCGAATGCACTTCAGAATGAACGAAATGCTCAATATGACCTCCACGCCCAACCGCAGACTTCAGAAGCAATTCTTCAGATGTCTAGTTCTTCAGGTAAGATTTTTCATGCTTTTTCTTCAGCCAAAATTGGAATTTCCCGCCAAGTTCTTGTTTTAACGGAACTAAAATCTAGCTCTAGAAAATATGTTGATTGTATGATGAATGAAAACAATTTTATTAAATATCACAGCATTCGGGAATATAATACAGCCATGTTTACTGGGAATTGTTTGGTGTAGGAGAAGTCTCGAAAAACGTGAAAAAATAACTCAAACTATCCGTCTCTAATGAGCTATGAAACTCACGGGAAACAACGGTGATTCACAAAATTCTTGCTATTGTTGAATTTAGAAATTTTGAGGATGAGATGGTGATAGATGTGAGAGTGATAATGATTTTTGGATCCGTAGAAGCTTCTGAAAAGATAGTTAAACATTTTGACATTACATATTTTGGAACTTTTCTGCGGTCAAGTTTTCATTTACTATTGAAAAATGTAGTTTTCAGGTGGTCCCTCCGACGATTACCTTTTACATCCCTGCCTTAATAATCCTCACTGTCCCGTTCTTCAACTTTCAATTTGATCTCCCAACCGGACTGATTGTCTGCTCCTTCAGCATCTACCCAGCCATCGACAGCTGCATTGTCATGTGCATTGTTTCCGAGTACCGGAAAGCTATCAAAAGTACGAAGATTGCTATGGAAATCGAAAACTTCTTCCATTTTTAGAGATGCGTGGATTGCCGCTCCGGGTGCTCTCTTCTATTCGAAGAGGAAGTCCTCTGCCAGCCGAATCGTGACAGTATTTCTCCGTTTTCCTAGTTTTTGTCAGTTTTGCGGCATTTTTACGTTTCTGGAAGTGTCCGTGTTGGGGAACTTAAAGACAAAAAAAACATTGTTTTTTTCTCTTTACAAAGCTTTTTACAGCAAAAAATCGAACGTTTTTATGGGTTCTGATAAGACGTGATGATGTCATCGACAAACACCAGAAACGCGTTGTTGATTCATCGGTACGCAAACGAAAAAGGACGGGGCTGATGATAAATTGCGCAATAGTTGAAAACCCACTAAAGAACGGATTCATTTTAAACTGACGCTTCTTTTCAACTGTTTCGTGTTTTTAGTGCAACGTGTCTACTCGAATACTTCCGTTAGCATGTCAGATTCCGAAGATCTCACTCAAAGAGGAGGATTGGCGCCAGATGTAAGTTGTTTCAGCGTCTCATATAACTCCCTTCACTTCAGTGCTTCAACTTTGTTCCTCGAACTTACAAGAAGAAGAAGCGAGACGAAAAAAACTCAAAAGTTGTCTTTGAGCCAAGTCTTTCACAAAAACCCAACAATACCCGAGGAAACAAGAAAGTCAACGCTAATTATGAATATCGCTTGTATCACAGATGTCTAGATGATGGTGTGGATATTTTCTACAATCCTGATGAAGATGGAAAGGAAAAAAAAAAGAAGAAGTGACTATAAATCTTGGTGATTTGGTTCTGAAGGAAAAAGTGTCAAAGGAAAAGTCGAAAACCAAAACAAATTGTTCTCAATTTGAGATTGCGCAGTCTAGTTCAACCAGAAATCACGGAAAAGAGATTGGAACAACTTTTGAAGTAAATGAACAGACATCGACAGAATGTTTGACGATTAAAAGAAGTAAGTCTAAATTACTATTATCTGGAATAGAAACTTTAATTTTTGTATTTCAGAAGAGCTATCTGGTTCACAGAAAACTTGCTAATTCGAACAGTTTTCATTCTGTACATACATGAACAAATAAATCAGTAAATTACCAAATTTTGAAACAATGGAATGGTGAAATTCGAGATAATTGAAGTTGTCTGTCGTCTCTAACTGGTTTCACCTGAAAATTCACTGTTTTGGAGAAAACGATAATGAACGAGAGTTTGGTACCTGCCAATCAAACGGAAGACCCATAAGTGAGTGTGGTATGCGTTGTCTTATCACCAGAAAACGGAGCCAGTCGCGGATGATCTGCAGAGAAGAAAGAGTGGGCAAAATCAAAAATTTATCTAGAAACTTTCAAAAATTGACAACAGAAGTTATTGGGTTTTGGAAAAAGTGAAAGCTTTTTAGGCAAAAATGTCTGAAAATGTGTGATGAAAAGGAAAAAACACACATTCCTCTAACTTTCGCTCCTTACCTCAACATGATGAACTCCAAATATCAATAGCCGGAAATCACATCCTCTCACATCCAAAATATCATCGTTGACATGTTCCACATAACCAATGTTTACCTATAAAGAGGACCGGACCTTTCTTTTTCCTAAAAAATAATCGACTAACCAACTGCTTTTTAATTGTAAAATGCGGAAGCTTGCCTTCTACCTCTAGGTCTGCGTATCGTACTCGTGCCACTCCTTTCACTGATATTTTCGGTAATCCTGACTTTCGGTAGAAGAATCCCTACAAATTGCAGTATTTCGGTGTCGAAACTGATAAAATTGAGCGCTGACTTTGATCTTCCACTGCGCATAAATACCCTTTTCTTCGTCTTTGAAAGCGGGCAGCGGTCGAGGTCGTTTCAGAAGTTGGAGAGCCATCGGACTCTGAAATTTAGGTTTTTTAACGGTCATTTCTGCGGCTTCGGCAAATTTAGGATGAACATCCGTGAAACCGCAAAAAGAGGCAATCTGGTTCAAGTGTGATTTTAATGCGTTTTGAAAAAGGTCCTATGAAGAAATACGGTTAAAATTACAAAAGTTTGGGTCCTACTCAGGATATGTACTTTTGATCTAAATGATCCCATCAGACCTTAACTTAGCTCATAATCGGTCTAGGTACAGAGTATCACTTTTGAAAGTTTATGATAACCTGACCGAAAGAAACACCTCAAATCTATTGAAATGTTTAGAAAAATCCGGATCAAAAGTCCTCCATTTGAACTACATATCAAAACTTCTGAAGAAAAACGGAATTATCAATTCTTCGGAATGAGAACTGAAGAAAGAGCTTGCACAAAGCCAATACTAATACAAAAATCTGTCTGATTCTGTTTGCATAGTGATCACTGAACGATCATGTTGCTCATTAGCAACAGAGCAAACATATAAATGAAAATCAGAATAATTGAAAAGAAACATTTCTGAACAAAGCGAAATTCAGAAAACGGGTAGCCGCGGGTGCTGACGGCAATATGTTAGTTGGACAGCAAATAAGATGAATACACATTGGCGGAGGGCGCACGGCACAGAGCTTCCCGATGAGACTGTGCATGTATATTTTCTCGTGTAGTCGCGAAACAAAGCACTTGAGCGCCTCCGCGAAGAAAACGAAATCTTCCGTTTTCTCACACGGCGGAACCTACCGACCGGCCTCTGGTGGGAAAGCGACGGTTTGCGGACGGAGCTATTATGAAACTATGCGACGAGGAGCTGCACAAACATGGGCAACAAAAACGCGACAATATGAGAGATGAACAAATCAGCTGGTCTAAAGTGTTTGGTTCCGAAAGCTGGAAAAAAAGTTGTTCACAAAAGATGTTCAAGAGATCAACTGCAAGGACATTCGAGTACAAAGTTTTAACTTGGAAAACATGTGATTTCATTTCAGGGTCAGACTAGGGGTTTGGGAATGGGAAGAAGTATCATTTTTCTAAAAAACATTCTGAAAGAAAAAGATCATGTAAATGTGTACAGTGTGCATGCGGGAATCTGAAGTTAGTGTGGAGTGGGGACAAAAAATGGAAAAATACAGAAAAAAGATCTTCCAGGTTCATTTACCGGGAATAAAACAGGAAAGAAAGTCGATTACTTGACAAAACAGATATTAACATCGAATGCAGATCGTAGTACAAAGAAAAATGTGGTATTGAATAGGGTGTACCATTGAGTGGCGAGAACAGTATTCGACGGGGAAATCCGTGATTAATCGGAATGTGTGTTGAACTGGGTACCGATTGGGCATATATCTGGAACAACAAAATTGTTACAGAAATCGCCATAGTTGCAACGGGCCGGGTCGAAGTTTGATCAAAGTGTCTGGAAAGCGCACATATTTTGCATACTAGGAAAATAGCGATTGTTGCGCTTCCTGGATAAGAAATGTTCCAGAAAGGGCTAATTTTGAATGAAAATCTTCAATCTTAACAGAAAAATAGACGTTAAAGTCGAGCCGGTCGGTTTTATTATCGGCCCGACCGGCTCGTTGGCCCCGATTTTAGCACTAGAAAACATCGTAGCTTTCCTGAAGTTACGCTAGACTTTGTTGAGCAGAGACTTAAAAGGTTGCTTTCAAAAATCTGTCCAACCAGGAAAACCTTCTTTTACTATCTTTCCTCCTCCCTCTTGTAGAAACCAAAAGAATATGGTGTGATTCCCAATTAATATTACCTAATGCTTCGGTCGCTTATGGCTCGAATTGAGCAAACTGGCTTCCGCCGCGCGTTTGGCATCGTGAGTGTTCCGACGGGTTCCATAGTGGTGTGCAGTCGACGTTGATGGCTGCTCAGAATCGTAGAATTCTCCTTCGTCCTCGAGAGTTCTCGGTGGAGGCGATTCCGGATCATCTGACTCTTCGTCATCATTCGTTTCGGCGAGAGCACTCGGCGGAATGGCTGAAAACATGAAATTAAGTTTCCTGGACACAGTGGACAGTGTCTGATTTGAAGTAAGCTTTACTCCTCTAGACTAGCTTATCACTTTCTCATAGATTTTGACAGTTTGTTCCTCTTATCTCCCTTTCACAAATAATAGAAACGTAACTGTCCTTCCGAAGATGACCAAGTTTACAGGAATGACTTACGTCTCATCTGAACACTCGGCGCGAAAGTGAGCTGCTGGAGATTTTGGAGCACATGGTTCGTCAGCCTCTCCAACTCCCGCGGAGTGTTCATGTTGTTTTCGATCGACGAATCAAGGTGAAGTTTGTAGTCGGGACCGTAAAATTCCATGTACTCATTGTCGGGAATCTCGTTCGGAAGTTCCACGCCGCAAGCAAGAGCCGTCTCGTAGGCCCAACAGCGTGCCACGTTTCTTGGTGTGTATCCGCCACCTCCGAGCAGCAGGAGAGGCAAGTTGTACTTGCGGAAGAAATTAACGCATTCTCCGTGACCCTTGAGTGTCAAATTGAATGGTCCCAAGCGATCGCCGGTGAGAGAATCAGCTCCGCATTGCAAGACGACAACACCTGGACGGTAGCTCTCCATTACCTTAGTCATGATTGGATTGAAGATGCTATGGTACGATTTGTCCGTGATTCCATCCTTGAGAGGCACATTCAGCGAGTACAGCTTTCCTTGACCATATCCGATATCTTTCAGTGCTCCACTTCCTGGGAAGTATTCGTCGCCATATTTGTGGAAAGATACAGTCATCACACGGTCGGTTTGGTAAAACGCCTCTTCGACGCCGTCTCCGTGATGCACGTCAATGTCAACGTAAAGGACTCGTTGGTGATGCTTGAGAAGTTCCAGAATTCCAATTACAATATCATTGATGAAACAGAAACCAGAAGCTTCGATTTTTTTGGCGTGGTGCAATCCTCCCATCCAGTTGATGGCAATGCCAAATTCTCTATTGTTCAATTTCTCAACAGCTTTGAGAGTTCCTGCTGTGCTGATCGAGCAAAAATCGAAAAGTCCATCGAAAATTGGACAATCATCACCAATGTTGACTGAAATTTACGTTATTAAGGATCTGTGACATGTTTCTGGGCCCTCTCAGTTACTAAAATATCAAATACTCGACGTGGAACTGATCTTTCTAGAACCATTCACAGACATTCCGAAGAATCTGTCTATTTACACTTGTTTCCACCCACGCGCACCTAGTTGAAGAAACTTCGTTGGGCACTTAGCATCGGTAAGACGATTCTATGTATAAACAATGCGAGGGACGGTCCGTTTTTCCCTTGGTTTTGCATATCTCTATAAGAATAGCTGGCTCTCTCAACAAGTTGAATCTTCAATGAACACTCACATTCAATCTGTTGCCTGCTGTAAGATTTGGAAGTCTTCGAACAAGCCATCTCCAGAAAATCGACGTATTCAGAACTGTGAAACGTTTTCATAACCTCGGGTCCCACTTTTTTTGGTCTCTGAAAAGCAGAGAGTTAGTAAATTTCTCACATTCAAAGAAAACACTCACACAAATAAGGAGCCTATCGAAGAGGTTATAGTTGATGATCAAGTTGTGGGCCAGTCGAATCCGGTGCGGCTTCATGACGTGTCCCTGTCCATAGTAGAAGTTGCCAACGTCTTGGTCATACATGTAGGCGACTCTCGGTTTGTAGTGATGTGCGACAGGTCCCGTATACATTCCCGCCATAGCTGACGATGAGGCGACTCTGAAAATAAGTGTTTTGACTTGTTTTCAAGTGAAAATAGAAAAGTAAAAACCGTCAAAAATGATTGGCAATCAACTATGATGAGTAACGGGCGAAAATGAGGTGGAACGCTAAAGAAAAATTTGAAAACAACTGTTCTCAATGGAGCGAACTTCTATCCCGGCCTCATTTGTCTTGTTTCTGGCTGCCGGCCTCGCTGTGAAAAAGTTAGTGAGAACTGGCCTGCGGGGCCGACGTGGGGTTTGTTGCGTGAGGACATATCGATCACGGGGAGGAGGAGGAGGAGGAGGAGAGAGTGTGCGCAGACGAGAGATTCAGAGAACACTCGGCTGGCAAAAGACGTTGGTCACAGCGGGGCTACGTGTTAGTCTGCGCGCACGTAGCGTTGTAATACGTCGCTTACTGGCACATTTCCAGTGCTCTGTGCTTACTGGCCATCAACCGAGAAAAGAACGGGCCTAGGTAATGATAGTCATACTGAAGATACGTAATACCTGTAGGATACATTATCAGAACTCCGCGATATTTCCCACCAAAGTCATTTCTTACCAGTAGCATACCAAGGACGTTTCATATCAAAGATCTTTCATGCCATGACACTTCATTCCAAGGCCTTTCATACCAACGATGATTCATACCCGCGACAATTCATATCAGCCACGTCCGTTCAAAATATTTAAAAAAAATTGTTCGGAAGTTGGTATGTCAACTACAAAAGTGGACGTGCATGTCTAGGCAATGTTTAAAATTTTTGTGACTCATGCTCCTTTCGAACGCCATCCTCTCCTTGACGGCAAGGGACCCAGACTTAAAAAAAACGGATCAACAGAGAATCAACGGCATTCGATTTCAAGCCTCTTATTGAGCACTTCACTTTTAATGTTGGGACTGAAGAAATTATGTAGATTAGTTCAACTGAGAAAACGATTTGCCGAGTTAGAATAAAGTTTATTGAAATTGGGATGTAACAGAATGACGTTTAATACAAAGCACACTTATGATGAAGTATTCACTAAACATTTGAATAAGAAAAGAAATGGAAAATAATTTTAAGAAGTTGTTAATGAAGCGGTGGAAGCGCCAGTGGATTTGTGTTGAGCGGAAGCGATGATTGGTTACCAGCAGTGTTAACGAGATCGGTGATTTTTATGAACCTGAAATATTATACTTTCGTTACACACAGGACGTGCATTGACGAGAAGTGGAATGGTGGAAAATCTCCACCCCTCTTAATATTGACGACGCTAGTTTGAATCTTCGTGTTTTCGTCATTCATTTGATATACATCAAGTCATATTTGTGTCATTTTTATTTTTCGGTGTCATCTGAATCTTCAATTGACTTCTGAATCTTTTTGAAATGTATTTAAATAAACGGAGCACATTTTTCCGATCATTTTTGCTCTTGGATGCTTCTCGATAGCTCCATCCGTTCTCGAGATATCACCGACACCACAGCGTTCAACGGCGCCCGTCGCCATTATATATACGCCCCATGGGTGATTGAGCCGCGTGGCCAGGGTGGTGTAGGCGGTTAAGCTTGTGCTTAGCAATCCAAAGACCGCAGGTTCGAGCCCCGCCGAGTGCAAAGAAATTTGCCTCGGTTAGACACTGATCGTGACGACTTTCAGACCTGACTGAAGGACGTGGCGACTCCGGAAGTGTGTAAACGGTTCAAAAAAAAATACTGTGCGGACGACAGGAAGAAGGATTGATGTCGGAAGGTTGAAGAAAGAATTCTAGAGTGAGTTTGAGAGAAAGAAAGCTCGATCCTGTGGTCTTCACACCGTAATACCTGAGTCACCCCTTTTTATGAGTATTGCAATTATGAATGATGTAATGATGGGATCTCCACAAACAATCAGGTTGAAAGAGTATAACACGTAGATTCCAACTAACGTGTCAATGTTGAACTTTTTCGTCCTCTGCTCCTCAAAAAAGAAATACTATGAAACTCAACGATGAAAAAGTGTCAAAGATCCTAAATGTTACAGTCATATCTTTTTTCTCCCGATTTTGAAATGAAATTTCTCTTCGAAAGCATTATGTTAGGGGTTTTTACTCACTTTCTAATACTCCAGTGTCTCCAGATTGCCAACATCCTCGTCCATCTCCTCTTCGATAAAATCGGTCTCAGTGTCGTCAGAGCCGTAATCGGCGTTGTTGTCATTTCCATCCGAATCAATATCCGTGTCGGAGGCTTCCTCGTTCTCTTCGTCGTCTCCTTCGTTGTCCCATGCAACAACAATTTCTTCGTGATCCACCAGCTCCCATGGCTCGTAGACAGGCGGAACGTATACCAGCTCTTCGTTCCCAACGATTTCCTCGTGGTCCACCACTATCTCACACGGATTGTAGAGTTTCTCGTCTTTGATCTTTTTTTCTCCAGATTTATTGTCCATTTTTCACTCAGATTGAGATGCCTTTTGACAATGCGACTGGAAAAACACAATTTCCACAGAGAGACGGAGAGAGAGAGTGAAAAACTGATCAAAAAAGATGAAAACATCATAATATTGGTGAACATTATAACATTACTTCAGTGATCCAATTTTTGGGCTAAATTGGGGTCACTCAAGAAAAGTCTAATTGGGCACAATCGGCTGATGAATTCAAATGAGATTTTTTTTTAAAGTCAAGACAAACGAGGGTTCAAGCGTGTGCCCCCATTGTTGCCTTTTGAGAGAAAAGAAAAAGGAAAACTAGCGAGATGGCAACAACGGTACAATTCTGGCTTTTGCCCTCGCTTTGTTGTAAGTTGTAGAGACAACGAGAAAATGGATCTGTATCAAGGATGAACAGAAAGCCGACCAGGATTTTCGATGGCCTGTCTAGTCCTGAAGTTTGGACCCAACTCGAATACATACTCTGATCGGACCCAACCTTGGCAGACTTTTCGATTTGGATTGAAGTATCTTGGGTCCAAGTTTCAGATCGATTGGATATGCGATGTCAGAGGCTGAAAAAGGAACAAATTCTGCAATAACTCGGCCTACTGGGCGTCAACCCAGTATCGAGACCGGATAATCCGAAACTTGGACCCAAAATACTTCAATAAGCCTGCAAAAATTGGATCCCATAAGAGGGCATATTTTAAATTTTTGCTGTCCCCCCTTCTCCACTTTTGTAATCGTCACCAAAAGAGGCGTGGGGGCGGTGAAGCACGACTGAGTGGGCGGGCTTTCACTGTCACTATATAAACCAAGTTCAACGCTCATTAACCATCTCTCTCTCTCTTCCTTCCTCTGACGTTATTGCTATGCAAGAAGTCAGCTCTCTCTCTCTTCCTTCATCTGACGTTATTGCAATGCAAGAAGTCAGCTCTCTCTCTCTCTCTCTCTCTCTCTCTCTCTCTCTCTCTCTCTCTCTCTTTCTCTTTCTCTTTCTCTTTCTCTTTCTCTTTCTCTTTCTCTTTCTCTTTCTCTTTCTCTCTCTTTCTCTCTCTTTCTTCCTCTCTCTTTCTTCCTCTCTCTTTCTTCCTCTCTCTCTCTCTCTCTCTCTCTCTCTCTTCCTTCCTCTCTCTTTCTCTCTCACTCTCTTCCTACCTCTCTCTCTCTCTCTCTCTTCCTCTCTCTCTCTCTCTCTCTCTCTCTCTCTCTCTCTCTCTCTCTCTTCCTTCCTCTTGCACGATGAGTGGGGAAAGAAGTTTCTGGAAACGTGGGCCTAAAATACTTCAAGTCCAAGAAGCTTGCAAAGTTAGGGTCCGATCGGAATATTGTATAATAAATGGGACAAAAGTACAGACACTTCTCAGACTAGTTTAGAGCGGTTTTTATCATCCATTCTCAAGAAGTCCGACCAGGGACCCTTCTTTATTTTAGGGGTCCATGTTTTTCCTGGAGATCTGATAGTGAGAGGGGCAGGTCTTTTGTGCGAATGGAAACTAAACGTCCTTCAAATATTCGACTCGCGTGCCGACTCTTCTGACAAGTCAATGTCCTTGAACTAGGTGTCTGTCTGCCCATGACAAGCTTTTCGACTTCTCAAAATTAGAAAAAAAGAGAGAGTGGAAGAAGAACGGCTAGATCTAAATGAGAACAGAACCTTTAAAAGATGTGTTTCTGTTGAAATATGTAAATATTTACGGGAAAAGTGATGTTTTCACGTTGAAAGTTCTAGAAAGATTGCCAACTTTTCATTACAATCTATGTTGTGAGAGAGCTAAAAGTGTGTGCCAAAAACATTCTGAAATCTTTTGAAAAACGAAACAATCGAATAGAAAATGAGAAAAAAACGGTCACAAGCCTAAAAGAAACGAAAAAGTAGAATTTCTATATTTGAAAACAGTCCTATGCCTTCTGTCAATAAGTAAATAGTGTGAGATAAAGGAAAGCGGTAGACAGAAAGGACATTTCAAAAGTACAATTTGCTTTTTCCTAATGACCTTTTGTGACGTCATGGATTTAGGCTCTCTCATGTGACCGCTAAACAAAAATGAATTTGACAGAGGAAAGGTAAACATACGCATGCGGCCCTTTCCATAAAATCGGAAAGATCGTTTGAATTTTTGAAGCCTCATTCAGAACAGTGATTTTGTCGGTAGGAAAAGGATAATTCGGAAAGGCTGGGAATTCAGCAACATTTCCACGGACGATCAGCATAAAGATTTACAAGCTTTTGATACAGAAATTCACTAATTGGTACAGCTAGATCACTTTCAGAAGGACACAAATATCATCGAATTTTTTCTTTTCCAATTTTATTCAACCTTCAACAATAGTAGCGTGTTCACAAAAATGAGTATTCGTTCACTTTTCCTTCATCTTCATTGCCACCAATATGATATTCTTCTGTTCCTCGTCGGTGGTCGACAATTCCAACTCCGCGTAAATGCCTCTGAAATTGAACAGCTCTTTCTCACATATGATTATGCTACCGCGTACTCTTTGATCTCTTTTGCAATAGTATCCGAATCTGGTTTGAAAGCGAGTAAGAGGAACCCTAATGAAGCAGCTATCGCTCGGAAAACGTTGAAGGTCCGCCAGCTGCTGACTAACGAATCAGATGGTACTTCTTCTGGCTGAAAATGCTCGAATCAACGGAACGGTCCGAAATATGATTGATCCTTACAGCAAAAACAAGTTGGCTTTCGAGTTGGATGCATAAAAGGGAAGCAATGAGGCCGAGTGCCCAGACAATCGTGGTGAAGAGTCCGTTGTTGTAGACTGTGGCTTTAAGGCGCTCTTTTGAAGTAAAATGCTCTACCATGTAGACACCAGTCCTGTAATTGTTCAAAGAAACACAGTTAATTCATGATTTAGAAAGAGAAATACCTGTCCAACGCCGAAGTTAGCCCAACACTGAATCCCAGCATAAAACCGGCATGAACTGGAAGACTCATGTACCGATAGCCGCTGAGCAGCACCTAGAATTTAAGATGTCTCAGCAGAAACTCATAACTTTATCTAAACTGACATCTGGCTCGAGGTTGAATGCAAAAATGGTGAGCATGACTGAAATTCCGGCGAGAAATCCTTGAATAATGTTGGCAATTTGATTGTAGATTCTTTGAAAGCGGAATGCTTGCCCTGGCGCTCTGAGCAAGTACGGTATCACCGAATCTTCGTCGTCTTGTTTCTTGTCTGGTTTGGGTTCGTCAAACGTTTTTCTTCCCCAGAATCTTCCTTTTTTCATCTCACGAAACTTCCCGCCTGCAAAAGGGAATCGATAGAAGAGGAGCGGAATCAGATATCAGAAAAACAGCAAAAGTACCTGGTCCTTCAACATAAACCGTTTTATCCTTTGCCGGCAGGTTCTTTCTATCATGAGGATCTCGAAAGTTCTTGAATACATCCAGACTAACTGACGATCGACGTGGATCCACTGGCTTTCGGACTTCCACTAAACCCATTGGTTCATCTCGGCTCTAAAAAGCAGGATGTTAATTTGCAAGCCGAAAAATGTTACAATTTGTGCTGCTTCCCGAATATCGTCCACTGTGACAGCCATCGGTGGAACTGGTATTTTTCCATATGATACTCTTCTATTACGCAATTGCGAGGGCTTTGGGCTCGTCACTTTTCTCCCTTCATGTTTTATTTCTTCTTCTCTTATGATTTCAACGTCATGAACAGTTGGACGGAATACTTCGTCGTCGTCTGAAGTAGAGCTGCGACGGGGGTCCACTTCATTGTTCTCCCTTTTCCTGGTTTGTCTGTCTTCCGAACTCAAATCGTCAACATGCTCAATGTCCGATGAAGAGGAATGTTGTCTGAAATCATTTTTATGAAATATTACATTTCGAACGGTTAATTTCAATAGAAAAAACGTTAATTCTTACCGACTTTCATTCGTTGGAGGAGGAGGAACACGACGAATATGTTGAGACATCGATAAAATGAAATTTCCTTGCACGCACCAAAAATAAGGGAACGAAAGAGGAAGACGGTAGTCAATAGCAACGAAATGGATTTGCGCGAACCCCTCGGAGCACCTGCTCCGCGTAGAGAGAGAGAGAGAGAGAGAAGAGAGGGAGAGAAAAAGTGAGAAAATTGGTGAGTGCATTCTGGAGAACCCTCTTGTCACGGAAACGAGGAGAGACCAGGAGGGCTCCACTAATTGAATTCTGAATGCATTCAATGAACGTTCTTGTTTTTAAAGTCGTTTCTTCGTATTAATTGTCTTAACGTAAGTAAAATTTGTCTTGAAGTGCTCGTTCTAATTATTCTTAACATTTTTCTCCAAAAGGAAGCAGTAATATTTCATCCATTCGGAGTTTAATTTTAATAAAATCATTGTATACAAAAGCTTTGAGAACATGGAAAAAGGCAGAGACAAATGTTGGATGGGACTCATATCGGGGTTGACAGGATAATAATAAGTGGTTCTACATTTTATGATGAAAAGTGTAGCAAGCGTATTGTCGTGATGAGCACATTTCTATGACTAAATTACATTTTGTGAACAAGTAGTTCAATTTTTCAGCACTGACTCAATATCTTCAAAAATAAAACCGGAAAAAACCAGACAAATGGGTTTACAAGAGATCCAAGTAAATCGGGTACAGAAGAGGGAAAACCGGGACTAGGCAGACTAGGACAAATCAAAAGCAGATGAAAGTTATATGTATAATTTAACAGATTAACACAAAATGAAACTATTAGGACGGGGTGCTCTGCAAAGAAAGTCGGTTCTGTGCACTGGTGTAGATGACGGTGTCCTTGCGAGTGGCTGTCTGGTTCGGGGCTCCACTCTGACTCCGTTTGCTCCAGCGGCGAGAGCTCTGAAATGAATAATATGATCAAAAAGTTATTCAGAATTATCACGGAGCTCTGAAAAAAGGGTGAAACTCAGGTATCAAAGGCAAAAATCAGGAAAACTTATGGAAACCGATAAATTCAAAGGTGGGGTATGTAAGGAAGGCCATGCATGAAAATCAAGAAATAGTTCAAACAAGTGAATGTTATTCTCCTGATTCCACACTTGAAAACTTACCATTGGGTATGAGATAAAGTTTGAAATGGTCATTCGCTGTAAATTTCAGTTCAAAAAGAGAGAGGAAACAAAAAGCAAAGGGTGAACATGTTAGAATTACGGTAGCAAAAATTGACTGTAGTAGCTAGCTTACCCTGGCACTGAGAAGAGCGGTGCTGGCGTCCAAGCTTGTCTTCCGAGTAGTTCCGTCTCTCCCATCCCAATCGCTCACCATGCTTCTGAAATGCAGATTGTTTGACACTCGAATAATGCGGGAAAAAGTTTACTGTAGAGGGTACCTTCCGACTTTGAGCCATTCCATCCATCGGCTTTGTCGGCCACAAAGCATGAGCACACACATTTGACGGAAGCGGGCTCCGAACAAAGAGTAGATCACAATGTTGGAAGCGCTGGAAATGGGAACACGTTTAAAAAGGCTATTGTCTGCTTTCTTGATGTGATAAAGACTTTTAGCACCGGTTATTCAAAAAACCGATTCAGCTACCAACAAACCTGTTCAAGCAAATCAGCAAGTTTCCAATCGGACTCCAAAATCCGAGACTGACTTCGAAAACAGTTTCGGCCAGATTGTTGACCGCGGCGACGACGTTGAAAATCAAGAAAGTGAGCACCATAGCGATAGCCATCAGAGTGCATCTGAGACTGTTTCTGAATTTGAGAGCCTCCATATTTCTAGTTTTTTCAGAATTTCGATATAAAGAGAAGTAGAAGGGGTGGAAAATACGGAAAGAAGAAGCGATAGAGACCGGGGGAAATGGGAATGGGGATCATGCAATGTTCCGGTTCTAGTGAAGTTTGCCATGCTTCGAAAGTTGAGAAAGAAGAAAATCATTCAAAATTTATCCAAAATGTGAGTTCGTGGTGTGATGATAGCCTAAATCTTACTTAGTGAACCGGAACCTTAGTGTCAAAAGTGTTTATGACACTAGCCTAACCTCAACTGTACAAAACATTTCAGACAAATCAAACTTCAAACGGAAACCACTCCGAACTCACCTTCGGTCCTTTTCCTCCTGATTATTCTTTCCTCCTTGCATGGTCCTCCGAATTTTGTACGCCTTATGGACAGCTTTGACCACAAAAACGTTCAAAATAATCATAACAGTCCAGGGGATTAAAAGGAGGGCAATCAAGTAGCCAAAAGTCACGTAGTACTCCTTGTAATACTTGTTATCTCTCAGGAAAGAGGTGCGAAGTCGTCCGCAGTCATCGTTGGTCAGTTCGAAGAACATTGGCGCCTGAATGTGACACTATTGAGTGCAAACTTCACGCTCGTCTTTTGTTCTCACTTTGAAAAGAACACTGAAAACAGTGATGGCGAGGAGAATGCTGACGGCACGGCGCGGAGTGCACCAGATCTTGCTGTGAAGGGGGTAGTTGACGGCAAGGAATCGGTCAACGGTCACGGCCACGCACGTCCAAACACTTCCACATTGGGCAATGTTCGAGATGGGAAGCGTCCAAGGGGTCGATCTCCAGAAGAAGTGGCAGACTGTTGTATCGCCGTGGCCCTGAGAGATTTTGACTATTCCAAAAGTATTGCACAGAGATGTTCGTGTCTTTATAAGACTCGAAAAAACCAGTTCCATCAGTGCATTATCAAGTTTCCTGAACTCTATTTTAATACGGATTCTGGCTTGTCAAATTTGGTAACTCAGCAAAAAACTTGAAAGGATTTCAGAAGACCATCGAACATACATATTTTGCAAAACTTAGAATTTATCATTTCGCATGCAACTTATTTCATCTCTCATCTAAAAATAATCGAGTGTGACATGCCAGCTCGATGAATAAATTGGTGCACACTCTTAATGAATTCCATATCTTCTCCGCACCAGAATGATAACTCTCTCTCTCTTTTTTTTTATTTCCGCCGCTTGCTCACCTGCAAAACGCAACCCTGAAGAGGCGAGAAGATCAGAGCGGAGAAGGAGAGCAGGATTAGATCGAAAACCGACAATCCGGCGAGATATACGTTGAGCGATGATCTGAAAGGTCACTTTATTCGTTTGTGAGCCCACACATTTCTATTCCTGGATTTTCGAGATGAAATTGAAAGAAAAAACAAATTGGTCTGAGAAATCTCATAAAAGCGGGATTATTAGAGGATCAGAAAAACTTTTTCTGTCTGGATAAGGGATATTGGTTTTTGTTTTCTAAAATGGATGCATATAATGAATCCATGTAATGTAATTTCATTGAAATTGAAACAAAAGTACATACCTCATTTGCTTCCGGGTGAAAACAATAATGCACATAACAGCAGCTCCAGCGCCGAGAACACAAATCGTCGGAATCGCCAGCAAGTAGATGTATGTGCTGATATAGTCGACTTCGGCGAAACTGGTCGGATAACTGCATATGATCTTCCTGTCCATATCGGCGGCCCTCACCGTCGGCTCCTCGATCAGAGTGATGTTATTGTTAAGAAGGGAGGTCGCGCTTGTCGAGTTCATAGCCAGAGTTCGATGTGTCACACGCTGAATAGAATTTGTTCGCGAAAGTGATAATTGAGTTGCAGTTTCTGTTTCCAGACGGGAAAAAGAGAAATAGAGCAGATCAGGAACTCGGAAGAGAAAAAACACACTGAAAAGCGTGTTGCTGGAACTGGAACGTCCGAGAACAAAACTAGAGGAAAGGGGGGATGAAATAGACTAACGAGTGGCGGAGGGCAGGCACGGACCACAGGCAAAACAAAAAAGAGTGGCGGATGTCGGGAAGGAGGAGAGGGGGAAGATGAGGGGTTCCTTAATAATGTCATCATAGGGCAAGTAGCCCCTAACTTTCCCTTGCTGCTCTAGGAAAAGAAGAGTCGAACAAGAAGATATGTACATACATTCTTTTTTACAAGTAAACCTAGGATCTCAAAATATTATCCAATTTTCAATTCCATCTCGCCTCATCACCTTTTTACTTGAGAACTCGCAGAAAATGCTTTCTTTTCTTCCTCTCTCCTTAGGCTTGTTTTCGTGCCCAAAAAACCAGAAAAGCATCGCATCGCATTGCATCAAACCAAAAAAGCATGTCGAGTTAACTAATTTTTTCAAGATCGCTTCACTTTCAGCCAATGTCAAATAGGATTATCTCAAAAAAGAAAGAGGCATTTGTGAATGCACGTTTTTCGTCAGAAATCGAATTGCCACCTTTTTATCTAAGAAGCCATCAAACCAGTGGTCAAAATATGTATAAAGACTACCTGGTACGCTGAAAGTGTGGAACAAACGAATTCCGAGAATCTTTCAGTTGTACAATGTTGACATTTCCTTTTTCCGATTTTTAAACTTGTTTTTCCGGACTCCCCGTCTCTCTTTTTCAAATGGGCCACCTCCTTTATACAGCTTTCAGAGGATGAGGAAATACATAATAAATTATTTCCTGCCTCCAATGAGTTCGGCAGAACAAAATTTTTGTCTTTCAGAGAACGCCCGCTTCTAGAAGGTTCGCGTCTAGAAGCGCCCACTATGACAAAAACGAGACCAAGAGTATGAGTCAACCGAGAATTATGCGCAAAAAAGAGCACTTATAACGTAATGGTAATCATAGGGAAAATGTGTGGAAATTAGATCGGAATTGGAAAAATAGAGAGAGTGGGGAAAATAGAAATTATGATGACGATTATGATGATGAGAGGGTTCGCGTAAAGTTCTGAATAACCGTAGAAGACGGGTGGAGAGAGAGAGAGAGAGAGGGAAAGGGAGAAGTTCAAACTTTTCACCCCAATTGAATAAATGAATCATCCATCTCCAGAAGCGGTGAACTCCACATTCTCTCCAGTCCGTTTGCTCTCCATATCCGAGGGAACCGACGAGCCGAGTCGGTCATGGTTCGTAGACCTCCGGCAGCTTTTAGAGAGGTTTGGGTCGCCGAAAAGCGGAAAATGAAAACGGAAACGAAAAGAGATAGTTGGGAGGAGCAGGGAGGGAATGGAAATGAAGAAATGATAGATCAGCTACTCAGGACTCTCTTTTTCCTTTCTCATCTCCAATTCACTCTTATTCAAATCATCTAATTAATATCATTTCCATGTATATTCAGTGTGACACTTTCTTGGGAGCGCCCACTCTTCCCGAGTCAGCTGACTGAACCCCCGTACAAAGCGTGTCCGATACACGGTCGGGTGGAGAATGCACAAGTAAGAAATTGACTAAATTTGAAAAACTGGGATACTTTTTGTTAGGGAAGCCTATAAATTATCACTTAACGAGTTCTCACATCTACAAAGTCAAAACGGAACACCTTCAAATCGACTGGTCACGTTCTATTTCTCAGTATGAGAACTGACTAACCAATTCTAAAAACCCGTTGAAAAACGAAGCGTAGCATTAAGAGATCAGGGAGACAAGGGGATATGCCAGCATCACTTTCTCTGAAAATCGGATAACTTCTAATTTGAATTCGTCTCCTAAACTCATTCCCGAAAGAGGCTATCTGCAGCTCAAAAATGTCGAGATGTCTTGATCGAATGGGAGAAATGGAGGGAAGGGGGTAATTGGAGATGAGAAAGAAAGGCAAAGAGGGGATCAGGACAAATGCCTTTTGTCTACATATATATTTTATTCAATACCATTAGTTATTCCGTTTAATCCGAATGTACGTAATGTCTACGTACAGAAGAGAATTGATGGGTTTTTGAACAAATCTACTGTAGTTCCCGGGCTTGTTTCACCTGAAGTTTAGCCTATTTGTATCAGACAGTGTTTCCACCACTTTATAAGACTTACAATGGAGAACCTTTCAGATTGGTCAAATCCGTACCGTGGAAAATCTGATCATCTACCCGGCCCAACGGCCCAACACAAGAGAAATCAGACTCTAGTCGCCCACCGGCTCTACTGACGCGGGCAGCTCTGAGGATAAGAGATGAACACATAACTGAACAAGTGAAAAAAGAAGAAGAAGAAAAGTGGGCGGAGCCGGCGTGCAGGCACTTATATGTCCATAATCCCTAATTGTCGAGTTGCGTGCCGAGAACATGTTTATCTGTCGGAGGAGCCCACAGAAGTGATGTGGCGCCGACTAAGCGGGTCGACCACGTTTTTCGTTTTGCTCACGGGAGATGAATGTTCGCACACTTTCCAGCAGAATCAATCAAAAAGTGCAACGTGCGGAGGGAGAAAAACGCGAATTTAATGAAAATGACAAACGAACACGAGGTGGTTCTGATGATGATGACGATGGAGGAGAAAAGGAAGCCCATGTAGGGGGGCAAAGTTAGTCAATTCTTTATATTATCGAACTGAAGAGCCCACGAGAAGAAGCCTGCCTGTACACTTTACACGACGTCGACCACTACATCACAAGCGATGAATGTGGGAAAAAAAGAAAAAAGAAAAGCAGGCGGAAACATGGAAGTTTCGCTTTCTTCTCCCAAATTTTTGAATAAAAAAAATTTCTTATCTGATGATTCCTTCTAAAAACACACGTTTTCTGTCAAAAAGCAAGAATGGAAGTTCGAAGATTTAGTGGATATCCTCTATCAGCCAGTACTAGTATCAAAGAACGACAATAGCGGATTGAGAGACAGATGATAAGATTATCAGAATAATTGGATTAACTACAGAGGCTGCACACATTTCTGGATATATATAGATGGGAGGGAGCTGGATTTGAGAGTTTGACACACTTTTTTCGGTGGACGTGTAGTACTAGGGAAAATTGTGGTTTGTGAGTGCCAGAATATGCAATTTTTATCAAAACACAAGCAAGACTTTTTGGAACAGCTTCTCCTTTTTCATATTCTCAGAAAAATTGAACTATTTATATTTCAGGACATGGCAAAAGGCCGGCCCGAGCTTTTGAAAGGTCTGTCAATGTACTTTGCCCCACTTACAATATTCCAATCGGGCCCAAACTATGCAGGCTTTTTGGACTTGTATTACAGTGCAGGCCTTTGAAAAGCCTGGGTCTTTTGCCCAGATATTATTCTATTCAGCCAAGTCTATTTAAAGAAGGAGTACGTGAAGTTCTCAAAAAGAAATGAGGGTAATTATGAGTAAAAAGAGAACGTAATACTTTTTGAAGTGGTCCGTGCTAATGGACAAGCTGCTCATCATCCCCCTCAAAACAAAAAAAGACGTATTTTTCAGAAGACCCGCGCTAAACTTTTCTGCTTCCGAAGAGTACATGACGTGAGATAATTGGATTGTATTGTGCAATCATCATCATAATTTTCATCATCATCATCATCATCCTCCTCCGATGTTTATGAGTATATAGTTGTGTATCAAGAAGAATAAGAAGAGGATAAATGAATACACATCCTCTCTATTTTTTATATTTTCAACCGAAAAAAACAAGTAGTACGTATTAACGAAGGGCGGGCGAGAGGATATTCATTTAGTTTGAATTGACACGAGCATTTGTGCTTCAGATGACAGCAAAAATATCAAAAAATGGTCGGAGAAAGTTCTACCGTAGTCCTAAAAAGAGTTAGTTGCTCACATGTTTACTTTTTAGAATATCTGATAGAATTTTGTTGGAGAAGGCATCAGCAAACTTTGGAAATACCACACTTGGGGGTAGAAAGGGCAAAATTGGGTGTGTGAGAAAATGCACTGGCTAAAAAACTATAGAAAGGGAAAAAATGTCAACATGTATTCTTTAATGTTGTCAAACGCATTTCAGCAAGCCTGGAAAGAATGTTCTAAACCGTTCATACATATAAAAGAAGGACTGAAAATAGCTATGTCGCTCTAGAAGGTTAATACCATCTTATTTCCAAGTCCTACGTCACAAACTTTCTGCGGGACTCTCTAAAAAACATGAGAGACGTAGAATTGAACACATGCTCGTCTGTTTATTTCTAGAGAAACAACTTTCAGACTCTTTTCCTTGACCCCTCACATTATAGAAGGCTGTTCTGAATAACTGTTAGGATATGCATGGATGGAATCATTTTGGAACCATTTCCGTCACAAACTCCGAGGCTACAAACACCAGAGCATGGGCGGTGAATCAAATGAAAAGCGTGGGAGGGGGGGTAATTAATGAAAAGATGTTGTGTTGTACAAGGAAAATATTGGTTTTCAACCAGGAAGAAAGTGTCGGGGGAGGGAGCAGAAAGATGGGAAAAAGACGCAGGAGAAGAAGAAGAAGAAGAAGAAGCAATTACTCTTTGCTACCATATTTTGCTGCGAAATTGAGAAATCAAATTAAAAGACAGACTTAAACGTGGGCATGCTTCTCAACTGATCTTCCACTTTGTTTCAACGACGACTCGCCTGATTGATATTCGAATGAAAATGCAAAAGAGAGGGAATATGTAAAGTAAATGTTCTTGAGTTCCTTTTGAATAAAGATGAGGATGACACTTGGATTCCAGGAATGTTCAATGAGAGCAACACGATCATTCACAGAATTATTTTAGCACACATTAGTTAGGAGAGAAACGTGCAAGCGTTAGAGACAATCGAAAGGGAAATCTGATTCTCATGAGCATTCTTTTATAATGTACATGGATAAAAAGCGAACCGTTCCGTTGAACAATTATGAAAACATATATATTTAGAAAGAAACCAGGAAAAAAGCATTTGAACGGAAATTCCTAGAATTTCTGCATGGGTGGTTCGAAAATATGTCTTCACATCGGTTGAATTCAAATATCCGGGTCCAAAAAATATTATTCAAGTCCCAACTTTTGTTATCTGAGCTCATTCTATTGGAAAAAAAACAGTTTTTCACAACAAGAACTTGCTTCTAAACAGGAACAGAGAAAACTAGGGAAACCCGGTTTTAAAAGCTCCACGCAGTAGGAACCACATGTCCGTATGTCCAGATGGCTCGTTCTGTCTATTTTAAGACCAAAACACTGGTCATCGCACAGCTAACCCGTCGATCCTATAATACATGAATGCCTTTAAAGCATTCAATGCCTATGAACACTGCTTCCCACTGTCCCTCCAATTTTCACACTCATCAATTTTTTATGGAATTTCTAGAATTCCAACCGTGGCATAAACACAAACAGAAAAGTTCACTTGTTTTATTCTTCCCCTCAAAAAAAAACGTTTTCCTGTGTTTCTTCTAATTACTATTACCTCTAACGTAATGAAATGAGCTACTTATTTCTGGTATGTGGTTGGATGGTTCAAAGTTGAGTCACTAGCAGAAATGAGATGAGTTTTAGTAAGTGGGAGTAAAGATCGGTCCGCTTGAGAAAGGTCTCAAAAACATGAATTGTTTTTTGAATACACACATACACACACCAAAGCCAAAGCCGAATTGAGTTAAAATTTAGCGAAGAATGAGATGAGACCACAGAAATATTGTGGTTTCACGTAAATAAATACCAGTACAGGGGCATTGATTATTCTATGAATGTTTCATTGGTATGAAATGAATGCCAGATAGTGTTGAGTTGCACGCCATGCAACAGAATACAGAAAACATCTGGACCACAAGTACACGAAAATATTGGTCCCCTGAACTTTTTCCTCTTTCCTTCCTCTTCCTCGTAATCCCCTTCTCATGCGACAACACTTTTTCAAGTGGTACACAGACGTGGAATAGGACTGCTCCTTTTTTTTTGGTAATAAATAGCGGATGACATGTGAAAAGGAGGGGGAAGCACTTGAAAAAGGAGAAAATATGCATTTTTAACTTTACGGGAGGCTAGAATAGACTGAAATGTTGTGAAAGTTAAGCAACATTTCAAAGTTATAGCTTTGCGATCGAAATTTCAAGAAAAATTATTTGTTCTTTTAACAAACCTTTAGTAGTCCTAACTGCACATAAAAAGGCGAATAATAATTGACCTACGCAATTTCCTGTGTGGAAACGGATATCGCGGAAGAAGAAAAGAGGTAATGCAAAAGAATTGGACTAAAAGTATAAATTGCCCGCAAGCACTGGGCCCAAAAACACCTGCTCGCACAGAATTCCCAAAGTGGAGGGTCCAGTCCAAATTCTAAAGGTGAAATGAAGTGGAAAATGGGCGAATTGGATAGGTCAGAGTACATTCGAATCACCTTTTTTCAAAATTTTTCGGAAAAGCAAGCTGGCTGGCGGGTTGGTGGAAATTGAAAAATCGCACTCCCGAAAGAAAGAAAGAAAAGCTATGAAAGTGTAAAAAGGGTGAGAAACCAAGATGAAAGTTCATTTTAATGTGGTTGAAACAGAAAAATTTCAAAGAAGTTTCAAACTGCTTCCTTCATTCACTTATAAAACTCATCTCGTAATTGGAAGAGGAGGCAATGTTCGTGTTCAGACGATGGGCTGATCAAAACAAAGGTGTCATTTGCATGGCTGCTCCCCGTCCCCCAGAGGAGAAAGTGGGCGGGGACAGAGGAGAGCGGGGGGGGTCTTGCAACAAGAAAAGAACTCATCTGAATACTCAATGATCAGTGTTTCATAATTAAGAGAACATTCAGTACACGAACTGATGACAAGAAGTGGTCATTGTGTTGCAGAGTATAGAATTGAAAGGGTGGGGGAAGGGTATAAGAAAGGAAATAGAAAAGAAAAACAAAGTGGGCCCCACACAGCTCATCTCAAGTTTTTTGCCTATAAATAACACTGGAAGTGGAACACGAACGCAATTGATATGGAAGGAATTTAATTAAAATGAGGAGCTAGTTTTTGTGGCGCTCCGAGCTTCCTTCCTCTTCGAAAAGAAGCAAAAAGTAAATATCAAGTGAGATTACTCGAAAAATAGATTTATTGCTTTTTCTCGTTCTTCTTTCTTATTAGTTAACATAATGTATTATTAAAAAAGTGTACAACACCTATCACAAATCCACTTTTAATCCTTATTATCTTGTTCATCTTATCACATAATCACGTTATCTTCTGGTCGGAACACAGTGCAGTTTTTTGGTGAAGAACTCCTCGAACCACTTGCTCTCATCATTCACGAAAAGATTTTTGCGGTCGCCCACGATGTCCGTCAGATATTTACTGCAATCAAGTGCGGGGGGGTGGGATGATTATGGTGGCGGGAGAAGAACTTACGTGTTTGTCAACTTATTCAATGAGATTGCATACATCTTGACATTCGGAAGCTGGCGGAGCAATTTGGCTTGTTGCGTGGAATCGTCTTGCGAGAATCTGCAAATAAAATCATTGCGGGGGAAAGTTTGAACTCTTAGGTGAAAAAATTGAGCCGAGCTGAGGGACCTGCCCATAAATGTGATCTCTAGAGATCTTGCGAAAACTTTACAAGAAATCGGTCCAAGAAATGTTTGCTGATGTCGTTTCATGCAGATTTTCATTTTCAGCAAAACTTTTCTCTTCAGACTAACCCATCACTGATCAAGATGACAGTGGTCTCAGTGTGCTTCCGCCTCGAGTCCAACAAAATGAGCGAAAGTTCAAGCGCTGCACCGATATAAGTCGTTCCTGAAACCAACCAATTCATGATAACTTTCCGCTTTGCATTCCGATTTTCACCTGTCAAATGTCTGACACTTCGGATTGCAGACAAGAGTTGCGAGTTCTTCGAGTGTGTATCGAAAGACCATTCCATTTTCTGAATATGCCGTCCCGCAAATTGAATGAGGCCGACACGATGACTGCGGCTCGGTACCACTTTTTTGATGAGCACTGTCAGAAAGTCCTAAAGAACCGAGTGTGTGTCTTTTATTGATATTCAAATTAGTGTGGATGCACCTTCTGGGTGTCGTAAGTGCGAGCGATGGATCCTGAGCTGTCGACAACAAAAAGTATGTCCATTGGACATTGAACTCCTGAGGACGCTGTAAGGAATGAGTGTTTTTCGTTTGGCTTCTGCTTATGATGGCACACAAATAGAGTTTTCTTGAGATGAGTAGAAGGGTTATGAATGAAATTGGATGTGAGTAGGGGTTCGAGTCTTTGAAATACTGTAAAGTTATGATCTTTTTGCCACAAAATTTGAACATGCACTCGTGGAGTGACTTACATGGAAATGAGAAGCACAAGAGCACGTACTGGCCCTTTGACATGAACTAAACCGCATCCAGATCGAGAAAAAGCAAAAATTACTCACAGATTTCTTCTGCCTTTTCCTCCTCGACATCCGGTTTCAAAGTACTTCTCACCGGAGATGTCGTCGGTGTCGGCACAGCAACGTGTTTCACCTCCAAGACCTTATCGGTCACTTTCCTGGTTTGACTCGACGGCAAAATATTCCTTCTTCTCTTTATTATCCGTCTTATCTTCTTTTTCATCTGCTTGACCGGTCCCGTGTTCCCCACCGTCGTCTTGTTTATCGGAAGTGTCACCTACAACAAACATGAACATTATTGAAGAGAATATGTTTTTCGAATAACAAAAATTGCTCTTTCCCCGAGTAAGAGAGGATAGAACGAAAAACATCAAAGACGAACAAAAACTCACGGCCTTCGTCATACTCAAAAGAGTCGGGAATGCTGTTGCGGTGGCCAAAGTGTTCAGAATTGAGGATTGGGACCGCGTGGGGGTGAATCTTCGAGTTGGGGTCCGTGGCGGAATTGTAGTTGAGATAGCAGTTGTTGTCTCTGGGACCAACGTAGACGGCACAGTCGAAGTAGAAGCCGGTAACGTGGCAGTTGTTGTCGAAGGGACCGAAGAACTTGAAATCGGGGCAACAGTAGTAGTTGAAGATGTCAGGATCGGCCGGAAAGTGACTCTTGTAATAAAAACTGGTCGTGTAGTTTTCTTTGGAACAGGTTTAGGGCTTGAGGTTGCAGGCTCAGCAGCTGAAGTTGTACTCGCACCGTTTCCAATGGTTTTGACCACTCCAAACTCCGAACTGTTCTTTGAGTCCTTTTTCCCGTCATCGGAAGTGTTTTTTCCAAGCCTTTCGCCATCATCCTTATCAGTTCCAATCAAATTCGGATTAGCCACATCTCTTCCCAGGAACTTGCTCACTGCATTGACATTTCCATCTTTTCCCTTCTTGAATCCAAGTTTCGCCAAGAACGTTTGTGTTGTACTAGACAGAACGGGACTCAAACTGATCACAGGGGATGCGGGACTTGTGGAAGGCTGATTGACACAAGCGATTGTTGAAACAGTTGTACTGACTGAAGCTACCGTAGTCTCTACTGTAGCTGCACTTGATTCTTGTACCAAGGTTGTGGATTTAGAGATACTTTGCTCGGTTTTTGTCAAATTTATGTCTTTTTTTTTGTCCACAAGCAAAGTGGTTAAGTTAGTCGGACGATGAGCCTCGCTAACAGGTGCACTTTCCACGGTGAACAACTGAATGGGTTCACTCCACGTTGCAGATGAAGTTGAGTTTTCAAAAGGAAGTGAGGTTACGGTAGAAGTCGCATTGTCATCCATTCCAATGTCCTCGATACTGTTGTTCGACTTGGTTTCTTCCGAACTGTTTCCACTTTCATTTTCATCGGAATCAGAATCTTCAGAGAGTGAATTACTTTTCAAAGATTCTGCGCTTCCAGAACTTTCCGTGACATTCTTCACATGAAAACTCAAACTTGTGCTTGAAGTGAGCACTTCCGTCGGGACGGGAAAAAACTCGGTCGTTTTTGCACTAAAAGAGCTTGTTGTTTTCACTGCTTTTTTCTGGAAAAAGTACTTTGGCACATTGTTATGTATGTGTCCACATGCTCACCGCCTGAACTTCACAGGATCTAGAGTGCTCCACCTCGTTGAGAAGCCGTTCTTTGAGGCGATCTCCATCCGTCGGCCTGAACTTTTACCTCGTGATTCTAATCTCACATTTTAGAGATTAGTATAATCCCTACCCAAACACATTATCCGCGTCTCCAACTATTCCGAGCATTTCAGGCACAAATCCGATGCTGTTCACACTAATCGAATAGATTTTTACACCTTCAAACAAAAAAGGATTATGAGAACAGTAAAAAAATAATCCTACCTTTACGTCTCAAAGTTTTAGCTGCTTTGGTGGGTTTATCCATAGAAAGGCCATCTGTGAACAGAATAATCATTCGATTTCCCTTCAATCTGCAAAATAAGTAGTGTGTAATTGCTCCCAAAATTTTGAATGATAAGGTTTCTATCAAGTTTCCGCACTTTGTCGCTCAGATAACCGCATTCCCAGCGGTCGGCAGAATGTGGAGAGATGGCCGAGCGGTCTAAGGCGCTGGTTTAAGGCACCAGTCCCTTCGGGGGCGTGGGTTCGAATCCCACTCTCTTCAGAACCTTTTTTGTCTTTTTTTTCTTTAAATTTACAGTAAAACCTAACAAACCTGGCACCACCAGCATAGTTGAAAATCTCCTCGTCTGCTTTGTAAAGTGCTATTCCAGTTTTAGTGTCTCCTTTGGGAAACTCAAGTGTGTCCAAATGTCTGATAATATCACTTCGTTCAGAATATCTTGACAAGTTGAACTCAGTTTTGGCGTTTTCAGAATATCTTGAAAAATGTGTTGGAAGTTGGAAGTAAAGCAAATTATCAGAATTGCACTCACTGAATCAATCCAACTCTGACAGCGTCCTCATGAATCGGAAGTTCTCTTACAATCTCAATTGTCCAATTCTTCTGCTGCTGGTATACTGTATCATTCCCGCCGGACGTGTCAAATAAAATAATGATGTCAAGAACCGGGGGACAAACTCCTAGAAATGAGAGGGTACTTGGATTAATAGGAAAAGTTACCATCTTTATCGATAACAGCGCCATGACTCCAAGAAAACAGTAGAATAAAAGGAGCAAGAGTCACGCCGGAAAACGAGAACATGACAGAAATGAAGTGAGAAGAATGATGAATTCGTTTTCTGACGGAATTAAACCAAACTATATGAATGGCGCTTTCCTGGAGATCTCTATCCAACCACTTTTTGGTGGTTTTCAACTTGTTCTCCGTTTATCTTGCGCCAAGATTTCAGATAACAAGTGAAACAAATCTGGATCCATTAGCCGAGATCGTGGCGGACGGGAAATACGCGTGAATGTTTCTTCATGTTTGGGAAGTAATTAGAAGCAGGAAGTGGAATGGAACATGAAATAAGTTCATTTAATGTGTACAAGGGATAATTTATATTCATTTCGTAACGATAAGCGGTCGAGTAACCATAAAAAACTGAAACAAAGTTGCTGGGCTCACACCGTTCGTATGAATTTTCCGCTTTTTTCCGGCCTCTCCAAAGTTGACCGCATACTTTCCGGCTGATTTCGTGGTTATGTTTTTCTGAATTGAAGCATGTGGAAATGCAATAAAATTAGTAAATTACCGGAGTTCCGTCAACTGTCAAAACAACGGTTTCGTTGGAGACTGTACTGTTCATTCGACACGATTCACAGTTGATTTGATTCAAACAAATTATCCGGTAGGTGAAGATTTCTAGTTCCAAGACCTGTAAGACAAGCTGTTTACACTGTTTTTAAGAAGAAAACTGACTTTTTTAGTGTCCCTGTGCTTGTTGATGATTTCACTATTTGGAACAATATGAACTCCATGTTTTTCAAGCTGAAATCCTCCAAACTGTCAAGGCGATTGAGTTTTTAAGCAAACTTTCAGTATCACTTCAGAAAGCGACATTTTTTTCTGGTGTAAATTTCGCAGTTTGCTGAATTCGTCTCCCGTTAAAGTGTCCAAATGGAAGTAACTACCCTGCAAATGCACAAAATTGGTAAGACAATGGAATCGTTTTTCACCTGAATAACAAATGCCAGTTCCACCACATTTGTGTGCAGTCTGACGGATATTTTGTCTTCTTCAAAAGACACGTGCCACTTTTTGTAGGGATAATGAAAGTCATTGTGTTGGAATAGGGAAACGTAGCCTAATTTTGAGAGACGAGTGGTTATTATGAAAGTATCTGAATTCGAAATAGATTTTTTTATCGTTTTCTGGCACCAGGTACTTTGATCAAACTGTGAATGTGTTGTGAAGACGCCCTTTCTCCAATCTTCTGATCCATTATCACTGAAGGCGACAACTGGCTCACTGGACCCCATGAACACTTCCTCCACTGGAACTTTCAGTGAAACCATTATGCTTTCCCCATTCAACCGTCTTTCTTCGATGTTTTCTTCTGTAAGTTGTCACTAATACTGAAAATCGGAAAAGAACAGATCAAACCTAAAGTGAGAACCCATGAACCATATTTTTGAGATTTTTTTCCACATTCAAACGAAGAAATGTGATAGACAGGACCTAGAAATGCCTCGGTTCCAAAGTCGACTTTATGGGTTGTTCCATCCGATAATTTGTCTGGAAAAAAGTCACTTATTTCGAAAAGTTCAGTTTTAAAAGGTGTTCTAAAACCTTTCGTAGTTGATGTATTGAAAATCGGCGTCACATCCGAGTATAAATTGAATCGGATATGCTCTTCACGATTGGCCGAAGGCGATCTACTCAACTGGAAAAAAAGTGTATCGATTTTCAGCTGAATGTGTATCTAGTACCAATGTTTTCTGAGACAACTGCTCTTTTTTCTTCTTCCGTTTTTCCCCCGTTTTCAGCGCCAATTCGAGTGTATTTCTGTAGAGAAAATATTGAAATTCCCACACAATTAGCAGTTTTCTCACGTCAATCCTTTCTTGGTCGATTTTTTCTTCATTTTTTTCTTAGCCACAATTTTATCTTCCACAAAAATGTCCGGTACGTATTCATCATCATACGGCTCAACTTCTTCTTCAGGTTCTTCATATTGATACAGATATTCTGAAAACACATTTGTTTTGCGTAAAAACCTCTGACCGATAAACCTAAAGGATATTTCCGGAGCACTTCATGAAGCTCATCTGTGTGCTGTTCGAAGTGTTGCACAACTCGGATAGATTGCAGAAAAGGAACTATTTCAATGTGAATTCCTGGGAAGAATATGATTTTCCCTGAACATTTAACCATTTGCCTGTAATACCCTATTCCAGACCACATACCTTTCCGTTCAGCAGATGTTTTCCAGAAAGCAAGAGTCAAGTTTTCTAATACAAAAACCATTTCGTTTTTATTGTTATCAACCCCGCATTGCTTGAATACCAGACCCGTCCATCGTTCCAATATTTTTTCTTTTGCATTTGAAAGGATCAAGCGGTTGTTTTCAGCCTTGTGCAACCATTTCTCGTCCGTTTTGCCGATACTGTCCAGACGGAGATTGGAGAACGCCTGAAAGGAAAAACTTTTTTCGAAATTTTGAGAAATCTAATAGACCGAAAACCAGGAATCAATAAGTTGAAATAATAGTTTTCAGTATTGCCCAGGGCTGGCCTGCCAAAGCCTGATCTTTTGAGTAGGAAAAGGCCGGTTGAAAAGTCCATTCCCATATCTTGGGACCAGATAATTCAACCGGTCAGAACCTTGAATCCAAGTTACTTCAAGCCAAATCCAAGAAAGCTACAAAGCTGAGTTCATAAAAATGCAGGCTTCGAAAAGCCTGGGTCAAAAAATTCTGCCAAAAAATAACTTAGGTTGCATCACAAACAAAACTAGTTGCATCACATTTCGCAAGAAAACAACCTGATAGTAAACACGTCTGATTTCTTATCGGCAATTAAAACGGTTCGCATTTTATGGAACTGTCTGCTTATAGAAAAACGGTTAGTTTCGAAACCGAAAATTCAAAAGTTACAGACCGCCAATATGTACACTTGATTATTACCTTCATAATAAGATCGAAGTACTTATGGGTCTCCTCAACTGACAAATCGTTTCCACCATCTGACACATAACTGTTGACGGTGTTTGCACTTTTCTCATCGGTGACATTGTAGAGAATGTCGCCTTCGACGTAACGATTCCACTGAAATATGTTGGTCACCTGATGTTTGTTCACTTTTTGGAAGGGATCACGTTTTCTGATCCAAAAAAGGTTACCTGCTGTTCATTATCAAACTGAAGTTTCAGGTTTTCTATCATTTCGACCAATCCGTCCATTTTTTTCGTGAAGTTGGCACTTTTGCGACTGACTGAGAAGGCAGAGATCACAGCGACATTAAACGCGGGGGTTTGGGGAGACTCTGTGGGAGAAGGAGGGCAGTAAAATGTCAAATGGTGTCTCGTTTACCTTCTTTTCCACTTCACGTAGTTTGTGGTTTCATGCGTACTTTATTCAAATTATATACTCGAGAAATGTGGTTGGATTAAGATACAATTCAGTTATAAACGGCACATAACATCTGGAAGTCGTTTTTTTTGTGAATTTTGAATTTTTGAATTTTTTTTGGGGGGAAAAATTGAAAGAAATTGAAAACATATAAACTTTGGTGCGGAGCAGGTAAACAACACGGAGAGGAATGCTGAAGACGGCTGAATATCCATACACGAAAGGAAGAATAGGTAGAAAAAAGTCATAATGCTAGTATTAGTAGACACTGTTCAATCGTCAGCCACAACAGTCTTGATTGGGATGCGGAGTGGGACTCCGGTGGTCTCGGCCACGTTGATCACGGCGTTCTTGTCCGTCTTGGCGACCATCTCGAGCAGGGTGAGCTTTCCGGCTCCCGGAATTGGGAATGGGACCGAGTGCCAGTAGCCGATTGGGAGTTTGGTTCCGCTTCCCGGGAATCTGGAAAAAGTGTTTGTTTTGAAAGCCAAACAGCTAAATCTAGTCAGGTTCGAAACTCACTGGGAAGCCTGAACGGTGTCAACATCTGGGTTTCCGCTTGGGGTGGACTTGGCCACCACCATGAGGAAGTCGTCGCTAGCCTCCAAGTAGAAGGATCCGTCGGTTCTCTTCATGAGGAGCTGAAATTCAAAACCGTTATAGAGTCGAGATTCCTCTCAATTCTTACGTTGACTTTGATCATCTCGTCATCGATAAGAAGCACTCCCGGGTTTCCCTGTTGTCCGACAAGGGATCCTCCGGTTCCTGAACACAATTATTAAGGATTTCTACGAGATTCAGGGTGTAACTGACCGGTGAAGTGGACCTGGACGGTGTTTCCAACGCTTTGCCACTCCATGGTGAAGGTGTTCTCAAGAACTCCGACCTCGGGGGAGTCAACAAAGTCGACCTGAAACAACATGTTATTGAGTAAACCTGCTGAAATTTAGTAGGATAGTGGCTTACCACATTGACCGCTCTGTTCTTCTTTCCGATTGCCACGTACTCGCGACGGCTGTGACTCAGAACAACTCCAGTATCCTCCAGAGCAACAAATTGAACCTGAAAAATGTTGGTTTTAAGATGGAAACATGTCATTTGAGAGTGACTAACCGCTTCCTGGGTAAAATCCGCAGAAACGTGGAAGCTGGTGTCAATTGGCATTGCTTGCAGAAGGAGAGTCAAAGTAGAAAGAGAACCTGAAGGAATGAGATAAAGTTGAACTAAACAGACCCTTTTAAATAGCGATCGCGTGTTCAACATCGACGAAATGGGCAGGAAAACCCCTTCGCTTGTCCCCACCCCTCCCCCCTCTTCGACGGGAACAGAGACTGATAAGAGAGCGAGAAACACACACGCGCACGGGGCAATTACATTACAAAGTGATGAGAAAAGAGAGAAACGAAACGGGGGAAGACGTTTGGATGGGAGGGGGGGGGGATGAGATACAGATACAGACGGCCGCGAGTACGACCTTGGAGAGGCTATTGTAAAATGAGAGAAAATAAAAAGGAAATGTTCTTCTTCTTCTTCTTCTTCTTTTTCTTATCATGGTGTAAGAAGTGCAGAGTGAAGGTAGAAGAAACTGGAAGACTGGGGACAGAGAAGAGAGAAAAACTTTTTATTTGATGCACCCCATTGATAAGAAAAGAGGTTGAAGTCAGTCACAAGGGTGGGTGCGTTGACTACATCAGTTCGGGGAATTCCTTTTTACGAAAAAAGTGTATCAAAACACGGTAGGAACTTGTGTTTTGAAGGGGCGCGCAATCCAGAACTTGACAAAACTGGACTGGAAACTGGTGATGTGGCCCGATCTGGGCAGACAGTTTTGAAAATACTTGCAAATCGACGGACCGGATTTTTGCAGACACGATGTTTTTCGTCATTTTTCGTCTAGTGTTCAAGAACGCCGGTTCGCCGCATTCGGAAATTTATTTCACACTCCGGTGGAGGAAAAAGCAACAAAATGATGTTATTGAGGTTGAAAGCGTTTAGAGGCATTTCCTCAAGGAGTGAATTACAGATTTTTGCAGAATTGTGTCTTTAAAAAGTGAAAACTTCAGGGTTTTCAAGAAAAGACGTTTCTTACAGGTGTGCACGTTAGTTCAACAGAAGTTGTAGGCCATCCTGGTGGCACAAAAACTATACAACTGGACGAGCATTGTGATACCCCCGGGCTAAAAATGACGTGTCTGTTTGCGTTCACAGGCAGAAGCAATCCAAAATATATGCAGCACATTCCATGACTAACCCCTTGGCTGTATTGTGCAAGTCCGTACCATCCTTCAGTTTAATATTGCCACACAAAAGGGGCATTACATTCTTTTCAATATTTGTTCATGCTTCTTTCTTGTTTCAGTGAACTAACGGTGAAAACTGAAAGTGGGAATAAATAAATAAAAAAGAGCAGGAACGCCTACACGAGAAAAATGAGGAAAAGTTGAGAAGGGGTCAGTTTCAAAACTCTTTTCCGCCACACACACACACAAAATGAGTTCTTATTGACTTTGGACAAACAGTGATCAACTGATGATCGACTGGAGAAGGAGATGAAACCCGACACGTTCCCCCTCCTGACTCCCTCGCACATTCCTCCTTACTGTCGTGTGATTTTTTATTATTAGGCCAGAGGGTGGGAAAACTCTGCGCGTCTCTGCAGGCGGCGATTCCGAGAACTGTGAAAATGATCAGACAGTTAGAAATCACTGTGAGCTTTCAATTTTTCTTGCAAAAACAGTTACTGATCCCAGTTCAGCTTCAAACCAACCGAGATTTAGACACCTTTTTTGGTTTCAGCTTATGTTTAGAAACGCTTTGTTTTCCGGCACAAAAACTTGAAATTCTTTGGTCCGACCCGTCACTAGCAACTTTATCGCACTATTTCTAAAAAAACCTTCGGCACAACCCCAAATCTTGCAAGTACTTCTTTGTAGTTTTAGAAATGTCACATATACGTGCCCTTTCTGTTCAAAAATGCCCTTGAAATGCACACGTACTTTCTGCAAATCAAAGTCCGTTTGGTCACACAAACTTTGATAAAAAAGATTTGAACTTTCAATCCTATCTGTCTTGACCTGTAACCTTGACTTTTTGCAAGAGAAAAGACAGAAAACTGATACCATTGTGATAACATTACAGTATCCTCGTCCTTATCTCATTAAAAGACGAAATGTGATCAGTCTCATAGTCTTCAAACCTGATCGACTTATTCTAATCGTTCAGTGTGTTCAATGCCAACTTCAAACGCCCATCATGTCATCTGAGAACTTAGATTTCCTCTTTCTTCTTAAGTCATCCCTGGAAAAAGGTCTACTAGATGCACGCAGTTGATTTTTGTACACTGGCTGCCGGAAGAGAGATGAAGACAGTGTCTCTTGCAAAAGAGTCGGTCGGAGTGACCTTAGACATACATTGCGAGCGCGAGATGGCCACCTTGTTTCGTCGGCGACAAGTGTTTCTTCTCCATTCCTCCGAAGCGAATACGTCCGATTAATGGATAAAGCCTAAAAAAGTGACAGATGATAATAGACAGGACTGGAGGGAAAAGAAACGATTTTTACGATAATTGGGTCGCATCATCTTGCAAATGTTCCGGTGTAATAGAAGCTCATGTTCTCTTCTTTTGATGTCAACATAATTTGGGGGGGGGGGGATGGGGGGATGAGAAGCACACATTTCGTTAATTGAAGGGTTAGAGAACAGCGAAAAACCGCGTGAATTCAATTTCGGAGGGCCAGTTTGAATTGTTTTTGTGACGCAAGCGCAATCAATATTATCATAACGGTCACCGGTCCATGGCATTTTTTTTAAATTGGCGTGGACTGGTATTTTCGAATCCTTGGCAATTCTTGGCGATAGTAATCTTCATGGCTTTTATCAGCAGTCCACTTCTCCCAATCTTGAAAGTGTTACACAAAAGGGATAACTTATCTCTAAAATGCCATCACGCTTTTACGGAGAAATTAGAGCAACAACACGCGTAATAAATCGTTTTCTGACTTACCAAAAAGGCACACTCACCTCTGTATAAACGGCTTGAAAAAGTAGATCCTATTAATTTTCTTGGCGATATTAATCTTTATCACTTTTCTTGGCGATAGTAATCTTCATGGCTTTTATCAGCAGTTCTTTTCTCCTTATCTTGAAAGTATTATACAAGAGTGATAACTTACCTCTAATAGTAAACTCTGAAAAGCAGGATTACCGGCTCCCGGGGTTTCTTGGAGAGTCACAAGATAAGTAGAATCAAAACGTGTACCTGGTAGCCTTATCAATAAGATCGTAATAACCGATATCTGCTAACATCATCCGATAAGTGTCCTCCGTATCGAAAAAATATATAGTTTTTGCCGGAATATGCACACGGGGCATTATGAAGTGAATCGATCGAGATCGGCGAGGGGGACCCCCGGCTGAGAGACGCAGACAAAAAGAGAGTGCGCGGTTTGGCGGGCGGTAGATCGAAACGGACTCGCTCGAGTCAGCTGACTGGTCAAAACATGAAATACACGAAAAAAAGGTAATGTTATCAATATGATGTCCGTGGAGTTGAATATTGGAAGCTGCTTGATGTCTACACTGGTCAGCTGAGAAGACTCAGACTCCATGTGGATCTCCATTGGGGGAAAAATGCAAAAGTTTCCTTTCAGCATAATAACGCTCGTCCCCATGTCGCCAGAAAGACCAAAGCTGAACTCGCTGGACAATCTTGTCTCACCCACCGTACAGCCCAGACCTGGCCCCCTCTGACTACCATCTCTTCAGTCACCTCCAACGCCATATCAGTGGAAAAAAGTTCAACTCAAGATAAGAGATCAAAATCGAGTTGGCTTCATTTTTCTATTCCCAGCCGCAGGAGTTCTGTAAGGAAGGTATCCACAAGCTGGTGATACGTTGGCAGACAGTCATCGAAAAACATGGACAATATATTTAATTAATCGGATAACTCTTTGACTTGTTTCACAATACATTTTTCTGAACCCAAAAATAACTGGAACTTTCCGAACAACCTAATACTTTCAATATTTAGGTATTTATAATATTTTATTTATTTTCAAATGCAAAGAAAGGCACATAACATTAAATTGGCGAAGCAAAAAAGTAAGTGGCTGGTCTTCAAAGAGATCCGCAGAAGACAACGTGAAGTGACTTCTTATAAGTTTGAGTTTGAGAGAAGTACATAAGTTTGGCGCAAAATTCAACTTTTCTCGTGAAAAACCCGCGGAGAGCAAGAAATATTTAGATTTGACAAGTTTAAAGCTATTTCTCTACATATTATCAATTCGCACAAACGGGAAACGGAGGGAGGAAACACGTGGGATGATGAACCTGGAGAACCCGAACTATTGATGATTAGGGATAGAATGAGACGAGGAAGACGGTCTAAGCGACATTTTCCGAGCGCCTTCTGTCGAATGTGCTCATGAACGAGCTGGTGGGCGTTGATCCTTTGAATGTGCCCATCGTCATCACTTTCGAACCGTCTGTCGAGGAAATGTGGCTGTTTCTTGATGATCCGCCACATCTGATGCCCTGGTCGCTTTCATCGCTTCTAAAAATTCAAAACTTTCTGAATATCACCTAGTTTCTTGGCTTACGCTGGCGTATGATTCGGTGAATCGCAGTGAGATCTGATCGGAACCAATCCACTACTGTTCGTTTCGGCGATAGAAGAAGTCGTTCCGGCTGGGGAGTAGAGGAGGGAATCCGGGTAGTTGTACGCCTTGACGCGTTGCATAGAGCCGTTCATCTGGAAAAATCAATAAAGTTTTTCTTGAGAAATGTTGAAAAAATCAGTCAATCTTTTAGACACAATTATGTAGAGTAGTTTTTTTTCCAAATACAGTCAAGAAATGAGAAATCCCTTCTATTAACTGACAAAGTGCATGTGAGCATCCAAAAAACTGTCTGAAACGTTTCGCCGAGCATACCTGTGGAGATGAACTGTTGGCGGTGGAATGTGGAGCACTTCGGGAGTAGGATACCAGCATTTCATGTGAAGTCCGACTTTCCGGGGAGTAGCATCTGGCAGTTGAGTGAACACCGTAATCGCCGTTCAACTTGGAAGCGGACACGTATGTCGGCTCATTCGTTTGTGGGCTCGTATCCATAATATCATCCGCGTTTCCATAAAGATTCGGCAGATTCTCCTCATGATTGTTGAACCCGTACTTATCCGAATCTCTTCTCTCCTCGATTTGTCGCTGCAATAAATTAATCGTTTTTTTGTTGTTTGTCTCACCCTCTGACACCTGACTCCCCCCCAACGACGAAATGAGTAATGTGACTCACCACTTTCAACGGAGAACATTCATCAACGTCTGCCTCCAGAATCTCGGCGTTGTCGTCGAACATTCGTGATTTATGCACTTTTTGCTCGTTGAAAATGCGATAGGAGGTGTCCAAAAATTTGCCGTTGGCTGCAAAACAGAAAAAAACGTACTATAATTACTCCGAGAAATGTGATACCTTGACTCTTTTGACGTCCTTTTCCCGATCTCAAATTGCAGAACACAAACAGACAGACCAGAACGATGATAAGCGCGAGACAAGTGACAATTCCTCCGAGTGCAACATTCTTGACGGTCATGTGCGGTTCGAGAGATCCGAAGAAGATCCGCACTGATGACAACATTCCGCTTTCTGGAAATTAGTGATCATAGGTACAAGAATGGTAGATTGATGTATGGAAAATAAGTAAGATGAGTCACGCACTAAACGTTTCCAAAGTGGAATGTGATACTGATAAGGGTGTGGTTATTTTTAGAGTTCGAACCGAGTGGAACAGCATTTTACTGAAAACTGCAATAAGACAGCTGGAAACCGTTTCCGAGTTTTCTGGAAAATCTGTAAACCCGGAGCAAAAGGCTGAAAGGAGAGGTGATAAAGTGAGTTGGAAATGCACTGGCCAATGCACCTCAACACCATTCATCAAAGTGATAAAGTGTCGCACGGGAACACCTCACGGATCAGTACACTGAAAGAAGGACTTCAATCTCATTCGTCCTTCATTCGAACAAAAAATGAAGAGATGGATTCTGTCCTACTTTTTTTTTTGCATCTATCTAGGATCTTCCATGTCTACATGAATGAACAAATGTGTGAAACGGAAACGGGGGGACAAGTTTCAAATGTGAAATGAAATGAACATCCTGTTTGATTGATTGCTACTACACTTTAGTACTAACTGCTGCAAGCAAACCCGGTGGCAAGTGGATGTGTGCGGAATGGATAGATCAAATCTGAGAATGATAAGAGCGAAAGATGCAGGCGTAATGATGCTCAAGTGTAACATTAGTAATGGGTTCTCACAAGCGTGTGCCACTCATCACCCCGCATTGTATTATGTAAAATGAGAACTTGAACATTTGACCGGAAGCGATAGAAAACGTAAAAGTGCAGCTCACTTTGAATGCGCAAAGTGTCAAAAGTAGTCTAAACAAAGAAGAGTGACAGATAGTTTATTTTATACGAAACGGCATCGCATCTGGTAGTGAGGTGCCTGCCCTCTAGGCGTTTCGTGTGCAACATCCGGTTGACCCGGTGCACACATCATTTGCATAAACTTTTGTGTGAATGGAGGGGCTCTTTTGTCGGTCGGAGAAAAAAGGTTTGCGAAAAAAAAGATGTGAATAAGCTTTTGGGTAGGACAAATCTTAGGGGTGACTACTGTAAAAAGTACGAAAAATGGAGCATCAAAATTCAATCAGTTGATATTGTGATTTCCCACCGAAGACTCAAAATTGCACTCAACTACACGGGAATGATTCAAAAAGTGATGAGTAATACACGTTACACCACCTCCTCTCCCTCCTTCCTGTCCGGCAAGAGGACGACAAGAGACCATGAGACGTAGGGTGAAAAAGTGAAACATAGAGCGGTGGAAAACGATGAGACGTCCTATATATTCTTAGTCATCGCCCCCGAAATATATGCATATTTTTTGCAACGTTTTACGAGATTGATATTTATACATAATCTGTGGCTGTGGCGGCGGGAACAAAACGGAGAACGTATTGAGAAAAATTGGAAATGAGGGGGTGTCATGGAAATTGACGGATCTTTTAGAAGCGTTTGTGCGCAAATTTATAGAAAGGCTGAAGAAATTCCGTTTTTTTCTGAGAGTCTCTAGGAAATTCTATCCGATTTCAAAGTTCAAAAAACGTTCACACTTGAAATCTGAGCCGATTATCTTGAATAAAATCCTTCAAACATTAAAACACTTGGAAAGTGTGAGAAAATTCATCTATCAAGAGATACTGTACTCTTTCCTCAATGAAATTCGATCCATCTTCAATTCTTCAAGTATCATACCGTTTTGCAAACACAAATAACAATGGTAAGTGAGTTTTTTTCTGGATGAGGAGACGGAACGCAATGTTTACTTTATCCTACTGCTGAGGAGCTACTTCCAACGCTAATTGTGTTTATTTTTAGGTTCTACTGACAAAATAATTAGCCTCATTACGGCTATGGATAAACAGAAAACAAAATGACAGATTGGGGAAAAAGGTACAACTACCATCCCGTGACTGTTTGGCACTATTTACAGAGGCAAGAATGTTAAGATGATTTGGCGTAGAAGCCGTTCCACAAACACAACGAAATGTGTGGAGAGACAAAAAACGAACGCGGCTCTAATTTGATTGACACGAACTAGTGCGTTCCCTTTCACTTGATTTTCATGTGGAATTCAAAGTGTTATGGCAAAAAATTGAGAACGTGGACTTGGAAATGGAAAGAAAAACGGAAAACACATATTTCTCGACCCCGAACTGCTGGGAAACGTAAGTCAAAAACGAGAGAATTGTTTGGCAACCCCCACTCTTTAACGGGGCCCGTTCCTTTTCTTTTCTTCTCTCATCCGTTTATATCCGTCCCATTTCCTAGACATCTGGTTGCAATCAGATGAGTTTTGTGTGTTTGCGGTGGTGGGAAATATATGCTCCGAGGGCCAAAAGTCAGGAGGAAGCACAAAAAAAGCGGCGGAAAACTTACGAGTGGTGTTGAACAGATATTCAGAGCTGCTCAAACTTTTTCCAGCTGCGTTCTCGGCAATCGCCCGTATTGTGTACTGCGTGTCGAGGACGAGGCCCGTGATGATCGCCTCGTTTTGCGAGCCGTCAACTTGTGTCTGGAAGTGATTTGGTCGTAAAGGATGCGGCTTCGCTCAAGAGACGCGAGAGCAAAATGAGCTTGAGAAAGATGAGAATGGACGGAAAAATGAGAGGATTTGGATGATTGGCGGTGAGATGAGATGGAAAAGAGAAAATAACGACTGACCACTTGTGATTTATTCTGGTCCGGTGACACTTCGCTGTAAACGATCACAAATGTTTTGGCGGCCGCGTTCTCGATGAGTGCCGTGTGCGTGAAGAGTACTTTTGCAGAATCCGATGTGTATTGGTAAACTGACTGGATCTGGAAATGAATTAATTGATTGCGGATGTGGGAAAATGAGAAAAGTTTGTTCAGAAAAACACTTTCAAGGTCGATATTTTGCTTCAAAGTGAACTGAAAGCTTTTGAGGAGAAAGAAAAAAGAGAGAGATAGAATTTCGAAATGTTCTACCTACGAGTGAACTTTGATACCCTCCATCCCTTCATAAAAAAGTCACGCAACTAACCTTCGGAGCCATTGGCAATACATCTCCATTCTCCGCTTCCACAGTCATCCAATCAGTCGGCTGACTCGTCACATGACTGCCGTCATCTCGGATCATTTTGATTCGGAATTTGTACTTGTTATCCGCAATCAGTGATTTGATTGTTGTGGCGCGAACGTGGGAATCTACAGTTTCAGCCTCCATCCAGGAATCTTCCGGCGTTCCGAATCGTTGAGCTTCAATTCTGAAAAAGCAAACTTAGTAAATACATCATCTTTTGTGCAGACAAACTCACAAGAACTTGGCAATTTTCGTCAGTGCCTCTATTTTCCCCAGAACAGACCATTGAATTCTGACTTCAGTTCCGGTCACAAATCCCCGAACGTCTTCCACATCGATCTTCATATCCTTTTTCTTATCCAAAAACGGTTCGGTAGAGGTGGTTGGTGTTGGAGTGGTGGCGTAATCAACTACGGTCAGATAGGCCGATGACCGACTCGTGTGGCCGCTTTCACTTTGAGCCACACAAGTGTACGTGCCTTCGTCATTTGATTCCACACGTGTAATCCTCAATGAATTGGATCCTATGATAGTTCTCCGGTTGGTGAACAGTGAGATTGTTCGGTTATCTGTAGAACATATGAATATGAATGAGCTCTTCCTACAGTTGCTACTCACTTTTCATCCATGACCTTGCCTTGACTCTTTGCACCACACAAGGAAGGTCAGCGGTTTGACCAACTTGAACCGTGACATTGTTCGGTCCCGTTATAATCAGTTCATTTGAATTCTCGTTATTCATCACAAACATGTTCATAGACTTTCCTCTCTCTAATCCGAAACCGTAAATTTCAGCCTCAACCATAGCAGGCCGGGAAACACACTGAAAAGAGAAAGTTACTGGAGCCAGTTTCTCTAAATATACCTGTATACTGCCAGTGAATGAAGGTTTCACTTCCAAATGTACCCTAACCGGATTCGTATAAAAGTTGGTATTACTCGGAATCCCCATCGAATCGATGTTTTTCACTATGGTTGTTCCGTTGATGAAGGCCGTCGGAATTTCGTAGCGCAAATTTGTTGCCAAACATTCCAGCTTCAAGAAAACATTATTTTGAAAGAGGCCAATACGAACACTTACCAGATATCTTTTATCAAACTGTGGTGTGATTGACAGACGCACTCCAGACGGTGAATATACCACCAGATTGTAGTCAATTCTCGGACGAGTACTGTTATTATCGATCACAGAGTCTGCTCCGACTATTGGAAGTCCCACACACGAGTAAATGCCGGCATCTCCGAGGGCGACACTTCGAATTTTTAGGTTTCCCCAGATTTGTTGGAATCTAGAGGTGTTATCATCCATTGTCACATTCGGTGTCGTGTCATTGTGTTTGATCCAAACGATTTTTGCCATGTTGATGACACACTCGAGGACGATGTCATCTCCTTCGGCCACCGCCAGTTCTATCGGCTTTTCAATTGTCGTTTCTTTGGCTGGGAACACGAGAGTTGGTTTGATCACTTCTGCGCTCGCCTTTTCAGTGCTGTTATTCTCGTTTACCTGAAATTTAGCATTGGATTTGAGTAGGAGAACGTTTTGATGAACTTACAATAACAAGTACGGGTTTTGGGCTCTTCCTGCTCTGGTTGGTGAACTCATTTTTGACAATGCAGTGGTAGAAACCGGCATCGGACGCATTCACCAGAGAGATTTGCATTCCAGTGTTGGTGACAAAGTATTTGGTGTCATCTGAAACCATGAATTAGCTGCAGGAATTGATGTGAACGCTTACTTTTCCCTCCTAGACATTCATCTTCATTTTCCAAACGTTGAAAGCAAATGGTCGCAGGTGCAGGGATGACGTCTGGCATTCCAGCGCATGGAAGACGTGCCACTTCATTTTCTCGGACTGTTATAGCTGCCTGAAGAGAAGAAAAATTATGTTTCACAATTTTAATGTATGCTGGAATATGGAAAACGTTTATTTTTGACGTTTCTACCGGACAAGTTCACTTTCAGTTTTACAGTTGTGAAATCGGAAATTCAGAATAGCTATTGGTCCCCACTGACCAATGTGGTTAATGGAAACGCCTCATTTATGTACAAACCTATCTTATCCCCCCAATTATGTGCTTCCAATACCATATGTTCTCAGAACAGACCGCTCCTTCCTCGCGCGCAACGCAACGACCTAATGATCATTATGTCGTGTGTTTAAACATAAACCCGTCGAAATAATGTGCTCCCATATTGTTGTTACATACCCCTTTATAACTCATCCCTCATTTTCATGCTCCCTAATCCAGTGCGCTAATTTGAATTTGCCGAGCTCATCTGACATGAGCAATAAACTTGAAAGATATGTTTCACTGAAGAGAGTGCTGGGCAGATGGTGGTAGGATTAGCATCTCTAACTGTATGTTTGCGGCTCAATCAACAAGTCCCCTCGTGTTCAGAACAACATGATATCACATTTCTTACATGTGTCCTTCATGCTCAACCCCTTGGACCCTTTTGAGCCAATCTTGGTGATGGGTGGGGTGTCACAAGCAAAAAAAAGATAGGAATGAATGGCATGCTTGCTCCTAGTGTCAAATCGTCAAATGTCACGCGACAATGAGATGAAACAATGCATACTTTTTGATATGTAAGGACCCAAAAAGCTACTGTCCTTTTCAGAAAAAAAGTAATAATGATATAACTCACATGATTCACATGTGTATTGTCAAACTTGGTGAACCTGGCGCGTCGGATTTTCAACGGCGACGAGATGAGCGTCGTCGTTATCAGTTGTCGATTTGATAGGCGGATCCGTGTGATCTCGGCAAGACACTGATATTCTCCCTCGTTTTGCGGCTTTGTTCCGTGAATTGTCAAGCTGAACATAACGCGATTTCAAACAACAATTATATATTATTGGTTAAGACAAAGAGAAAAAAAAACGTACATGAAACCTTTCCATGTGTAATCTGTGTCGTTAATCGCCACAATTTCACGGTCTTTCAGCCAGATTACCGATTGAATGCGTGCTTCCGAATAACCGGCGCTCAGTTCGCATGTCAGATTGGTAGATGTTCGTTTGTAAAGATACAATTGATCGGTTTCGACGTTCAGAGAGGGTAGATCAAAAAGTTCTGTAAAATGGAAAAAAAAGCGACATACATTTTGAAAAAGAAACTCACGAGATCGTAATTCATAAATAGCTGATATGAGTGGAAAAGACAGTAAACTCGACAGTAGCAGTGTCCTCAACAAAAACATCCTGCTTATTTTTATCATCGTTTTTTCATGACACCTGCAAATAATTATCACATTTCTGTGAATTTTTAATAGATATGTACGTTTAGAGCGGAAATAATGAGGTAACGGAAAAAAAGCGAGCAGATGTGTTCCTCCCGTGATGATTTTCTGGAGCGATTGCGTAATTGTATTGACAGTTCTCGCGGTAGACAGTATCATTATTATTAATGTTTTATTCGATTCCACCCTCGCCGTTACCCCCCTCACCCCCCATTCTCCGATCCCAGGCCGCTCATTTTCTCAAGGTTAGCTACTGACGGAAAGGTTCAGAGTCGTTAATCGGTATTGGGTGACGATTTCATGATTTCAACCTCAAAGGGGTTTCAATAAAAAAGTTGATGGGAGAGAAAAGAGGAGAAGAATAGGGAATCCATAAAAGTATGACTTCTACAAGGGAAGAAAGATTATCAGGGAAAGGAAAGGAAAAAAGAAGACAGATTAGATTAGTGAGATGCCGAGAAGGAAAAGAGAGGAGAAAGAAGAATGTGATGATGATGATGATCCACTTCTCGTTTTCATTTCATTCTTTTCTCCCATTCCATACACCTGCCATTAAAATTAACGCTAATCATTATGGACTTTTGGAAGAAGTGATGATAAAAGTGAGTGAAAAGACGGTCTATGAGATGATCTGACTGTTGAGTGACACACAAGAAAGAGTGGTCAAACAGTGCGTCAGTCTAGCCCTCTCCTCCCCGTCTGTCCAAAGAATGGGAGAAGGACCATCCAAAAGGGGGAAAGGAAGGGGCCGGACTGCCGCATCGAGAGATATTTGTGCACACCCCGGGGCACGATAATCTTTTGTGCTATCAATGGACGGCTCTCTCTTTATGGTTTTTGGCAGCGTTCAAGAGGTTTTTGTATGCTTATTAGGTAGGAAAGAAGGGACGTGTTGCGTTTAGAAAAGAACATCTACATTAGTCAAAAAAGCGATGTTTTTCAAACCGATAAGAATATACATAGAAACCCACTCAAAATCTTGAAAAATGCAATTTTCTGCATGTGTACACAAGGGCCAAATAGCGTCCGTATAAGGGAAGAAGAAGAAGAGATTTAGAATGCGACACAAACCGTCGAGAATCATGATGATGAAGTTCGGGAGTGAGTGAAGTGAAAAAAAGTGAGAAGATAATCTAATTGACGGGAGGGAAATGTTGAAAGACGGATAAGAGAAAACAGGGAGAAGAAGATGGGGGGTGTTTCTTTTTTCTTGTTGTCTCCCCTGGAGAAGTGTCATGTCATCAAGGGTGGTCACTTTGAAATGAAAATGGACTGGGAGAGGCGTGAGATGACTTCGATGTTACTTCTAACCAACACAAAAAGTATCTTATTTCCTCTTCTTAAAAATATGTGAAAAGTCACAATTCTTCAAGTCCCCAGTGTCCCCTCTTCTCCAAATTCTCAAAAAATGCTGGTTAGACCCGAAGGCAAGGGCAAGCAAACATTTTAGGTGTCGAATACGAAATGCGTGGATGCAGGCGCCAAAGCAAATCAAACATGGCGCGAAACTGAGTGTGTGTGTGTCACGGTACGAGAAAAGTTACGGAAGGCGGAAAAGAAAGGGGGAACGACTGGGGGGCTACAGGTTGAAATCAAATTAATTGCGCGAGGTCGTTTTGGTGGCATGTTGGTGTCGAAAAAGAAGAATAGATGTGCAAATTTTTGAGCGAAACAAACTTTTCTAATTAGTTTTCTGGTAATTAGAACGTTTCTTTTTTGTTACGAAAAGAAGTTTTTTAGTGGAAGTTGGCAACTTTTTGGGAAATTGAAGGCTGGGACAGACTAAACCACTGACTCTTAAAATAGTGTGTTTGTGACCCCCGCGCAGATCAAAATTTCAAGATGACCTGAAACTTGTAGTAGAAAAGTTTTGGTTGCGAAACGTCCTCGTCCGAAAACTAACTTTTTGGTAAGGAAATTGGACAATGAAGTGATGAAATGGTTGACTCTCTCTCTGTCTTTCTCTCCACTTCTTAAGTGTAAATCGAGAGCCCGTCTTCGGTCTCCCATTCCATTCTCCATTCTTCTTCTCCTGTCCGTGCCGACATGCAAATGAGTAGAGGCGGGTAGATCGGATCTAATGTTGTGCAAATTTCATGGAGCAGAGAGTCTTCTGTGCCGTTCCCCTTCAGCAGCGTGGCGGGGTGCACTGGTTATGCAAATATAATGAAATGACAACGGAAAATAGGAGAAGGAGGAGAACCAACACATTTAGATGAATGAATATTTGTGTGTTTATATGTGTGTTCGACAAAGTGCCTGTTGCTCTGCTGGCGGTGTCGGTTTTCGAATTGCAGTCTGTCTGGTAGGCTGGCGGAGCCGAGAGATGAGAGATGAGCGGTTAGTTATAAAAATCCGGTCCGGTTAGAAGAGGAGCGATAGGAAAGGCTGTTGTTGTATAATATAACCGACGGATTAGGTAGTTGTGTTCTGGGAACCGTCTATTGTCTGTGAAAGTTGGTGGTAGCAGTAGGCACGCCCAAAAAGTATACAACTTGTCTTTTTTGGTTAGTTCGGTGGCAGTCTCAGTGAGTAACAGTTCAATGGGAAACTTAGCAAATTGTGTCGTAACAAATTGTGTCCATTAAAAAATTGGAAAAACAACTGATTATGTACAGAATTTTCGATTTAAAAAGTGATCCCTGCTCGAAAGCTAAAGTTCTTCCTCCCTATCCAGTCTCCCTGGGAAAACAGCTGGAAAAAAGACCTTCTTTTTGTGCCATACCTAATTGAGAATAAGACGGACGGATTCGTGTAAAGTAAACAAAAAAGGGATCAAGACGACAAAGGGTGAGCAGGCAGCCAGTACTAATCGACGCGGGACGGCAAAAGCCAAAGAAAAGTGAAAACTTTTACGTCCTAGTGTCACGATATCGGCCGATAGAAACAAAAGGGGGGGGGGGCCTAAAGACACAAGAAGAAAGAGAGCGGCGGCATGGATCGTAAAAGTGTTCAGAAGGACCGAAGGGAGAGGGCGAAGGACTCCTCGCACACAGACCCTCGATGACGTAATCAAGTGGTGGTGAGATTGGCGGTGTGGTGGTGTTGCACCACAGAAATGCGATATACATCAAGAAAAAAGAGGAAGGGTGGGAGGAGGGTCAGCTATCTTTTCGCCATCTATTTGAGAGCTGACGGTTCGTTTTACGAGATAATGGAGAGGAACTATGAGGTGTCGCGGTCAGGATGGGTTCGTGTTAGTGCGGGCGGGGCACAGGGAACAGTAATTCTTTTCGAGCCAGTGCGTCTTGGGTTTGAATAAACCAATTCTCATTTGCGACCACTTTCTTTTCTTTCTTCTCTGAAGAATGGCGTATGCAACAACAGTAACGCAAACAAAACAGTTAGGAAAACGGAAATATTCTGTATGCGTACTGATTAAAAGATAACGGGGAAGAACAGGGCCTAGTCGGCTGTCACGATATATTGAAGACATGGAAGTGATAAATGACTGTTTACATCACGCATTCTCAACGCGATAAAGTTTTGCGAAAGTTAAAGTCATCGAGTAATGAAAGAAAGAAGTGAGAAGAGGATTGGGTTTAGGTTTGGGGTTGCAGTTGACAGTGACATTTTGCGAGAGATTTATGCGATTTTTGACGGGAAAGGGGTCTCCGAGGGGTTAAAGCTAAAGAGCGACTAATGACAGACATTTGTCATTGAACCTACTAAACGGGTACTTTTGTTTCAAAGAAAAATCGACTACTATGATTTCAGACTTGCAAGAAAGCGATGACATCGGTACAGAACGTGGAACCGTGGATGAAATTCGGAAATGTTGGAAAAAATATGGGAGAAGTAATGAGATGAGACGAATTTGAATAAATGGAGCGTAATGTACAGATTGCAAATAAAAGGCGTGCGCACTCATTGCGCACTACCTCTTCATCACGTCCATCGCTCCCCGAAAACCGTTCAGACCTCCGCCACAACCGGTAATGAATGATGTTTGCTTGCACTGCCACCAAACCTAGCAACTTCTGCAGTAATAAAGAGAAAGAGAGAGAGAGCGGGAGAGATTTGACTCGTGTCCGGTACATACTTGTAGAAGTGAACGGCCTTCGAGATTTGAGAGAAACATTGATACTAAACGTCGAGAACCGGGGGATGGGGGCAATGCAAACATGTCATTAAAGCGAAACCGAAAGGCCCCTTATACTCCACGCCAACGATCCGAACACGGATACATAATGACCGGGTTTGCAGCCACCAATACCCGCAAAAAATTGAGATTTGGATTGCATATGGATGTGTTGAATGATGGAGAGGAGTTGTGATTTCATGGACTTTAAACGATATCGGCACCAATTTTTTTTTATAGAATCTGACTTTTTTCTTACAGTTATCAGTCTTGATTAAGAGTGTCTATCTTGAAATTCTCGGACTGGTGGAATTATTTGGTCCGGAATTTCTCCCAGAAACCCGATCCATATTTCTTCAAAATTATGAAACGTACACAACGAGTTGAGAGCAAATTTTGGCCCCCAATTTCGGTGAAAAATCGGTGAAGCACACTCAAGAAGACCCCCCCTATCGAACAAATTAGATTAAAACTTAAAAGGGGCGATGACCACGGGAGCATAGACGTTTCAAGTGTTCTATCATTCCCTCCCCTGAGTACTAGAGACGGTTAATTGTTGTTGTGGGTCAAGTGGGACGCGGCAGCTCTGTGTTAATGCCGTCGGAACAAAAAGAAAACGTTGAGGCACCCTCTTTACCGCCTGTTGATTATCCGGCACGACGACCACCCGGCAGGGCACAAAAAAAGAGGCTTAAGGATAATCCACCGGAAAATGGGCATTCATCCGAAGAACGTGCCGGTTACTCGTTTTGTGCTGAGCAAAAGAGAAGCACAATAAAAAGAGGGGGGTTGAGGACACTGTTCGGAAAGGAAAGGACTGGCGGCTCGGCTCGGAGCTCGGACAGGGTCACTTGTTTGTTCATGCAAATGTACATGAGTG